TTATTATTATTATTATTATTTGTTTGACATATATATAGCTTATTTTTATATTTTACTTTTTATAAATATGTGTTTTATTTTATTTATCTGCATTGTTATATATATATATACATTTTATACATAGGTATTTATATTATATTTATATAATATATTATAAAATTATATAAATACGTTTATAATTTATATGACAAAACCTGTGTCTGTGTTCAATCCCAGACTTTTGGCTGTGCTGAGTGCATATTTACCACGTTAAATATAGCACAGAGCAGTGCTGTTTCAAATAGACACCTATGATAATAGTGTGAAAAAAATTCATAAATACACTACAAGGAAACATAAAACACTAATTTGACTACTTTAAGTCAAAGCGCAAACCGCCACAGACTCTCTTTAACACTCTACACAAATATGTCCTGATGATCCTCAAAAGACAAGAACCACAAGAACATGTCCCTACAACAATGAGCCACACCTCTGTTGTAAACACCTGGCTCAAGTGAAAATTAACTGTATGACTATTCATCCTGACTATTCATCCATTTGCAGTGAAAACTGTAACATAATATTGTATTAGTGGTGATTCCTCAGGGACTGTCTATGTTAGGTCTGTTGATGAGGCACTGTCTGTTCTGCTGCAACACAGACACACTACAAACACAGTCAGCAGGTCTGACGGAAGTTTAAAAATGAATGGCCATGCATTCTGATACGGCACTATTTGGTGGATGAGTTCCCTTGTTATAAAGTTCCTCTTCTACCACACAATACATCCCCAGCTTCTTTCAACCCTCAACTTAGCTGTAAGAACTGCCAAATCACTGCTCATCCCTGATAAAGGCAACAGCAACAGAATGATAACAATATGTATTCTGATAGACCAGCTCCATGTTTGTTAGCTGACATTCAAGTAGGTGAACGTGGGGACAAGAAAGTGAGTGTGATACAAAACAAGAAATGATTACGTATGTTCCCTCAGGTCACACATTCACCTCCTACGATAATATTGTTGTGTTTATGAGATGCTATAAAGCAGATCTGCTCACCCAGGCCTCCAGGAAGTGACTTCACCACAGGCTTTAGCTGAGCTATTTCCAGTGCCTCCCATAGCATTTCATCTGTGGCCTTCATCTCTGGGTCCAGGTTAAACCTACACAAACACACACAAACACACTATTGCGTTATTAAAGATTTTTATACAGTTTATAGTTTACAGTTTATGATGTTTAAAAATCACATTTGTTTGATTGACAAAAATGTCATCACACCCTGCCCTCAAACACACAAGTTTCACACATTTTCAGAGAATCTATCCTCATTGTTGCTCACACTTGTTCATATATCCTTCTGGGGCATGTCAAAAGCTGTTAGCCATGACTGGTGTCTATAAATAGTCCCCTACAGCAGAGTTCTCAGAGGAATGTCCTCTTATCTCAGACCCTTTGTTCTAGTTATGCTTCTCTGAAGAGTGTCACATTTGGCCAACTGCTCCTGCTTTTTCAGATGCTCCATGTTGTACCAATACATTACTGCCCCACACTAGCTAATGTCACCCATGGCTAAATAATGCCGGACTAATGAGGCATAATGACAGGAACCGCACCGGATGGTGCCACTGAACAAAATGGGATCTTGAAGGATGATGGACAAGCGAGAACGCAGGGTCTGCAGTGGCAGCTTGGCAATATCGATGTTGTCGATCACAATCCTTCCTGTGAGTGAGAGAGAGGTGACACACAAAACCATAAACGGAATGACCTACAATTAACTTAAGACAGAACCATAGGTGATGCCAGATATAAGTAAATAAAAAAACGAGAACATGTAGCTGAAATGTACTTTTTTTTCCTGTTTTACTGTTGTTTTCCAAAAGTAATGTAAAGAGACTGATATATATATATATACACATATATATGTATATATATATATATGTTTATATGTGTGTGTGTGTATATATATATATATATGGTTAGGATCATGTTTGGTTTTGGGTATATAAACTTACCTTCAAACATGTCTACCATGCGAAAGAAGGCCAGAGAGAATGACGATTTACCACTGCCTGTTCTCCCACAGATCCCCACCTGAAAACAAATTCCATCATCATCATCATCATCTTCATCATCATCACCACCATCTATATCCTATTTCAAAAATGGCACCTATCATGATCATATCTCTTCTTGTTTACCTTCTGTCCAGGACTGATTTGTGCATTGACGTTTTTTAACACTGGTTTCAGTGTGGTATCGTATCGGACGCTCAGATTCTGAATTTTGATCTCGCCCTGCTGCGGCCAGCCGTCAGGGACTTGAGAAACAGCTGAAAGCAGACATTTAAACCAGTGTAAGAAAATTAGAGGACACTCTATCACACGTCACACTAAATGGGCCAGTTAAAGGATCCGGTTCATAACCACAGTAATGTCAGTTTGAATCCAGGACCTGGCAGGACCATGGTTTGTTGAGCACCAAAAACCTGCCCCCTGTGTCGGGTGTTAGTAACAGGAGTGTTTCAGGGATGGTTTAAATGAAAGTATTTTTTAAGTAAACTGAAAAGTAAAGAAAAAACATAAAGCTAAATAAAATAAATAAATGTAACCTTTAAAAACCTGTTATAATACAGTAAAAGTACAAAGAAGATACCAAATATACACAACATAAATAGCTAGAAAAACTCAAATCTTAAATATCCAAGAAGCTAAAATAAGGTGCAAGTTAACATGAATAACCAAAGGTTAACATAAATCTGGGCTAAAGTAAGAAAAGGCAAATCAGAAATAAAGAGTTAAAGCTAGCACAATGGAAAACAAGTTAAAGTCGGCACTGAGGAGCCAGAGATGAATAAAAAGATGTCTAAATTATGTTACATAATCATATAAGTAGCTACTGTATATGTTATCTAGATACACATAAAAGGTATGTTTTGGAATAGCCGAGTTAACTAAACATAGAACATAGTTAGCATCTAAATGCTAACAAAAAATAAGTCATATGCAAATATCCTACCTGACCAAAACAAAACTTTTTAAAACTTGTTTACTTTTTTTTGTTTGTTTTTTTTGTTTTGTTTGAAGGACGACAAATGGATACAAGAATTATGACAGAAATACGAATGAAATGGATATTGGCAATTACTACAATGAATATAAATAATAAACATACAGTACAAAGATACCTGTTTGAGAGATACTACTATGTGATAAAAGTATATAACTCAGCTGTTGATATATAAGTATAAGTTAATACAACTCTATTTCAACCGCATCAGTGTACTATATAACTCTGGTAAATGGAGCCTCAAGTTGAACATCAGAAATGAAAAGCAACAATCCCCTGAGTTAACGGTGTTAATAATGATTATGTTTTTCAGAGTAAACCTTGTCAGTGTTATACTGCACTCACTGAGCAGCCCCTCGTAATTCTCTGGTTCAGTTTTGAGCAGGCCGTTAATCCTCTTCACTGAGCCAAGCTGGACTTCCATGTCTGCCAGGTTACGAACCATCCAGTTCATGTAGTTTGACACCTGATATGTGGAAAGAGAGGAGGGGGAGGACAAGAGTTAGTGAGAGCGGTTGTCACCACACAGGCACAAAGTCTTTGCAGCCCAGACACTGTCATTGCATTACAAGCTGTGAGACATTCAGAAAGTTTATTATAGCAGCCAAAAATTTACTGGAGTGTAATCACCATGATCATCCATGATGCTGGTTATAGGTGAGCTCCCAAACACTGTTTTGTTTTATAACGTCTTCAAATAAGCCTTCTGAAAAGGTTAACAAGCTGCTGTTCTTGTGTGTTATTATACAAAAAACTATTTGTATAGAAACTGTAGAAATGTAAGTATAAAAAAATGAAATGTAAGTAAGGAAACATCTCAAGTTTTCTGTAATTTTCCAAATCCATTCACTAAAACCTTTAACTAAATAGCTAATCTTTGCAATAAAATATAGCCATAGCCATAAAAAAACCACCCAAAAAAACCCAAATCAATCATTAATTAAAAGCTAAAATTAAAATAAAAAAGCATGCAAAATGATGATAAGTTGGGGGAAGTTGATCAGATATGCAAAATACCTAGTGTTCATACAATGTACCAGGTATCAAACCAAGGTCAAATCTCAGCTTTGGCCACTGATTTTCATGCATTTAGATCAGAACTTTGCAAATACCAAAACAAAGTTGACCTACTTTCTGGAAACATGAACCGTTAGTATGACTCGCATGATGTTTATATTCTTTCAGTTCATTCTAATGAATCATAAATTACACATAAATGCGACCAAATTGTGCAGAGTATTAAATGTGATCACGGTACAGACGTTTAACTCATCTCACCATGAGAGCATACGTCAGTCCAAGTCCAACAAGTCCGGTAGACAGGTGACTGTAGAGCGAGTTAGTGATGGAGGCAACAGCTGCAACCAGCACCACACAGGCCCCAATATACTCCTGCATAGAGGGAGACAGCCAGTGTGTGTCATGTAACAACAAATAACAACCAAACGAACAAAGATTTGTCCTCTTCTCAGTCTCCTCCTCAGCTTAGACAAACGATAAATGCTTAGATAAAAAAAACAAAAACATTGTCCCAGCAGAGGGAGCAGTTACTCGGTCACTTCAGCATCAATGTAAACAAGCTGCTGTTGTGTTTAACAGTCATCAGCACTGGTTTTATTAAAGCTAAAAGATATGACTTTACCATCCGGACCTCCAACCACCGATTGGCTGCTGTGAGGAATAGAGAAGCGATGTTGTTGGCATCAGTGAACTGCAGTAACCTCTGTCTGAACCTGGGCTCGTACCTAACAACAGAGAAAATATTTTAATCGTGAAACACACAAATTGGCTGTTATAACTCAGTGTCATCCTGAAAAACAGAAAGGCGAAGATAAGAAAAAAAGGACGATTGTTTCTGTCATCCTTACACTGTCAGTGCTTGTGTGGCTGAATCATAACATCATGACGTCTCTTCATGATCAACTGAAGAGGGAGCAATTCTGAAGCTTAGGTTTCTTACCTGAGTGCCCTGATGGTGGTGAGACCTTCCACTGTCTCTGAGAAGTGGGACAGGAGAGGGAGCTGGGTGCTGTCCTCCAGCTGCTGCAGGTCCCTGAGCACAGGGTAAAAGAGAGGGGTCGTAAGGTCAGGGTCAGAGTGATCAGTTTATTTAATAAAATGTGATTTAAAAAATAATGTAAAACATGAAATCCGTTGTGCGTCTAACTTACCTGGACGCCACACGGAAGTACTTCTGAATGAAGTAGCAGGCGATGGCCAGTGGCAGGAGTGCGAAGAGAAAGACAGGGGTCACGTAGGAGATGACACCCAGAGCGGACACACATAACAGGGTAGAACGGGACAGACATTCCAGGGTGGAGGGGATGTGCTGATCAATGGTGTTAGTGTCTGTAGAAAACCTGTTGAGGATGCTGCCGAGTGGAGTCGTCTCAAAGAGTCTGGAGACAGGAACAGAGTGGAGGACTGTGTAATACCACTGTCACTATTTGATAACATTATGCCAGACTAAACCTGCCTTCAGAACTACTACTAATACTACTACTACTACACTCAGGACTAATACTACTACTGCTATCATTACCACAACTACTGCGGCAACTATTGTTACTAATAATTTCAATAAGAATACGTACAAATGCTCATTAATACTACTAACACTGCTATTACTCCTACAGTACTTTGACCAGTACTAATACATCTAATAGTAATGATAACAACAAAAACAACTGTGGAGACTACTACTACTACAGAGTTATCACCACAACTGTTATATCAAAAGCATCATCTACATTTTTTACTACTACCACTACTATTCTTCTATATTCTTCTATCCTTCACGGCATTTTCCATTTCAGTTCACCTTCACTATAAAGCAGGTCTGGACCGTGTTCTTTTAATAAATAACAATTTTACTGATCAAATATATTTGATTTCATATTCTTCATCGGCGCAGCTTCTCTCTCTGTTTTATGATGGTCGGAATGCAAACAAATCACTAGTAGTAATACTGCTAATATAAATATACATATGGAGCAATGTACTTCACTGATCCCCAAATGGAAAATTTAGCATCACATCAGCATGGTAGGGTTAAAGGTAGGTAAAAAGAAATATCAATTGTAACAGTAGAAGTGTAAAAATTATTATTATTAAAAATAGGTAAAGAATAATTATATCGCCCAATGTTATACAAATAGCTGTCAAAGTGTCTTGTGTTTTTATCTGAAACAGTGTTTATTCACGTGTGACTGGAGTGCTGTACATGCAGTACATTCTGGATGCTAATGTGCACGTGGGCGTCTCTATGTCAGCAATCTCTGTGGTTTTTCGTAAGTTGAACAGATGGTGTTCCAAGTAATGAAGCGAAAACTGATGCTTTTATCGGTGTTTCCTTTGACACGGATGACCCATTTCAGCACAAGCTCCTTCACAACACCTGAGCATACACACCTCATGGGTGCCAGTATGATTTTGTTGAGCAGGTTGTGGTGGAGCTCTTTGGCCACTTTGAGTCCTGTCCACTCCACGGCCACAGAGGTGGCAAGACACAGGACGATGCCCAGGCAGCAGAGCACACTGAACACCGTCAGGTACCAGGAGTGACTCAGGCCACAGTCCTGAAACACAACAAAGTGAGAGACAATACTACCATTACACTACATTACATTTTGTATGTGTGTCAGACAGTCACAGCACACACAGGTGGCTCCTCTCTCTCAGTTTGCCTTCAGAGTAATTAAAGGCCTAATTAAACACAGAGACTGGTGGTAAATTAGCTTTCTTCTTGGAAACAAGCCAGTCAGGCTTTTAACACTGCCAACATTTGAAGTGTTAATGCAACAAGCTGCACCGTGTCCTCAGTTCACCTCCACTCTTTGCCCCACTGAAGGGGAGAAGGATTCTAGGGACCCATGAATAAAGTTATAATACTGCAAAAAATGTTGTCGGCCTCCCTAAAGGCTGTAAAGGCGCACCTGCCTCCTTTGTGTTTCGCTCTTATTATTTACTTTCTGAAACTTTCTGAAAAAAAGTTAAAAATGTATATCCACATCAAAATGTTAAATGAATTACCAGATAATCATTTTCACATGAACACTAATAGTAATCCAAACATTACCGGTGAGATAAAGCTGCTGAAGACAAACTGAATCACAGCCCAAGAAAGATTTACACCGCACTACGGTGACAGGCTTCCTGGAGTTTTGTCACAGAGTCTATTTGTAGAGGGGAGAGTGAGACCTGTCCACAGGGTAAGAAGTGGACATGAGGAGAGAAGACACTTCAAAAACAGCTGCCCTGGTCTGTGTCTTTAGCCTCCATGTGACCGTGAAATGTGACCTGACATTTTGGTTCACAGAATGAGAAGACACATAATCACACAAGCACACGGAGACCTGTGAATACCCACATACACGCACACACATAACAGTGCTGCTTATTTGACCTACGTAAACGCACACACATAACAGTGCTGCTTATTGGTGCTGGAACATGAGAGCTCACCGACAGCTGCTGCGACCTCAATATGACAACAACGCAGCTCTAACCTTCAGCCAGTATTTACAGTAGACTGAAAAATTTGGGCAAGTGTATTTGCATGGGTGAGTTCTCCAGTGTCTGACTTTTGGGTGTAGTCAGTGAAAATGTGAGAAGAGAAGGACATTGAATGTTGTTGTGCTGCATGGATCCAGCTCATTGGTCTGTTCATTTACCTGGGCTATAAAATAAATAATGTAAGTTGAGAACAAAACTCTATGCTATTTTTTTCTTGTGACCTAATTTTGTATTCAACAAATACCAGTAACTGACAGCCACGAGGCAAAGCTAAAAAAGAAGCCTATACTATAAACAACCGGAAATTGGACCACTAACCACAAATGGCTCAGTAGCAGCAGGACTGTGTTAAATTTCATGAAAAAGGTTTTTTTTTTATCCCTGAGACATTTGTTCAAATTATTCTTGCAGTCAGTTTGGCTACTCCCAGGGCTCAACCTTTACAACTCAACAATCACATTCAGTTTTTATATACTGTGCTCTTAAAAGGCACTTTTTTGATTTAGTTTTAAATTAGTACATTCTACCAGAGTGTGAGTCTGTCTGTGTCTGTGTGTGTGTTTTCTGGGGCCTCTCCTCAGCCTCCAATACATGCACGTTGTGGGATTAGGTTAAATGGGCACTTTAATTGAGAAAAAGTGTGAACATGAGGGTGAATGTTTTTTTTGACTTCATATGTGGACTACTATACTCTTTTTCCCTCATTTTCTTTTAGGCTGCAACAAAATATATTATTATAAAGACTAATACTACACTATTTACACCAACGAGAACATGTCATTCATCATGCATCATGATTTCAGGGAGTCAGTGTTCACTCCATCTGATCAGTGCTTTAGTTTTCACTCAGTGCTCCTTACTTAATTCTCAAAGAGGTTGTTTCTTGTTAATAAGTACTACTACTACCATATAATTAATTCATAGATATTCAAAAGCAACACATAACTTCATAAATATTCAACTCTTTAAACACGTTGGTTATTTCCACAGCATTAGAAAATGTCTCACCTGACCCATGGTACAGTTGCGAGCGTGGGCGTCTATCTTGGCCTTTATGACATGTGAGGTCCAGTGTGCCAGCCAGTAGTCGATGGCCACCATAAAGGTGTGCTTGAGGAGCTGTGAAAAGAGGAGCAGGGAGAGCAGGAGGAGACCAGCGGAGGACAAGTAGGTGCCACAGGAACGCCAGGGGATGGTGGCTCTCTGGCGCATCACCTGTGACAGGTTGTCATCGTCATCACTCTCAGATGATTCCTCTGACGTCAAGCAAAAGAAAAAAAAATAGAATGTGAATGTGAGATGTGTGTGTGTTTAGAATTAATGATTACTTTTGACCTCTGTGCTGTGCTCTAACACTTTCTTTTCTTACCTCATGATAAACAGCTTTGTATTGACCTCCAGCTCTGACTTCACATTAAATGATTTCTAAGGTTATTCCTCCTGATATCCTCACCACAAATCTCACTAAGATTTTTACTTTTTTTTCTCACATTTTTTTTATTTTCATAATTCTTCCTGCAGCACTGCTGCAGAAGTAAATACAACAACAACAACAAAATCATAGGAGAGAGGAGGCGCATAAAGGAGGCTGAAGTATGTACAGAATATTTAGTAAACCAATGCTCATTCAAATTAATTGTAGTTTCTTTTGTCCTAAGGCAGAAGTCTTTAACAGGGGTCTATAGCCCCTAGATACTGCAGTTGGCTGTGCTCTCTACTGAATTTATGACTAATTTCATGACTTTTTTCCCCTATTGTTTTCCTCCTACATTTCATTGTCTTTAAACGGATTAACATGAACCCAACATTTTGTAGCAAATGGATAATTGAAAGCAAAAGATTGTATTTTTCTATCAGAAATACACACATTTAGTGACATATAGATTCTCCTCTATCTAAATAAAGCAGGAAATAAAGCAGCCAAACACAAATTGGGGTGAGGACCCATGTACCTCCTGCCTCCTCCTCTTCTCCGACGTATGCAACATGCATCAACACGTGGATGAACAGGGGGCTAAGACAAGCTATAAGCAGAGGGGAAGCAGGAAATGAAAGAAGGGGGAAAGGACAGAGCGGCTAAACAGAATAATGCCAGCACCATCTACGTACAGTCATGCTTTCAGGAGCCATTGATTGATACACAGTAAAATGAAAAGACAATGGAAAAGCTGACACAACTGTAGTTTGCGTAGATCACAATGCCACACTGTTTTGTGTGTGTGTTTCTGAGTTGACTTGTTTCAAGCCATGCCATCTGGTCACACCTGCTCGATCAAGTATGAGGGCAGCACCAGTTGCTGCAGCCATTGTATTCGCCCATCCCAGGGTGCCACCAGCACACGGGAGACAACACAGAACACAGATAAAGAGTACAGCCGCTGTACCTTAGCACCTTCCAATACATTCACCAGCAGACACCCAGAAATTGTTCAAATGTATGTTAGTCAGCCAGAGTTATTTCTATAGTAGTTGAAGACCTCTAGCTAATACCAGCTGACTAGTAATTATCTTTGTGAGTACTTCATGGGGTTTTAACCTGGTGAACAACATTAGCTGGATGGAAGACTTCAGTGGGATGAACTCGGCCGGGGGGCTGCCAATAGGATTGACTTTTGTTTAACAATTCCTGTGCTAAACAACCACAGTTAAAAAGCTGCACTGAGCCTCAGGTTCTAGAAAAAAAACCTGTGGGAAACTAGACTTCAAATCTCTGAAAAATACTGCATAAAGACTCGACTTTAACAGCAAAATCAGAGGTGAAAGAATGCAGGGATATAATGTTGTCCCCTCACCTTCCTCGTCCTCTTCCGTCCTGGCAGCCTCTCTGGAGTACATGGCCCTCCGAAGGTTTTTTCTCTCCAGATCTGTATTACTTGCTGCAACTGTCTCCTGGGGGGAATGAACCAAAAGCTCATTAAGTCTCATTGAGCAAAGTGGCAGATGATCAAAACATCTACTCCAGACTGTGTCAGACTCTGGACACCTGTCCTGAATCCAGAAAAGACTATTAAATTAAGAAAATTAAACGTTGAAGTAAATCATTTAGCACTTTAAACTTAACTGTAATTGATCACCTTTTCAAACTCCTGGTCCTGTCTGTGCATCAGGGTTTTCCACTGCTCAAATAGTTCTGGCTCACTGTTCTGGATGTCCTTCAAAGTGCCTTCAGTCTGGATGGTGCCATCTTTCATGGCAATAATCTGATGATAGACAGACACACACACACACCGTGTGATTGGCAGGGCTTAGACTGCTGGAATCATCTTTATACAATATGGTACATTTGCATGTACGATGATAAATAGTTTGTACCATGAATGGTATCGTTAGTATTGTTATATTGATGGGAAATAACGTTTTTAGACTGACAAGACAATGACCTCTGTCGAACACATGCCTGCCCTCTGGTCTTACCCAGTCTGCGTGAGGTAAATACTGAAGTTTATGGGTAACCAACACCACCGTCCTCTTCTCCTCCCTCAGGAACTTCAATATACCGTCCTGCATCAGGTGGTCACTGAGGTGGATGTCCAAGGCAGAAAAGGGGTCATCCTAAAAAAACAAAAAATAAAAATACAGTCAGACTTGATACAAATAAGGAGGAGGAGAATCAATAATTTAAATAGAAAATATATAATATATATAATATTAACCCTTTTACTCTTCATTTTAACCAAACTTTATATTGGAACAAATCATTTTAATGTCAAAATTTATTATAGTTACTGTAAAAAGAAAAGCAACATATCAACATGTAAAAAAATGTTGACTGCAATAAATATTAAACTAAAAGTTCAATAAATTATCGGTAAGTGGATTTTGTATCTGACCACATTCTGTTTCTGTCTTTTTTGGGAGCTGTAAGCCAAGAACCAATGATACAAATGCAGCCATTGACTCAGTATTAACGGTGGTAATTAAAGGTTAAATTAAATGCTAATCGCTCTTTCATCTAGTCCTGCTGACTCCGTGAGGAACAGACTTACAAGAAAAATCACGTTGGTCTGCTGGTACATGGCTCTGGCCACGCCGATTCGCTGTTTTTGTCCACCAGACAGAATGATTCCCTGCAGCAGAAATGAAAACATGGCTGAAGTGATGCAGAGGAACCAACTGTATCAGTAAAAAAAATGTTACTAGCTTAACACCAAATCTGGCTGAACAAGGTCAGCAGCATGGATCAGTACACCAACCCGCTCTCCAATCTCTGTCTGGTCTCCTTCTGGAAGGATGTCAATGTCAGCCTGAAGAGAGCAGGCATCGATCACAGCTTTGTATCTGACAGACAAGCAGAGCACAGCACAGAGCATCCATTAGTAATGTGTTTGGACTACAGATGTGGGCGGTAAATGAATTTATCAGACACATCTCCGTGATGAACAGTCAAAAGTTGATTGACTGATGTTCCAAAAAAAATAATCATTTACATACAGTGGATCCTCAGTTATCGAAACCTTCCTTTTTTGAACAATTCGGTTCACGAACAATATTCTTAACCAAAAGTTGTCCCGGTTGTAGTACCATAACGCCGAACAAAAGTCAGTACCACACAAGCAGCAAGTGATCAATAAGTGCCTGGGTTTGTGGCTCCATAGCACTGGTAAGGAGGAATGAAATTGCCTTTCCTATTTATAGCTTCATTCTTTATTCAGTTGCGTTTATCTTTTTTTTGTTAGATCTAATTATTTTTTGTTGGTTTTGTTTTTGAACATGTAGACAAAATACTGTTGAATAACCAAGCACCTGGAGTCCAGGAACAGTTTAATCCATTTTACATTAATTACTATGGGGAAAATTATTTCAGTTTTCAGCTTTCAGGAATGAATTAAGTCTGAAAAACAGAGGTTCCCCTGTACTTTGCTTTAGACACAGGCATCGTTTAAACATGTGACCCATAAAAATAACTGTCTGTGTGATAAATATTATATTATATACATATGTATATATTATAATAAAATATAAATTAAAAATATATTATAATATTAGAAATATTTTGAAAAGAAGCTGGAGTGGTCATCTATCTTCTACACCTACGTCCTTTCAGATAGGATACACAGTTCAGCAGTTTACCCCAGGGCTACATTTATAGACAAACAACAATTCACACTCACGACCTCTGATTGATCTGCAGTGAACTGTTGTTTTTACAGAAGAGACACAGGAAAATAATCCACTACAGTGGGGCCAGGTTTTTTAACAAGAGGATTTCTTCTTCTTATGGACATTATATCTTAAGGAAACACATTTTTAATTCAATGTTTTTAATTTTATTTATTTATTTTTTTCTAAAATAGTCCATTATTTTCTTGGTATAGCACCTGAAGCTACTGTATCACAGCTGTAATTGATTTTTGCGAGCATATTTAAAATGTGTTATATGTATTTATATGCCATGATTATGGTAACCTAAACCTTTGCAAATGTAATAAATATACAAATACAAATTAAACAACTCACTGCAGTTATGAGCTCTTACCTTGGTTTTATCATGGGCATCTCGAACGTGATGTTCTCCACAACTGTGACGTTTAACAGCCAGGGCTTCTGGGAAGCGTAGGCCACAGGGCTTCTCTTTCTGACAGAGGTGTAAAATTACACACACACAATAATCTGTTGATTTAAAATTGACCTCTTAATACTCTACAGGTTTTGTTAAACGCATGGGTCGGGTGGTCACACGGTTTGACCCCTGGTCCACAGGAAACTATCAGTCACATGTTAAAGACTCCACTAAAGTTGATGGTTCATTAATGGCTGGGTTTTATTTGTGCAGTTAATAAAAGGTTGAAGGTTGAGGCAGACATTAGAGCAGAGGGATTGTCCTCTTCAGGATTGAATGTAGTGAATTTTTAGATAACAAGTAGACGTGCTGCTCTGCTCAGCTGATAATGCTGCCGGATCTCTCCCTGAAGGCGGCCGGGTGTGCTACGCTGTACCGTTTGAACTCACCTGACATCTCCATCTATGGCCACATCTCTGTCTGTAGGACTGCAGAGGAAAAAAAACATACAACACATTAGATGTATAACCTCACATTTAGCAGCTTTTATACTGTAGCTGTAATGTTTAAGCAAATGCACACAGTGTTAATGTTGTTGTTACTCTGTGTATGAAGAAACAGGCATTTTGTGCTGCTTTTAAGAATCTTCTTTGCTACTGATTTTGACTCTTTTTTTTGTTTGTTTTTTTAAATCTTATATAATTTGTGATTGTGACTAATGACTTCTGGTTAAGAGGAATAGAGTGGTGCAGTGTAGTGGTCTGATGATTAGAAGCCTGCAGATTTGATTCCACCTAATCCCTAAATCCCAAGGGTTTGCCCTCTAAACTCTTAAGGAAGCATTGAATAGACAAACATATTTTAATTAACATTATTAATAAAATATGACTATTTGTTTTCTCATTTTCATATATATACTGTAAATGGTACATAGAAGTTTCTCACTCCGCACGAATAACGTTTGATATAATTAGGGAATTTCTATTTTGCAAATGTTGTTTCTTCTATACTACCAAATTCAGTGGTAATAAGTGTAAATGTTTACACTTTGCCCCCCCCCTACTGATTTCTCACACTGACACACGTTTCTCTCAGCAGAGCAATTATATATCTGCTGAGCAGCTGAATACACCAATTGCTGCCCTACATGAACACATCTCCCATTAGATGTGATCTAATCCTTCCTAAAAATACTCCACCCCTAAATTCAGCCCCTCCCTGTTCTTCTTCCTGTAATTTGCTGATTTAGAAATAAACATCAGGCATTTTTTTCATCAACAGGAGGCCTCTGTCTGTCAGTATACTAGTATACTAGTAGTTATGTCTACCTAGCATAAACAACTCTGTCACACAAACTGTTAATAAGTATACTAGTATACTGACAGACATGACAGGGTATTCAATGTCAATATTTAGAGGGGAATCAAAATGCACAGATGAACATCAACTAAAATTCATATCAAGTATGTATACTGTGCTGAAACAAATGTTTTTAAAATCATCTCAAATCACACACTATACGAATGAAGAGATTTTATGTTGCTGAGTTCAGGTCAAATTGCGGAAATAATTCCACATGGGTTTAACTCGGACATTTTTCCCAACTCACCTTTCATCTCTTTCAGACTCCAGGCTTGGTAGGCTGCGGAAAATAGAAACATTACATGCCAGTGATGAAAGCTGTAAAATTCAAGAACAGCAGGATTTACAAATGCTGCTATTCAATTTTTTTTAAAAGCAGATTAAGTGTAAAATTTACCACTGACGGAGCTCAGCTTGAAATAATTAACTTAATTTCATTCCAGACTCATCACTGTTTGACAGCTTGCAGGTGAGTGAACTGCTTTATGTAAACCTAATCATGTTAAAACCTTCAACAAAAACACTGAATATATTAAGGGTTATTAATGACTGTGGCTGTAGGAAATGCACATTAGAGACAATGAGCCAGCTAAATGCAGTAGTAAACACTGCTAGTAAACTCTGGCTTAGGGACCAGAAATAGTTCCATTGTCTGGTGTAGCACGTTCACTATAGTGTGCTAACATTAAACCTTGGCTGCATTTTTGCATACATTTTAAAACATCAATATTGACAATGTTTCACAAAATGCATAAATCTAGAATAATTTCATTAATTTAATTTAAGAATTTGAAAATAAGGCGGTGTACTGGCAGAATCAGTGCATACATCGCTCCCCCTGCAGGGAAGAGTGAGGCAATTACATGCTTTACAATAACCCAACATTTTTGCTACTTCTTGCATAAAATAGTTTTAGCATAAAAGATAACGATGCATTCTATGCAATGCATTCTGCAAACCTTTGCAGCATAGGATAGTGCATCTGTCAGGATGTAAACTGGTGGCTGACACCTGAGAGGGGCTGAAATTATGTCTACCTAGCATAAACAACTCTGTCACACAAACTGTTAATAATAATACATATTGAAAATTAATTATGACAGGGTATTCAATGTCAATATTTAGAGGGGAATATTTAAAAGCATCCACATTTAATTGCCTATGGGCCTATGCCCTAACCCTAACTATCCCAAAAACATTTTAAACCCTGATTCTAACCCCAAACCAAATTTGACCTTTCATCACCTTAAAACAAAGTGTTGAAATGGCCTCGAGTCTGAGTCAGACCACAGAACCTCCTTACAAGGTCCAGATGGGAGGAAAATGCTGTTCTGGGACAAACTTCTTACCACAAAAACCAGTTTTCAAATGAATGAATTTGATTGGCTGATGGTAGCTTCACCCATTTATTTTTAGTTTTAACAAGTCAACACAGTCTCAGTCGTTGTCAGATGATGGCAGGAAACATGAAGCAGAAGCTGATTTGCACAGTTTGACTGCAGCAGGTTTCAGGGATCAGCCTATGCAGCATAGGAGAGTGCAGCTGTCAGGACGTAAACTTGTGGCTGACACCTGAGAGGGGCTGAAATTATGTCTCGCTAGCATAAACAACACTGTCACAGAAAATGTTAATAATAATACATATTGAAAATTAATTACGACAGTAATTACATATACATTTTAGGAAGCTTTTGTGAATCACCCACTGAAACAGAATATTTACACTGAAGCTTTCATGAATCAGTGTAACCTTCGTATTCCGGTCTATATGAAGACCAAGTTACTAATTCAGTCAGAGGGGGTATGGGTTCATGTAGAAATAAAATAAAAGCAACTAACAAGAATTGCTTTTCCTTAGCAGCAAGAGCCTGCAAAATAAATAAAGTTAAGTACTTTTTGCTCAGAGGGAATTCTGCCAAACTGCCCATTTCCCAGCAGAAGGTGGTAAATACTGTCCTTCAGAGAAGAAAATAACCTAATCAGACATCATTACCTAATGATTTAAGGCCAGATGACATCTAAATAAACCATTCAGGATTTCCTCTTCACATTAGTCAAGAGGGCAAGGCCACATTAGGATCATTTTGAAAAGACTTGTACAAAGCAGTGAGTCACTCCAGTGTAATCATCAACGCAGTCTACCTCTCCCTCTGATTGTCTCTCAACTAAAACGCCCATCATAAAGGCACCTTGATGATGGAGGGAGTAAAGGAACATAATGACCATGCCTTCTAATGACCAAACATTGTTCCTTATTTGTCAACAAATAAACGTCATTGTTACCAATACGCTGGTTTCACATGAAATGTCTGGCATGGGGGTGACAGGTGTATACCATTAACTGAGTGCAGCTCATTACTTCAGAAGGTTATTTTGGAGACCTGGCTCTTTAGATGGCTGTAAAGACTCGAGAAACGATATCTAGCCAGCACCACGTTGACACGATATTGTCGTCAAGATACAAATAGTGTTGCAGAGTTATCCTAGACACTCCAAGCCCTGTTCCATATTTGGCATGAGAGTAGAGGGGAAATGAGGTCAACGGTAGGCAAAAGGAGTGAGTAAGTGTTATAGGGATCCCAGCAGTGGAAATGACAGGTTGTTGGTGAAATGCAATTATCTTCTCTTATAAACTAGAATTAATGTGTTATACTCTTGGCTTACTTCAAAGAAAATATATTTAGAGACTCACAAAAAACCTTATATAATTATCATATACTACTTGGCCACTAGAGGTGTAAAGTAAATTCTTTTATTTTTCCCTTTTCATTTTACAAATATGTAAACATTTATGTAAAAAAACCATAATATTAATTATAATTGTATTGATACCACACTTGGGAAATCCCTGTGTCAACAGCAGATCTGCTGCAATAGGCTGCCCCTTGGAGGTGCAAGTGTGTGGTGCCACTGGGAATCAAACCCAGGACTCTCTCCTTGCCAGACAGGCTTGCTCCTTGCCACAACACTCTGGATCCACATAGTGGATTGATATAGTGATAATATACATACAAATGCTAGGGTATAGTTATAGTGTAGTTGAAGTTGTCTCACATTAGTGCCTGTGTACAGCCACACTGTCCCTTATATGTCACTGAACACTCAGCATTCAGTAACGCAGTCTGTCCTTCTGTGTTAGGTTGTTGGCTCACATCTCGATTTTTTATGTCCTGTGGGGAATAGCTAATCTTGAAGATGTTGCCTTTTTATAAAGCATTCCCTGCAGGAGAGGGGGATAGAGCCACATGCATTTTATTTAATAATATCCCAGCATCCTCTGCCTGTTTGTGTGACTGGTTTATGCCACATATCTATATTTAGGTGTTTCTGGTAAGAGAAAAAATGTGCTGTGTAAGAAATCTTTAGAAAGTTACGTCTCAAACACTTAAATATCTATATATTTTTAAAAAGTTGATTGTAAAAGTTGATTGTAATCTCTTAATTAAATGTCAGTTCCTGTATTGAATACCATGCTGTTAAAGACCTTTTCATTTAGAGGGACAATCCAGCATAAAAAAAAATAAAAATTAATTCTTAATTTACCCCGGAAAAATCTTCCAAAAAGTCTTAAATAAAGGATTTAAAAAGTCCAAAAATGTTTGTTTTCTTAAACAAATAAAAGTGATTCTGGAACAAAACATAAAAAAACCCAAGAAGACAGTAAACAGAAGCTGAAAGATAAGAGGAAATACAATGACACTAACCGTACAGACAGAGTAGACCTTGTGGTGAGACTGTTTGGTCAGCTGCTGTCCTGACATTTTGTGGACAAATACTTGAAGTGGCTTCAATAAAGAAAACACTTTGCAGTCACCTGGCAGTGACCTCTGCTGAGGAAGATCATGTGAAACGGGAGAAAGCTCATGTCATTACTGCATTAGTGGATTATTTACCCAGGTTAATTATGAGGCGGTCTACTCTCTCTCAGAATGGAAACGCAATCAGTTGATCAGGAACAACTGACTCACCAATAACTTTAAAACTAGTGGTTACCTCATTTGCATTTACCCCCTCACAGTCACAAGGCTTCTTGGAAATAGCCACTGGACATTTAGTTTCATGTGCTGACACCTTTTGCCCGCTACACACCCTTGGGCCAATGTGTAGCTATAAATACCCCTGAGTGGGACACAAGCAACAACACAAACACAACAAACACTGTGAAAACACAGACACACATTCCAGTGAATGTGGGTTGTGATTCTCGAGCTGGAAAGAGTCCACACTTTCTCAAGGACACATGGTAAGTTATGGATTTCACGCCCAGCAGGGTGTTCAGTCCTACCTAATATCTAAAGAGGAAGTGCCAACAAGACCCTGGCATCAGGACAGAATATAGAGCTGTTTGAGAGTTTGTGTAGCTGCCAGAAAAAACTGTGACAATCTGAATAGGACAGAGCAGAGACCTAGCTGACAAATTGAGAGTGATAGCATTACCAAGCTGGGTGGCTGATATAAAGTTCAGATGTGACAGACATCATGCAGATTATTACCTTTATATTTTAAGGCACTGGTTTGGCTAATAGGGTTGAACCCACCACAAAAGGAGCTAATGCAGGGGGGCACAGCAAAGCAAATTAATTTTAATTTTAATATTTTCTTTTCACTGAAAAAGAAAACTGCAATGGATTGTAATTCAGCTTTGAAGGAGTTGGTGTTTTTAATGAAGTTCAGCTGAGTATTGAAGAATTAGCTGTAAATGTGTCACTGTTTGAGGGGGGCTTGGGTTTGGAACCAATGTTTCGCATAAGCAGCTGATGTACGTATAATTGATATTTATACTGACATTTTTTAATTTCTTCTAGACTAATGCTGAGCTAGCTACTTTTTATTATTTTGCACGGTGGAGAATGATAGCACTGTAGTTGCTCTATATGGACACCAAGGGGGGCTATATATATTATTATAAGTACAGTATATTATGAAATGCAATGAGTTGAGTTATAATTATAAATCTCACACTCAGTCAAAGCAAGAACTAGGAATATTTGCAGGGTGAAGCACCAACTAGCTTCAGAACACTAGCGAGATGTGGCAAACCATATTTACAGCTACATCCTCATGTTAAATAATCAAATACAACTATATTAAAAAGAAGTCAATATAAAGATTTAAATATTAAAATGAGTCGATTCCTCCAAGCCCACCGACCTCTTCATTTCTTATTTAGGTTTTAATAACAGCTGACAGACTTGAGTTGCTTTCTTTCTACTGCATAGTGATTTCTAGGGAGGCACACAGGGATAAAGCCAATCCCATCATACATCTGACAGGGCGAGGTTCACCCTAGGTAGTTCGCCAGTCCATTACAGAGCCAAAGACGAGACGAACAACTGTTTTTACACACACACACACACACACACACACACATTCTCACCAACGGTCAATCCAATGCAGGGGTGTCCACGCTTTATTGGCATGGGAGCTACTGTTTAAATGACAAGGCTAAAGTGATGTACCTACATTGAAAACACTTTATACATTTACTCATACTTCACACCACAAAGACACTGACCACAACATAATTATATTTTTATGTTATTTATTTATTATTTTAATTGCTCATAATCCTAATAATCATAATTCCTTCACCATCTACTGGCAGATTGCGATCTAGTTATTGAGCAGCCCTGATCTGTGATCTTACTGTGTGATGTAGTTCTTTATTACTGGAGTCCCAAGCAAACTTTTGGAGAACAAACTCTATACAGATAGACCAGCTTAGAAAGTCAAAGTAATCACCCTAAGACTAACACTGATCAACAATGGTAAATGATCTGCTACTGAAAAACACCCAACAAAAAGGTTTGTTCATAGTAGAATCGAGGGTTTCCAGCCTCCGGAGAAAAACAAGTTACACAATATCACAGCTAATGAAACTGTATCAACAGGGCAGGTGTAGCTGTATCCTCATTCTGCACCTGCCGCTGTTTATCTGAGAGGTTTCCCCAACTCATTTTAGGTCAGTGGTGCATGTAAAGAGAACCTCACTTCCCGCACTCTACAGTTCAGCAATAAAAAATGATTGCCGCATTGTTGATGGCCTATAAATCCATATTCGTTACTGTGCTGTGTCATGGCAACAGGGCAACAAAATCACATGTTACACAGCTCCATCAGAGCTAGAGAACCTACAAGTGCAGCCAAGCACATAAATAACTGCACACAACTGCTCTGACAGAACAATTACCAGAGAGGCTTGAAGTTGTTATGATATCGACCAAGGTGTAAGACTCTGTGGGGAGCAATTCTCCTGGATGGTGTGGTGGTGGTGTTTTAAGGTTCTATATTCTATGAACAGAAGCTTCACATTAGACTTACATCCATACAGCATCACCTCTGTCAGCTACAGCTATTTATTATTTAAATACATGTCTGCAAGATTTTCAACATCCTGCTAACAAAGGCTCAGTGCCAGTTATGCATACAGATCACCAGTCTTTTTTCACACCTTTGGTTTGTCCTCATATCTCCGTATTGCTCCACAAAAAGATTAAACATCATGTTAATTATAGTGTTAGTGTCTGCATTCACAATCAGATGTCTGTCACCGTGAGGTAAAGTCGTGAGCTGAATAATGTCCAATAAAAAAAAATGACATTCCGCTACCCATCGTCCATCTCTTCATCCATCTATCAATTCATCCATACAACGATCTGTCCATCCGTCCATGCATCCATTCATCCAAGATAAGCAGATAATCAATATGAAACTGACCTGTTCCAAGTGACTGTTCCTGACACTCTCTGCATCTCCCCCAACGCTGCTAACAACAGGGATGATTTTCCACAGCCCACCTGACCCACAATCATAGTGAGTTTACCTGAGAACATTTGAAGAGGAGGAGAAGAAGTAAAAATGAGGCAACAAAACAACAAGTATTTGAAGAAAGAATGAAATATCAGAAACTGTTTGACGCTCACCAAAGGGAATTCTTATGTCAACGTTGGAAAGTGTGGCCGGTCCATCGGTCCAGGTGAAATAACCACTGGTTATCTGACCAACAGCACAGATTGAATGGAATGTCAAAAATAGATTCAATTACATGGATAAATGCTGCCCTATTTAAATTAATTCGATGACTAGTAAAGAGAATATACTGTACCTTGTTAGACATTCTCTGTTTACATTTTATTAATGATACAAAGATAAATAACTGAGCAGGCACAGTACTTCCTGTTGAAGTAATTCTGACAAACCTATGTTGTAGAAATGCCCAATCATACAACTGAACTTTCTCTGACTTTTACCTTGATACAAATGTCCTGGTCCATGTCCTGTGAAGGTCCGTCACCCTCACGATTCGCCTCGGAGCTGTAGTTGTTCCACTCGTCCCTCGAAGGATGTTTTCGGTTCACCACCTTCAGCGGCTGGAGGTGCCGGGACAGAGAGGAGGAGGACGGGACAGAATTTGAGGTTGACTAGAGGAGGATTAGATCATAGTTAAAAGGTTAAAGAAAGGAAATATTGGTAATAACAGGGAGACAATGAAAAGGGAGGCAGACCGCAGTCTGTAATTCAGCTTTGATCTGGCACCAAAGTAGAGCACATCCAGGGTTAGTTTGTTAATACTCACCACAGCCTGGTATCTATTCTGGTTGTGATTACTGGAACCAGATGGTAACACAGCACTGGGCTCCTGCTCGTCTCCAATCTCATCACTCGAGAAAAACTCACTGAGCTTCTGTACACTGCAAAAAGGCAGAAGGAGATCATGTCAGGCCTGATGATAAATGCAATGAAATATGTAGAATCAATCGAGCAGCGTCTGCTGCCAGTGGCTGCAAACTGCATGGGGAAAATGCATTTTAAAAGAACTCATTTGCATTTGTGTAAACACAACAGCTTTGCTGCTTTTTACGGTCACATCCTTTATTCAGTGAGACAGAGTGGAGAGCTGATTGTTTCTGGAGGTTGATCTTCATCTACTGCCACAGTAACACACACACATTTCTCTGCATCTGTGACTGTAATTCAATCAACCAGCTCCTGCTGGTTTCTCTGAAATGAGAGCAGCTGACTTTTCAAAGTCCAACATCAAATACATTTTTCCTACGGTAGGTGTTTGCAAATGTTAATATAAAAGTTCTTAGATTAATGTTATAGTATTTTGAATGGCTTTCTGATTTTAATCACTTAAACATTAAACAATGTATTTTAGAGTTGCAGTTTTTTCAGGTGTTTAGCACTCAAAATTAACAGTTTAAAAATAAGAGCAATAAAAGCAAGTCAATTTCAGAAGTTAGACCGAGCAGGCTGTGATGGAAACACCGTCTGTTAAAGTGTTCTCTCTTTTATGGAGGAAATGCAGTGAAAAGCTTAGTTATTTTTTACTTTGTTTTCTAGAGCAGTGGTGCTGAAGCTACACTATGCTTCTTTCCTGTGTGAGAGAACATCATAGTTCCAAAAATAGTCACCTCAGTAACATAGTGACATAATCAGAGTGCTGAGACACAGCCTCCTGGAAGCCAATATAAAGTAAAAATTTAATTTTTATTACTTCCACCCCTCTCCAAACAGAAAGAGTCACGGTGGCTGTGGAGCGCCATCATCTCTGTGTTTGAATCATCTTGGAGGAAAAACCTCCACTTCATTTAACTGTTCCCAGTGGAGGCTTTCAATCAATTAATGTTCATATATCTGTACATTATTTCATAATAAATTAAGTTAATGACAAGACTGTGTAAATTGGTGTCTATAAAAACCCCATCCATCCACCACTGATGGAGCAGTGATTAACTGTTTACAGATGAGACAGTAGTGGCTCTCTGCTTCTCTTCCATTATAGCATGACCTTTCTCTGCTCATGTGTTCCATTAGACCAGAGTGTGGGGATGGTTTATCTTGAGTCTCCACATTAAATGATAAACTTCTACAGCTGGTATAACGGTCCAAGAAATGGATTACACTTTTGTACATCTGCACTGAAATAGACATTGTATACAGAACCAGCAGATGTATATTTCCCTTAATTAAGAGCACAGTAAGTGTCTCTGCCTGAGCTGAACCAGTGCTTAAGTTAATTGCTGGCAACATAAATGTAAGCAGTCAGCTACAGTGCTAAAACAACTGAGCAGGGCAGAAGTTTGTTATGTGGAGAGAGGTTAATGCAGCAGTTCTATTCACTACAGGAAACAACGTGCTGAAAAGTGTTTCATTTATTCAGGGACTTTTTGTTCCTTTTTCCTAAGTTTAGCTGCTGTTTTAGGGATGTCATTCCTCAGCATGCCTGCTTTTAGACAATGTCTCTAGACACTGTGAGGACGTGCAGATTGAAATATGTTCTATCCCACCTAACAAGAGCTTTGACGGTAGAGCGCACCACACTGGACAGCAGGAAGAGGGGAGTGACCAGGATGTGGAAAAGGGACAGAGAAGCAAAGGCCACAGCTGGAGACAGGTCAGCATCCTCTGAGATGTGGACATGAACCACAAATGTCTGCAGGACAACAGAAGGGACAGAATGGAAGAGGTTAGTCTCTAACATCCTACAGAAGGCGGGGAGCAGGAGGGAGTCAATTGAAGGGATTAAACAATGAAAGATGACAACAGTCAAACTTGAGTTTGAGGAGCAATCAAAGAACGGCATCATTTATCCACATTTGTCCACTGAGGTCAACGTTCTCCTTGGTATCTGTCTAACTTTTTGTCAGAGATCAGAGCAACAACTGAGAAGGAATTCTCAGGAGGACCTTAGAAGCGGTCAATGATCCTATCAGGGTGTCACAGTCACCTTCCAGTCAGATCACTTGACAGTCTGCCCTCTAAAGACAAGTAAACACTCTGGCTATGATAAAGCATAAGTTTTCCTTTGATGAGAACACCTACCGTCAACACTGCTGCAATGGGAATAGCTGCATTCATGAAAACTGAAAGGAGAAAAGTCAGAGAGCAGTGGTTCAGACAAGGCAGAAGATGTTCTCTATGGCCACAGAGTGAAAATTATAGTTTCATGTTATTTTATAGCATTTCATATACAAAATCACACAGTTGTTTGAACAGGCTGCTCAGTTTGTGAAGTGTTTCTAAAGCACTGTGGTCAGCAGCTGGATCACAGTGTGCTCTGATATAAAATTCTTAGAAAGACATTTTCAATTCTGCCTTTGAACTATGTTCTCCACGAGAACGCTGAAATGCCATGATTTTAAAGAGGCATTTTAACCAGAGACCTGGCTAAATTCTACACCAGGTCAAGACTGTGTTCAGAAGAAACAAAGTGCCTCACTGGATATGGATGTGTAAAGAGCAAAGGCCTGCAGGCTGGTGAGCTCCTTGCTCCTGGTCTCCTCCACACTGTCACAGAAAATACGTTCCCAGGCGTAAAGCTTGAGAAGTTTGATGCCCCGCAGCAGCTCATTGGTCTTTTTTAAACGCTCACTGGAGTATTCCTTAAAGGAAAGATGGAGACAATGAAGATATAAGATATGTATAAAGACAACAAAAGCTGCAACCAGGGGGCAATCACAGTCTAATAACTGCTGCTTATTGTTTTACAAGTTTAAGTAAAAATAATCAAAAACTACACAATGTTCTCTCTTATAATATAGTCAAACATTACATTTAAAGACTAAAAGCATTATGACAGGAGACTGCTGCTGCTGATTACTGAAAAGTACTTGTAAAGTACCTGTAAGTGGGGGCAGTTGTCTGGCTCTGGAGTAAAATACCTATCATATGAGAGCTTAACAAGAAACTGGACCTATGAATACCAAACTAAGATATGCAGTAGACTGTGGGTAGTTTAATGGTAACTAATTCTAAATTATTATATCCTCTGTTATAGAAATTAATTAAAGAAAACTAAACTTTAACGAATCCAAAGTACTTATTACAGGTGTGAGTGATACAAAAGAAACTTATTTCAAAAAATGTATTTCAAAACTCAGGGTCAACCTTCAACAATGGGCTTAAGAAGAAGAAGACCGTGATTAACACTTAATGAGATATTCCAAAGCTAGTCCTAAACCTAATTTCTTGGGCGAAGCAAGAGCTAATTCAACTGATATTCTGAGAATTATAAGGTGGAATTTAAATCGGATGAAGATGAAAACGCAGTAACTCTTTTAGAATTCAGTGCTTGGTCTTGCAGAAGCATTTCCAACAGATGTAGTATCAAATACATAGGCGTGCAGGCTGTAGCCATTGAGCTTTACTCACCAAAGTGCTCTTCTGTGCTTGGGAGAGTTTTGTAGCCACAAAGTATTGTATTGGTGCTAATACAGCAATCACGGTCGCTCCAATCAAGGCACTGATTCCCAAGAGGTAGTAGAGCAGGATGACGCCTACAATGATCTGAAAGTCGAGCACAAACACAACAAGAGTGTAGGACAACATTAATGAATAAACAACGTCCACAGTGATAACTGCAGCACACCAACACGTGAATGTGAAACGTGAAAGATTTTCTTACACCACCTTTCTTCAACACTGACACTGTTGTGTTCTGTTCTGGTTTTATAAAACCCTTTCATTTCACTTGCTTTACATGTGTTTCATAAACACAGTTACCTGAACCGGCATGGCCCACAGGTTTGGACACAGAAAGAAGAACCACATCAGCTGGTTGGTATCGATTGCAACCAGGTTGCAGATCTGTGCCACGGTCAACTCGCCCAGAGATATGTTGGAGGTGCACAGACGCATGATCTTGTTGTAGATTTTTGTCTGAGGATGAGAATGCAAAATCCTCTGAATCCCATTCACTGAGTGACAGTCAAAAGTGTTTCAAAGACTCAGATCAGAGATGATACCTGTATGGCGCCACGAAGGTTGATGCCAGTTTCAATTGCCACATAGTAGGACGCCTGAAGGAAAGTCCTTTGGAGAAGAAGAGCCAAGAAGAGCAACACAGCCAGCACATATGCGTTCTCAAGAAACTCCTTGGAAGAAATGAAATAGATACCGAGGAGCTTCATCTGGAAGAGAAGGAGACAGAGGGTTCAGAGGGGGGAAGAAATATTGACTGTTTTATTATTGTTAGTCAGACAGAAGCCCTGAGGTCATTTGTGCAGGTTAAACCAATAGAGCTGCAGCTGACTGGCAGAGATGGCAATAATACCTTTCAGGTATTTGAATATAGGGTTTCAGTGTGAGAGGGTCTGCAGTACGAGGTGTGAAACCGAACTCATGCAGAGTTCTGATTGTGTTACACTTCTGAGAGACGTGCGTGCAGTGTGGACTGGAAACCAGAGACAAGTGGGGTTTACTTGTGGTGACAGATACAATATCCTCCTCGAAGAATAATCAACTCTGCATTGGCTTCACAATCTGTATTTTAAAACCTGTGAACTAAATGATGTGAACATATTTCTAAAACCCTCTAGTTCATGCAAATGTGCCTAATCATATTTTTGAAAATCCTTTGAGAAGACGGCAGTCGGATTCAAATGTCTGCCAAAGAAGCCGAGATGACTCCAGCTGTATTAAGTCTCATTAAATTTTTACAACTCCTAAATTAGTGCAGCATCGTTGCAGGTGCAAAATATGTGCCATGACTAATGCTGTAGACATTTTTGAAAACATTGAGTTACATAATTTATTGTATGTGTAATATCTCCTCACCGGTGTCTGGATTGTGCGATTGTCTTTGCTGATGTGGTGTACGATTCCAGAGATGCAGAGAGGACCAGCAAAGCCCAGCAGGTCGGCTAGAAAACGAAATGTGATGCTAAGGATGAGCGGTCTCCCAAATGCTTTTCTCAGGGCCTGCCAGATCCACTTTGGACCTTGGGGCGGTGCACCCTGAGGCCGCTGAAGAAAGAAACAAAGAGGAAAATAATATCATGAAGCAAAAGTAATAAAGTAAACATGAATGTGTTTTAATTGGGTGTTGCATTCAACTGGCGGAAAACAGCTAATCTGAAATGGCTGACAAACAATATTGTTCCATTTATATAATTGAGATTATTACAATATAAATTGCAGGCTTAAATCACCATGACACATTTAGATTGTTTACTGTGTAGTTGCAATGAAATTGCTCTTGCTGCAGATAAAACTACATGCCATGGTTACTTTCACTTGTGTCAGATACTAACAGCTGCATCCCTGTGGAGCTGTCGGCAGAAAAAAAAAAAGAGAAGAAACTGAAATGGAATCAACAAAGGCTAACAGAGCAACAGGATACGAGGATGCTTTCATGAAACCAAATGAAAGCATTTAATTCAGACCAGGTCAGTCCACACCATCTTTGCCTGTGCAGATCTGCATTGATCATGTTGAACATGATGAGTAATGATGAAGGTTGCTGTGCCACTCAGCCAGTCAGTGTTCCTGTAACTAATGATGTTGAAGAACCATGACAGTGTCTGAGAAACTAAACTAGATGAACTGCAAGTTACAAAAGAGAGAGATGAGACGTCTCTCCTAAAGCCTTGGAGAGCATTAGAACATTAGGAAGTACTTTAAGAATGAAATGGACTTCAACCACAGATGGTGAGAGACTTATCTCAATCCATTACCTCCAACAAAAGACTGCATTTGTCTGCTTATCTGTCTCACTGTCAGCAGGACAAGTCAATGATGATGGATTAGGACACAGGTGTCCAAGTCATTTAAAGCAGCGGTCACTAAACTTTATTGCGCCACGAATCGGTTAAATCTGGTTAAATACAACTAAATACAATGATACGACCGGCATAAAAACTTATATTTTCTAAATATTATAATAAAACTGTAGCCACTGTGTATGCAACCTTATTAGCAGCGTCCTCGTAACATCGCTCTTGTCTTTTAATGCAGAACGCTTGGTCTCCAAGTGGCGAAGAAGTTTTAAAGGCTTCATTGCCTCAACAGTTCGCCGTTCGCCTCGTATAATGCAGAGCGTGCTCGGTGCGTGGGAACAACCTGTCGCAATAAATCCATATTGCACGTAGGACCCTTTTACCCTGCGCAGAGAAACTTTCCAACGACGTTTGTTTTCTGTTCATTTTGCTGGCTTGGTGGTTTCAATTGTGTGTTACCGGAACAGATCCTTTAAAAGGGTAGCGGATGTAGACATGCGACCGAATCAAGCATCTTGACATGTATCAAGGTTGAGTCATAGACAGATGGTAATCCGGTAATTTTTCAAAATAAAACATCGTTCAGCGCACATAATTAAAACGGAAAGTATGGAAGTTATGCATTATTTTTGTGCGGCCCGGTATCAATTCACACACGGACCGGTGCCGGTGCGCGGCCCAGGGGTTGGGGACCACTTATTTAAAGGATATACTGTGTCCTACAGCCCAGACATTTTTTTCCTTGTCTTTCATGACCTACTCCGTGTGCACTACTTGTGTACTATGTGTAGGTCCGTTTTTTTATTGTGAGGTAGTGATGACGATTGACATGTCTATTAACTATTTGGACTTGGAGAAGAACGATTGTGCTGTTTGGGGTTTCAGATAATATTCATCATTAATATAATTAGACAGTCTGTTTGACTCTCACTGTGTATCCTAAAAGGAATGCCTTCATAGTAATTCGGTCAGCTGTGTGCCAATGTGTGTGAGGGTCATTCTAAAACTGTGAGAACATCCGTGAGCATTTCTGTGTATCGTTATCTTTGCATTAAAGTTAATAGACTGTCTTATCCCCCAAAAGATGTGTACCACCATAGGCACCATACACATGCATACACATGCATGTGTATGCATGTGTATGGTGCACTCTCTCACACACTCATTCTACCTTACTGTAAATCCAAGTACATGAGGACAACACTTTTTACATTTTAGCCTGTCATTCCAGGGTAAAACTAGCTTCCCATGAAGTGCAGTGCTATCGTTCTCACAGGGGTCAGGATGTCGCGTTGTTCACAGTACAATGAGAATGACCCAGCGCCTCCAGGCTCACTCTGTAAAGTGCCTTACCCCACCCTTCACCCCAACCTCTCCATTGGGATCTCTTCATCCCTCTCATCCCTCACAACTACCGGAAGGAAGTGGGCTTCACATTCATTAGGCACTGACGAATTTAAGAGACCTTCCAAACACTGGAAAACCATGACCCTGAGTCACCTCTGACCCCTGTCACGTGCAACTGAAGTGAGATGAGAATCAGGAAAAGGACGCAGGCCAAGGACACATCCTCAGCTTGGACTGTGTTATAAAGACTGTGAAATAACCCTAAGGATAGAGCTGGGATTTTAAGAGAATATACAGACTAGAGACTGAAGTTACACTTGAGCTTACAATAGCATTATGGAATTATACATTAATGATTTAATTTACTTTCACTACCATGACATTCACAGAAGTAGTGAATGTGACAGCTGACCTCACTAAGAGCCTACATACATTAGACTTTTGGTTTTATGCATAATGTTGGGTGTTAGTCTAACTAAAATAGCTACCAGTCATGTAAATTTGTCGTGAAAAAAAAAAACACAACAAAAGTATTGCACTCAAATCCTAACCATCAAACTTCCAAACTTAATTATAGCAGTCCAGACAACACACCAATATAATGACATGTTTTCCACTCTGTCACATACCTTTTCCTTTATTAATTACATATTCAATCATATATTTCCTAGTTTTTCTGTATAAAAATGAGAAAATATCGACAGCCCACAAGTCTCATTCTCCTCTTAGGAAACAGATGAACAAACAGGCCAGACATTCACATGCACACTGTTTCCATGAAGCCATGTTTTGCGTTGTGTGCAGAATGCAGCCTGGTTAACAGTAAGATTCACCAAATTTTTTAGTGCATTTATAAAATGCAAAGCAACGTTCTTGGATATGGAGTTTGTATGATAGTGGAGTATCTGAGCACATGCGTGTGTTTATTTACAGGCGGTCTAACCATCAGTGTTTCCTTTGTTGACTCATCATTTCTGTGACGTCTGGATTTAAGTCCCAGTCCAGCCATTGATTGTCTTTACTGGACGGCGACCAACTTTTTCATGACAACAGCTGTTCTGAACAAACAAACCCCAGTCAAAACTCTTTGACGTCATCGGTGTCTCTGACTGGCTGCTCAGTAGTTATGCCTCGATAATCACTCTAACAAAAAGCAGTTTGGTACTCCAGTTTGCTGTGGACAAATGTAACAGACTAGCAAACATTGTTATTTCTGGTCTGGTATTAGACTTCTTCAGAGCAAAGTTCAATTTTAATATTGTTGTTGCTATACATACACATACTGTGTTTTTAGAGCACACTGGTCTTAAGACTCCCTCAGCCCTCAACTAAGAACTTCCATCTGTGTATTGTATGTACTGACCTTCTGCTCCTCGAAGGCCTGGCGTAACTTTATGTAGTTTGTAAGGGCTCTCATGGCAATAGGAAGTTTGCCAATGACTTTGAGATCGATGGGTCGTCTGTGGGCAGAGGTGATAAACGTGTTCATCCACCAGTATGTGGCTTTGGACAACAGGTTAACAAAGGGCTGCAGGAATCGAACTCCCAGGTCCTGAAGATCTTCTGGTGGTTTCACCTCTGTGGGGTTGGCGAAACACATGTAGCGCTGCAAAAAAAAAAAGGAGAAGGAGAAGTTAATATAACATATTTATACCTACCTATAGCATTGCTTCTTCTCTGCACTGACTACATGAATGCTTTGAGTGTCTATGTGTATTTTGTACTTTTGTTAATTAGACCTGAATCTGCTCTTTGTGTCTGGGCTTTTGTGTTGACATAGTTGGTTTAATTCCCATTTGTGACTCCATCTCCAGAGAGACTTTTAAACAATAATGGTGGACTCCTAATAAAGATGTTAGCTTAACATTTCAGGTTTATTTCTATTCTCCACCTTAATCTGCTATACATAAAATAACTCAGGATGTTAAAAAAACAAAATGTTTAGAATCATTGTGTAAAGGTTATTTTTAACATTAGCTTTGAAAACACAGGAGTTGTTTCACTTTAAGAACAGGATATGATCAAATGACATGGCTGCACACACACACGCACACACTCACCCTGCCCAGGATGACATTGATCTCCACAGCTAGTAGCAGTCCGTAGAGCAGCACCAACAGTCCAGTGATGCAGTAGCGTAGTTGCCTGGGGCCAATGCCATGCTCTGTGTACTTGGCAAACTTAATGGTCTTCATGATGAAAGCCAGGCTCCAGTAGATTAGAAGGGCTGTGGATGTGAAGTAGTATTTACAGAAGTACATCAGACTTCAAAAATGAATATTCTGTGCAGCCTGATGCTAACGCTTTTAAGTGCTGAGTTTGCTCATAATACACTGTCGCGTTTTTCCACTCATCTTTCCTCTTTAAAAAGAGGCCACAGCTTTCAGCCTGCCCTGCCGTTAACACAGAGTTGTACCTTCAGTGTTGGCTTTGTCTGGTCTTTTTATTGCAACCCTTTCTTTGTGCTGGATATAGTTTTGATTATTGTTTGATTGAGATCAACTAGATAAACATAAGAGTCAATGAGAGTCCGTCCAACCCTAGTTCATCAAAGGCTGCTTGGTCTGTACGGTCCAAGGATTCATCACAGTATGGTTGCATTTCAGGAAAAAGACACAGCACATATCTACATTTAGAATAAGTACGAGGATGAGTTTAACACGCCTTCGATCAAGTGTCGGCATGATATTGAAGATGGAGCGCTAATAAACAACAAAAATGATTTGTTGCATTTTTGTGTCCTTCCGTTACAGACGTCAGCCAGGTTTAATGGCTGTTGGAGATTTCGTAGCTGAAACAGCCATACACGCAGACACAGATTTATATCCCTGTGCTTTTTGTCAAATGTATAGTATAGTGTGCTGTACATATTCTGTACTTCTGGGCTCTGTCCCTTGCCAACTTAGTACCTCTGCCTAATTCTCTGGACTGATTTCCTTTGTGACAAACTTCACAATAAAAGCTGCCTGAAATGATTTTTGTCTCTGACTCATGCATTTTATTGCGCATGGCATCTGCTATAAAAGTTGTTAAAAGTGTCTTTTTTCTTTCTAACGAACATTTAATGTGACTACAGCAGAGTCAATGGCAGTCTTGGTTCAAGAGAGTAATTCACAATCATGCAGTAATGAAGAACCTGGCATGTTTCCATGGCTTCTCCTTAAGTGACTGACTTTGATGTGGAGACCCAGAAGCCTGAGGCTGTTCAGCCATTGGATGTGAGCAGCAAGTTAAGTACTGAGAGCTGAATACAGATGAAGCAATGGGGTGTGAAAAAGACAAAACAAATATCTGGGGTTGCCAGACATTTGTGATGTCAAAATGGGGTCAACAGCCAACAAATGTTAGGACCCACCAGGCTAAGTCAAAGTGTTTTCACCAAAGACTCAATCATAATGAACTATAATTCACAGAAACAAAACCACTGACTTCACAAACACCCAAATGTGTTGCAGAGATCAGGTGTTTGTATGAATCTGTATATCAGCAATAAAAAGCCAAACCACATATGTCCTAATAAGAGAGCACTCCCTTTTCTTCCCACCACTATGCTTCTCACCACAATATATAAATTCACAAATATATATTGAGAAAATAAGTTAATTTTAAAACATTCATTAACTTATTATCCATCAAGCCACACAACGATTTATTTCCATACTGTAGTGATTACGGCATAGAAAAATGAATGTAGTAACTCGGTACCTATTAGTAGTTTTGGAAAGTTGGAGGTCTCGATATTGTGGTAGTAGATAATAGAAGTGATTCCGGCCATGAAGGCCAGAGCTGAAGGCATGTACAGGTGAAGGTGCAGAGATTGGCTGAACCTGAAAAAAGGTAGAAGACAAAAGACCATAAAGATTCAAAATATGGATCAGTATCATATACAATGTGGATAAATATATAATGTGAACCATTTCCTCAACCTTGTGAATATAAGTGCATGTGTTAAAATGAAATGCCCACTGTAAATATAGGAGCTGAATGAGTATCAATCAGCCAATGATATGGTTCATGTCTGCAGACAAAGCTGACAGACAGTGAGTCGGTGGAAGGTTGAGCCTAGACAGAGAAAGAGGAATTAGATGCATTCAAAGATGACAAAATTTAAATTATTTTTTATACTCCATGCAGATTTCTGTATTTGACGTAAATTTGAACAAATCTATAGATTTCTATCTATTAGATAGAGTGTGCTATTCAAATGACGAAGCTAAGTGACATTGGAAATGGTAAATATATATTTACTCAATATTGACACAATGTTCAATTTCGTACAGTATGTAGTCACTACTACATACTACAGAATTCTATTCATCTATTTATTTATTTTAATTGCTCATGCTCTACCAGCACCCCCTCTGGGCACCTCTGCTGTAGACAACACAGCATAAGAAAACGTTTTCACTGAAAGACCAGAAGTGCATATTTGGTTCCAGAGTTATTCCAGATTTGACAGCATGTCACTTTTGCTTTACCACATCAGTAAATGTTGCCCTTTAGTGTAAATTGACTGAATTATTAACATCACATCAACTTCAACTGAAAATTGTGATGCTCATTTTTAGTGTGCAGGACAGATGTAACATTCTGGAACATTCTGGAACAGGGGTCAGTTGTTATACAGTAGGCTCAATGAAACTCTATTGTCATCAGCTGTGTCATTTCCTCTGCGTATTTGTTTATTTGTAAAAAAAAAAATAGGGCTGTAACTGATGGATTCAGAGAACAGTGATTTACTGAAGACTTTGAACTAGTAATGTGCTTCTTGTCATTATAATTCATGGATAAAGTAGCATCACTTCTCAGTTAAAATGTGCAACCAGTCAGATTTGACAAAATATTTTACATCTGGCCCACAAACCCAAATCCCCTTGTGGCTCACCTACTGTCCAAACATCAGAATGCATGCAATTGTTTTTCAATCTTCAGCTCTATTTTTGGTGCAGACAACTTTAGACCCTGGGCCAGAGATGTGTCGTTTTACAAGTGCAGTAGCAACACAACAGACGACTTCAGTGGGAAACAGTCATCTGTGTTTGGGGGTTTTTTTGCTGTAAAATGTCTTTGTCCAATCCCACCCAAGGCAGCCATCGATCATTGAGCTGCAGAAGTTGAATTTCAATGTGACTGCAGGGCTAACAGAGGCATTTGTTTAAGCTTTCAAGAACAGAAAACAATTTACTGTAGGTCAATAGAAATGCTGCCCTTTGCCAACATTGATTGTCAGTTATTTACTTGCTGCCAGCAAATTAGAAAACTGAAGGTATAGTGACACAGTAAAAAAATGTACTTACTTTGAACTAATTTACTTCATTCAAAGAAAATTCAGTCATATCAATTTACTTTCTTTATTTAAAGATAATCTGGTAATATTTTAAAATAATATGTCATTTAGACTCTGATACAAACAAATGAGAGTCTAAAAGATGTTTTATTTTGAAAATGTAATAAACCATATAGATCCTTCACTGCTCAGCACCTTGGTACTGGTCCATAGTAACAGGTGGTACTGGCTGACTGGTCCTTGGAACAAAAAAGGGTTGGTGACCACTGGTATAGATGTAACTACTCCATAACAAACTAATACATGTTTCTGCAATTGATTATTATTTATTCAAGCTACAAACATTGTTTATTGCTGTGTAATAAAAAAATTAATTTCTCAGGTTGAGACATTCTGCTGCATGGACTTTACTAAATGCTTTTTAAACATCCGTGGGCCACACAAAATGGCTTGGCGGGGCGTATTTGGCCCTCGGCCCTTGTGTGACACATGTGGATTGGATGATTCAGATTGACATACAGTATCCATAACGCATTGATTTCACTGAAAAAGCACTGAATGGTCTGAAATTCAATCATACCCATCGGAGACGATTCCCTCCGCAATCTCACACACCAGGATGAAAAGTAGGGCAAAGGTGAATAGCCAGCGAAGATTGTGCCCTGGAAAGTGAAGCCAGGTGCTGTGGTGGATGTGAACCTTTGAACTCTGGCTGCCCCAACCTGAAACAGAAGACGGAAGATTAACATTTAGAGCATCTTTTAGAAACAGAAATAGTGCAGATGATAGACTATACTTTTGGAATTATTATTACTAAGTATATGTAATTAATGAATATCAGGACAAAATGTGTACAATAAAGTGCACATTCCTGACAACAAGGTTGAAGAGATGTGGTAGCAGAAAAAATTAAACTGAAAGACGGTGTGGTTGGCTGGCAGAGTGCCTATATTTGGTGTACATGAAAAATTGCTGGATGCTTGGCAGGCAGAGGAACGTGAGTGCAGAGGGCTGTCAGCCCCCTGAGTCTCACTGAGATATTTATGCTTTAATAAAGATAAAATGTTTTTGGCTTCACCCATCTCAGGTAAATCAAAGACCGTAAGAATAATGCTAACAATGTGCTTGTTTTTGGCATCTCACTACTGGTAATTGAAAACTGATTTTATTTATTGACCAAAGTGATTATTTCATCATCGAGGGGAGAGAAAAACAAAAACTGACAGACAGTGAAAATCAATGCCAGGTGAAAATAGACTTATATTAACATATTCAATTCTCTCAGAATTGCCGAGGCATGTTCAAACCAGATAAAGAGAGGAACGGTTGTGAATCTTTGAAGTTCTATTTTTGAGTGAGTCACAGGTACAAAGCACCTTGGACTTGATTTGCCTTGATAGAAAATGATAGAAAAGTCAAAGATAAACCCAGTCTCAAAGCCAAAGGCTCAGAGAGAGAATGTAATCAACAAGAAAACATACATGTAGACACAAAAAAAAAACACAACAAGAAATGAGCTCATAATTAAAAAAATTTAAAAAAGGGCATCTTTACAGTGAAAAACAAAAATATTAGGCTCCCTGAGCTGTATTGATTAATGAATATAACCAAACCTGAAATTCTGTTATTGTTTGTTGCATTTTCAACAGGGTTTGCTAACTTTCCCCGAGATGTTAAATGTATGTGCTATGTAGCTACTTTAGAGACGACTGTGATTCTGATGAGCAGACAGAAGCTTGATGCCCTTGATCCTTGTGTTATGTCCTTAAAGTAAACTCTTACTAAACCTTATTTGTGCACCTCTGTTACAGCATGAGCATCTGTCTGTGAGCTGCTTGGGAGGCTGTGCTTTGGAATCAGAGAGATGATCGCACATCTCCCTGTGGCACTCACCAATGAAAAGGATGGGGAAGGTGATGAAGAGGAGAAAAACATGTGGCACCACGTTGAGTGCATCCAGGAAACAGCCATTGTTTAGAACCCCCCTGTCCACGTTGTACGCCACTGAGTTGTTCTCATTCCCACAGAACGCCAAGGACATCGTGGCACTGGGACTCTGCAGGTAACAGACAGATTGAAGAGCAGGAAGAGGGGCAGGAGGGGGAGAGATAGAGTATCACAGAGGGAGAGCGAAAGGAGAGACACAAAGATTTAAACAGGACCCCTTTCAGAACATGCTGTTTTTAACAGAGAAGATTTACGGCATCCTCAGTAGACCCAGGTAATTTCCAAGTGACCTCCTTCCTGCTCACTTACTGACTCACCGGCTTTCAAATATCAGCAGAAGAGAGGAGACAAAGGGAAGCTAGAGTCAGTAAGGGTGTCAGAGACAGTCACAGTCCAGTGCAGCAGCAGCAGCAGTAGCAGCAGCAGTTTGCTGTCCTCTCCAACTGGCTAAGCAGCTTTTCCGTGGTGAGTAACATCTGCATCCCCCCTGCAGCCGGTCTTTAGACATCCTTTAAAACTGAGGCTAAACGCATGCATAGCACTGCACACCTCCCTAAACCTAAACATGCTCTACAGCTAGAACAGCAACATTCTGCAGTGCACCTACTATTCCTGTCTCTGTAGATAAGCGCGTTCAGAGTCGACCTTGGTCTGTGAGAGCCGAGGTAACAGTGCTCGGCGAGCTGTGGGCGCGAGCGGCACAGGCGCTGAAAGTAGGAGTGAGAGAGTGGACGAGAGAAAAATGCTGAGATGAGAAATGAGAGATGGAGCCCTGAGTGGGAATTGTACGTCATTGGGAGATACGTGTGAAGCATGAAAAAGGGCTATACTCTAAATCCCAATCCCACAATATCAAGAATTATGTAACTCTACCCGTGAGTCATTGGATATGCCAGTCCCTATTGTGTAGCCTTCATACAGTGTATCTTATATATGTATGTATATATATTCCCCAAACACTGGGATAGAGAGCAGAGACTGTACACATGGAAAATATATATGTATAAAACATTAATGATCCCAAACCAATAAATCAAGCATGTATTAAACCCCTAAATAAATATAAAGGCAGTCTTTATTAGCCTTAGTACACCTTGCTGCACATTTGTATTTTTCCCTTTTCTTGTGTTATGCTAATGATCACAATCATTTACAGTGAATGTGTTTACAGTGTAGAATAATGCAGTAGTAATGCTATCTTTGTTAGATTTATGTTTAAATTGTGATGTAGAAATTAAATATAGAATATAAAACAATGTAAAACATTATAAAACATAGGATTAGGTTCATTGTTTACTCTGTATTAACCACAGCTTTCAATGGTAGTTTGTCTCCATACGTGACCCTGTGATGTGCCCCGCCCCTGCCAGATGACAGCTGGGATTAGCTCCAGCCCCTTTGTGACATAGGAGAGTTATGGGATTGGAAATGAATGAATGAGTGGTTGGCTGGTGCTTCACAGAGTGTTCACAAAGTCCACAGTGTTTAACATCTTTTGAATTTACATTATATCAGTTAACTAATGTCTAATGTAAATTGATGGTGTCAGAACAATCACCGTTCCTTTGAGAAATTTTGAAGCAGAATTTAAAACCTCTTCAGTTCTCAATGCTACACAGTGGTTCAGCTCTTCACTTGTCTTATTTAGGTCAGGGATCGCAAACCAAAGAGATAAAGGTGAGAAAATATTTGTTTTCAGAAGACCAATCGGTGCCGGCCTATCTACTGTGACTAACCACTAGCTCTGATACCTTTGTAACATACATTGGGCATTTGTTAATCTCAAAAGCTAAGTGCATTAAGGCGTTTGTACATAAATAGCAAAAGGTTCTAAAACCATATTATATATTTAAAAATGTTGCATAATACTGTATATAATCATGTAAAGCAGAGATCATACTGGAGCTTAAAGCTCGTTTTTGTGGTTAACATCGCAGTTAATCCAAGCCCCACTTGGCCACTGTATAATAAAAAGAAAGAAGTTTAATTGTGATAAACGACCCTGGGATGTTCACTTCTCTATTATCTCATGAAGCCACATGAAAAAGACACTAAAGCACTGTAAAAACCCAAAAATCATTTTGTGCAGATGTGTAGATCCTAATTAAATTACAAAATTTGAATTGTAAGACTGGCATATTTTCTGTTTATTGTTGCCAGGGTAACAGGTCAGGTCACCCTCTGCTCTGCCCTACATGATTGAATTAGCACTGGTATCTAAAGTTCCAGGGGAAAATTGAAGATACCTTTTGAAAAAAGGAATTTGGGATAGCAAAACTATTTTGAGATAACATTTAGTTGACATAATTTCTGGATTAAACAATCTGGTGATAAAACAGCAAGATCTAAATACATATAGACTACATGTTTTAGAAGAAGTGAACAGAAACAGAAACGAAGGATGTAATGTACAAAGAATAGTAGTACGCGTAGAACATATATATTGGTATGGGAGTGATTTTGTTGCATTTTTACTAACTAAATAGCTGTGGCTATTTTTAACATTTGAACAGGAAGGTCTGTAGGGACTAAAGGTTTTCTTCCAGTGTTTGAGCCCCATTCACTGTCATAGGTGTGGATGCTAATGGAAAATAAACAAGTTAAAGTTAGGGCCGCCCATGAAGCCGTTGTACAGAGACTGTACAAGTGAATGAAAGTTGGTGCAGAATTCCAAGATAAGCAGTTGAGAAAATCACTGTATGTGTGAAACTGTTATTTTCGCGTGGGAGTAAAGTGAAGAAAAAGATGTGGAGTGAATCATACCGACTGTGTTAATGTAGCGGCTGCATTAACAGCTGAACAGCTACATTCAGCCTCGAGTCTGTCCTCATTTACACAGACCCTGTGAAAGTGTTGTGATAAAACGCTGCTGTGTTTTATAAAAGACTGTGAACATTTCACCGTGAAACCATAGTCAAACTGCTGAACTGGAAAAGCACATATGATATTTCACACCGTATCATTTCAAGACTCGGGAAAGAAGTCCACGGTGCATCTAGGTGAGATGTTCGAAATCTAGGCTACGATATTTACAGCTCTATAGATATATATATACACACACTGCCCCAAAAACACAGACCAAGACATGACCCGGAATGACTTGTGATCCCCAACCAAATAGAGGTGTCCGTGACATTTTAACAGCCCAGTGAAGGTGTAGCTGAAAAGTAAGTGACCCTGTCACTCTTACCGGTTTGTATCGTGAGATCATCGTGTTCTGGCCCGGATTCCCTGACTCCACAGACGCTCTTTGGTTCTGTTACATCCGAGGCTGTGATAGTTTAAAAACAAACAAACAAACAAAAGAAATATTAAGAAGAAAGAAACAGGAAGTGGAGGGAAACTCTCCGTCCGTTGTCTGAGCTTCTCATGTGCTCCTCAGTGAAGCGGACTCGTCAGCGTCCTGGTTTACGGGTGTATTAAGAAGAAAGAAACAGGAAGAGGAGGGAAACTCTCCGTCCGTTGTCTGAGCTTCTCATGTGCTCCTCAGTGAAGCGGACTCGTCAGCGTCCTGGTTTACGGGTGTTGACAGGTAGCTGTCCACGGTGCTGAACCCAGCGAGGAGGAGGGAGACAAAGAGCAGGAGCAGGTCCCGTGGCTGAGGGCCACCTCTGTTCACTAACACGCTTTCAGTCGGATGTGGCGGTGCAGTTAGCGGTCACGTATTCCATCACACTGACAAAAGAGAGGCTGGCTGTTGCTCACGATGGTTATATAATAAAGAAGTGGCACGTGAAGGCAGCACACACTTTGTAATAAATGATGGACATGGTACGGATGTAAAAATGGCACCATGATCTCCTGCACTGGCTTAAAGGGCGCTTTTTTTTTACACCATGGTTCGTAAAAATGCAGAAATATGAACACAGCGTGAACTCATTCTTAGATGAGCTTCACATGAAGGCGTACTATTGCCCCCTGTGGACATTTAATTAGACGTGCTTGGCTTTCCCTGATCGATTCTAAAAAAGAAATCAGCCCTGTGGAGAGGAGATGCCCGAGCTAAAGGACTGATACCTTTACCAGCGTTTGCCTTGGATTAATGTGTTCCCTTTAAATAACGTGCGCAACAATGCAATAACAAGGACATTTAATCTTTTTTCCATTGTTAAAGCAGATTTTTTCCCCCCAATAACCTTTCCTGTCTGACAGTTGAGGTGAACAGTGACAGGTCTGGATGCCCTTGTAGTGCCCAGTAGATTTGTACAAAAGTGCAGTTTTAGTGGTACGCCTGTTGAATAAATAAACAATTTTGATATTTATTTTGCCGCATTGTCATCTTACACAATATTATTGGGTTATTATTAGTAATATTATACAGTTGAGGGAACAGGAGCTAACAGGGGGTTAGAAAGAAAGAGAAAAGCAAAGAAAGTGACAACAACATAAGAGTATTGAAAAAAAGCACAACAGTTAAAGTCGTTTTTAAAAGACCTAAAAAAATCAACCACACTTCTCCAATTTATAAAGCAAAGTTTTCTACATTAAAACATTTTTGTGTGAGAAATAAAACAAATGAAAAAGTCAATTTAAGAACTGACAGTAATTGAGGGTAAATGCAGGAAAGCAAGTGAAATCTAGAAATAAAATGTTTGAGTTTGAAGTTCTTTCACATAAGAAATGCACATTTGACAAAAACCTTACCAGGAAAAGAAACAAGTAAATAACTGAGACAAAAAGTGTAAAAAAAAAGAGTTGATAAAGTATAAACAGTATAAACATTTAAAATACTGTTTACTAGATGAACTGAGAAAAATATGCCACACAACTGAATATGATGGTCTACGACCAATAATTTCAATCTTGTAAAATACATTTTGTATAAAAAATAGAACAATGCAAAACAACGTATGTTCAGAAATTATGTTAAAATACCTTTGACTGGATACATGAATTTATTTATTTAGTGTAAATGTCTAGTAATTATTACCTCAAAGGATGAGAAAGGTTACAATATACAAAAGATGGCTCAAGGATTCTGGATTCTTACAAAACTTAATAAAAACACAGTGACACAAATAAGTTGTATGAAGACCTTGAGAAATAGTAAAATGTTTGAGTTTATTGTAATTTCTGTGATGGAGGAACTTGGTGAAGTCATCAAGTTCAAACTTTTCTTTTTAATCAGTTTGTTTTTCCTGTGATGATGATAAATGCACTAGAAGAATGTCCTGCAGAACAAAAAGGAACAATCAATGTTGTTGTCAGTCTCCAACAACAACATGTACACATTAAAAAGATAAGCTGTGATATATAAACAGACCTCTATTATAAGGTCTAAACAGACCTGTATTATAAATGTCTTTGGTCACGTCAGATTAAAACACATGCAGGTAAAAACAGAGAGAAACAAGAAATAAAAAGGTCTTAGACTGAACAAAGGATTCGTTTTTTATGTTTTCTTTTTTCAAAGTGTTTTTTGTGATATAATTTCACCATAAAATCACCGTGGTCAGTCTGAAAACATGTTTTAATATTTACTGTGGTAAACCAGTGTCCCTGTGTGTCCATGTCAGTCAGAACCTGTCACAGTCCCGTGGAACAACATCAATCAGAACAACTGCTGAAGGCTGGCAAGGATTCTTTTTAGGCTGCTTTTAATAAGTGTCCGTGACCTGGGTGTACAGCTCACTTAGCCAAGAGCTGGCAGATATATGGTGGGATGGGTCACTGATTGCATTAGTTACAAATACCTCGGCCTAAATAGCCTGTGTAGCTGTATTGTTGTGACACACGTGGTGCAGCAATACAGAAACATTTTGCCTTGAGGCAGTCATAAAGAAGGACAAGAAAAAAAACTGAACTGAATGCATTGACTGACACACTGACAGTTCTTCAAGGATACAAGGAAACAAGTGGTGGGTTCACACTTTCTCTTGACAAGGAGACTATCACATGTGCTTAAGAATACAAACCAAAATGCCACAGCAAACATCTCTCCGAGACGTGCAGTGAAAAAGAGGTTTGAAGACTATGTGGATTACCAGCACGAGGGAGGAGAGGAGGGAAGGCTAGTGCTGTAGTAGGTAGCCATGTCTGTACAGTGTGGCACTGCCTTGCACTACCTTTCTGTTCACAGTGGGACTGACTGATGCTGACTTAGGGCTGCATACACGTGCACACACACATAATTGCATTTGAATGAGGAGTCAAAATTTTTGATATTAAACAGTTAAGGGGAAAAAAATCGAGTTAAGAGAAACTTACACTTCATCTTCATAGACTTTTGGAGGGGAGACAGCAATCACGACATCTATCCAGTCCTGAGTGTAAAAGGAGTTAATAGAGTATAATGTACAAGTCAAGATGTAGCAGCAGAAAAATCCGTCTACTTTGATTAACATGTGTTTGGCAATTTCATTGTTAAGGTAGAGGAAGACAGAATGTTTATTATAGGTGCCATTTTATTAAATACATTTAGTGAGTCGTACCCCTCCACTATTCCAGGCTCGAGCCAGAGAGTTTTGGCCCTCAATCAGTGTGGAACCAATCAGAATTTTCCCATTCACAGCCAGGAGTTCATCCCCTGGTACTATGCCACCTGGAAATAAAGTGATAATTATAATATCAATTAATGACACTAAGAATGAGTTCAGTGTTCTGAATGTTTTTGTTAAGGTGCAAGATCTTTCCTCCAAACATCTATTGCTGCTCAACCAATGATATTATGGTCATATATGAATGTGATTATTGTGAATGGCTAACCTTTTTAAAATTCCAAATTACCTTATTGTACTGAAATACATCCTTACCACATCCTAGTATTGAATTATCTAATAGTAGTACTGAATGGTATATTAGTAGTAAATTGGATATTTCTTTTCTGCCAGAGCAGCAACACTTGTCATCTTATCAAATGGCTTTCCTGGCTGAAATTCAAATTAAGGTCAACACAAAACTATAGATTCAATGGTGTCTAAATTATTAATGCAAGTGCAATGCATCATGGACCCTCTACCCCTACAGATTTGTCTGGAAAAAGTGGTCTGAAACTTCCTTTGTGACTGGCTAGTGTCCAAATGTCAGCTGTGAGAAAAAAGCCAAATGGACTGCAGATAATAGTCTATGGTGTCAGGAAAAGAGGAGCCTAAAGGTTTCTCTTCATGTTTAAGATACTAGAGCCAAAGAGCATTTCCTGGACAGCAACCATAACAACAAAATATAGTTGTCACAGTCAGAACTAAGTGGGGGAAAGAGGTATATGTCCTCATCTGGTGACTGCATGACTGAGTCCTCTTTGTACAGAGGAGTCTTGTATCGATGACATTTTTAAAAAATGTTAAAAGGTGAAAAACACACAGTCACTCCTCATAGCAACACACTGACCATGTGTATCTGCAGCACCACCTTCATACAAAGATGACACAACCAACTTTCCCAGTGGAGAATCCGCTCCACCCTCCAGAGCCAGGTCAAGCTGTCCAATCTGGACGGCACAAATAAAAATCATTACCTTTTACAAGTCAGAGGTAATAGTAGTTTTGTTTTATGAATTGATTTTAGAAGGAAACAAAACAGACACCTTTTTAATTCTCAGCAGTCTCACATCGCGACCGCCAATCTGGTCCGCAGAGAACTATAAATAGAATGCACAAGAAGTCACAGAGCTGCACTAAGTCACATATATGCAGTATATAAGGAAGTGTGTATGTATATATATATATATATACATATATATATACCATAGAATACGGATCGAAGTCGTCCTCATATTTCCGAAATCCCTGTGCAAAGAAAACATAGAGTTAAAAGTATTTTGTGCTTGGAAACAAATCACACTCAAAAAAAAAAACATCGATCTCCAGCTAGATTTCCTTTGACTAATAAATTATCCCTGAAAATAATAAAAAAGGAAGTAACAGATATCTCGACTTGCCTTGCACATTTCGAATCATCTAAATAAATATAAATAAAACATTGCATCTGAAAGGATGAACATCTGGCTGTTATTGTGAGTGTGCTGTGATGCTGCACCTTTCCTTTTTCACAACCTGCCTCCCACCAAAAGAGGTGACAGCTGTCAGACCAGCCGTTCAAAGGTTGCTGTTTCCACCTCAGCAACTCTCAGACCATAGAATTCTGTTTATCAACTGTAGCTTCAAAAAAAGAGGAGCTTAGGACAGTCACACTAATATGATAAAAAGAAGATTTAAATCTAAATGTTCAACAATGTCGAAGACACAAACAGTCTGTTCAAGTCACTACCCTGTCAGTTTCCAGTAAAGATAAAAAATAATCACTGCAGTCAAAACCACTGCACCCACTGCACGTTGAGATACTCCATCTTTGAGTGTTAAATCAACCAATATGCAACGATGCAAATGCTCCTCAATTGGCTTAAGATGCAGCAAACACAATAAAAACAAGGGTATGAAGCCAGAAGTAATGGTGTGGGCACCTCCCTGCAAGTACATAGACATCATCGAACTACGAATGTGGCTTTAAGCAACAGGAAACAAGGAGTAGGAAGCAATTGGGATGTCACACAACATAGTCATGGCAATGAACCCAAGGCCACGAGAGGCAAACAATAGTTCTTCAATCAGCCACAAGAGGTCTTGATGTGACTCAAAGTGAAGGAAGAACAGGATGAAAGCACTCCAGTGATAGTATATGAAGGGGAGTGGTTTAAGGTATGGATTACTTGTCGTTTGTTGTTTGTTTTAAAAGACGAGTTGAAGGGCACCATCCGTTTGAGCATTTCTGGAGGCTGAAAGAAAACACCAAGTAAGTGACTCTTAAACTGATCAAAAAAACAAAAAAACAAATAAAGAAATAAAGCACCAGTCCTGCTTCTATTCTTGACACAAAATGTACATTATGCACAGTATGCCACTGATTAAAAAGAATGACTTAAACGCTGCTCCGTGGTTTTAGGTTCTCAACCGTATAACTCAACCTAAATGCAATAGAAACATTATGTACAATATTACATTTTCAAAAATGTCAGTTAAGTTGTATTGAATTAATATACCAACATAAATACAATTGTGTGTTTGCCACACTAGAACGTCCTTTTTTAACATTAACAAATGTGCCATACTTTTCACTATTTTACCAAAAAATCTTAGTTTAGACCAGGGGTCTGCAACCTTTCTGAAAACAAGAGTTACTTCAAGGGTACTTAATATTATGAAGAGCTTCTTGTTTGATACAGACATCTCAAACAATGTAATAATAATCAAACAGAAACCTAATGCTGTTCTGGGACATACAACAGTAACCATTTGAAAGGGTAACTACCGTAACTATTAGAATATACCCCACAGGAACCATCCATTGGGGCTACCAGGTGCCTGGCATAATTGATGTAGTGTATTGATAATTGTAGGAACAAGACTTTTGCAACAAGACCGTCCCAGGAAACAATTAGTGTCAGCAAACAAACCAGTACTTTGTTTTCTGGAGTTGTTTACTGCAATGTAGCTATTTATATACACATATATATTAATGATTAAATAAAACCTATATTGTTTCCTTAATCATTGTCATCCAGTGTTGTGTTAAGCTGCTCTGCTTCACTTAGGCTTTCAACAAGAAAAATAGTAATCTCTCCCTGAACATCTAATAACCACATGAACAGCTGGAAAACTAACCAGACCGTGAACAAGAGGCAGAATTATTCTTCAGCCAGACAATAGCATGTCTGAAAGCATTTAAACACTGTGGTGCATGTTTATTTGCAGGAAGCAGATTGGTGCAGTGTGAAATTTCCTACCAGACCATCCGAACGGTGGGCAGCTTTGTGTGGGTCTGGTCGCTGATTCTGTGACTGTGGCAGCATGACAGGTTTAGACATGACAGCAGCCATCGGACGCTTCTGGTTGGGGGGACTAGGAGCAAATTGCTAGTAGGGACAGATGTTGTTTTTAAAAAGCTGACTGTTCATTTGGCAAGTCAGTACAAACCAAAAACACAAGGCTCCAAACTAATTATAAATATATGTATATCTAAAATTGGTTCCTTAATAAGACTCACCAAAGGAGTGCTTGCAGTGGACACATGACTGACATGGGATGTATTTCTCATTACCTGAATCACAGTGAAGTAAAAGTATGTTTTCAGTCTGCAAGTACATGCACCACACGGCAGGGGAACTAGATAACAAAACACCTTCCTCTCAACTCCACAGCAAAGCAGATATAACACCGTATGCAGGGCCCAAGAACACAATGCAAAACATCTGAAACCAATTTCCCACAGCAAAAAGTAAACTGTACCAATAACCCCATTCAGTCATGCCAGTATTATGGTGTACTGCTTTTGTCATGCATAAAACATTCAAACACTCTTACATCAATAAACCTGGAGTGTATAAATAAATCCAATGCTTCAGTTCTGAAGATTAAGACAAACAACACCCAAAAGCCACACGTGTGCAACAACCTTCTTAACTCAGAGTCTCTAACCTTGGGACTTGAGGGCAGGGACATTTCACTAGTGTTGGAGGAGTAAATCCCTCCTCTCGGGAGATAACCACCTGACTCCCACTCACTCCTGCTTTCCGGGGGACTGGAAGGCTGCTGGTGGTGATGATGTTGATGATAATGGTACATGCCTAGGGAGCCTTTCCGTTCTTCAATGTGTTGTCTTTGTTGCGGTGGTGGCGGTGGAGGGGGCGGAGGCGGTGGTGGAGGAGGTGGTGGGGGTGGAGGAGGTGGTCGCGGGACAGGTTGAGGAGAGGATGGAGGCCGTGAAGATTGAGATAAAGGATGGATTTGCGAAGAGGACGGGACGTTAAAATGAGATTGCATTGGGTGGGACTGTGTGTGGGACTGTGTGTGGGACTGTGTGTGGGACTGTGGGTGGGACTGTGGGTGAAGCCGCCTCCCCTTGTTAGTTAATGTAGACGAGGCAGAGGGAGGTTTCCTAGCAGCTGGAGATGAAGGTCTACGCTGGGGCAGTGCTTGAGTTGGATTAGGTGGATAGGTGGGGACAGGAGGATGGAGCTTTGGTGAAGGAGGAGGAAGCGGCAAAGGAGGAGGAGCCTGGCTAGAGGTTGGCTGAGTGGGGGCTAGTCTCTTCAGAGGGCCCCGCAGGCTCTGGTCAACCTCGTCTAGGTTAATGTCATCCAGGTCCGTGGTGGCCAGCTGGCCGCCTGGAAAACGCTTAACCCTGTGCTCAGACGCAGGGGATCGAGGTGGAGAGAGCTTAAAGTCATAAAAAAAATGTTTCATGAGATGTTAACTCTTATAACCTAAATATAATTTCAAATCACGTTATTTCTGTTTAAGTTCCATCGCTAGCAATTAGCATTTTATACAAAAGGTTTTCTACCAGCTCATCTGTGTTTGAGAAAGACTTTTTCAGTCCATCATTATGAGAAAGAGTAGAGCTGATACACTCAACTCAAGCTTTAAAGATAAATCATCAATTGTCACAATAGGTGCTGCACACTATTTATAGATGTCATGGGCAGCAGAGAGACATGTTTGAACTTGTCATGAACAAGACATGTCAGTGGAGCTCCACCACTGCCTTTTCTTGATCTATTTTATTTAAAAGAAATACGCCAATTTTCCCAGAACAGCAAAGATATGATAGAGAATTTCACATAATTCTCATCTGTACCTCAGGGGAATCGTTCTCCACACAGGAGATCTGCTCCAACCGAGTCTGACAAAGACGCTCGACCCAGTGCTGCACCTTTGCAGACTCTTCTAGGTCTTCTCTTTCTGTTTCTGAAACCTGGTGCAGAGAGCCCAGCCCAAGCAGCATCAAAAAACATGCATCAGTCTCTAAGATTATCAAGATGAACTGTGGACCTGCATGACGACTGATTAGAACAATAAAAAAATGATCTCATTGGGCACCACAGTGCAGTTATCAATTTCATCTGAAAACACAGTACACTCTTTACCTCCTGAACCAGCCTATTGATCTTCAGCTGCTTCTCCCGTTCATGCATCTCTTCTTTCTCCTTGGCAAGTTTCAGCTCAAACTCCATCTCCTTTTTGTTTTTCTTTTGCTCCTGAAGCGTGTCTATGTTTGACCCTTTCTTCTTTTTCTTCTTCGTTTCTCCTTTCTGAAGTGCCATTGTTTCTTGTCAATGAGACCATTCAAATAGCAGTTCACAGTCAAATGTGCCACTCCAAAACACACACCAAGACAACTAAGAAACATTTCTCGAACACAAATTCTAAACTGACAAGTAACAAACCAGGAATGAAGTTCCCTCTAACTTTTTTCTGAGACGATTCTAACACCACACTGAACTCACACAGTTCAAAATACCTTGCGAATTGATGGCAGTTTCCCTTCGTATCGATAAAACCAGCCAAATGCTAAGGATGGAGATGAACAAAACTCATTTTCAAAAGTATTAGGTATGTTTGGAAAAACTGAAACAAAACTCAATAAGAAAGAAAAAATGCACAGCACAGCACACAAAGAGAAAATAACTCTGCCGGTCTTATCCAAACAAACACTTCTGCAATCTTAATCTAAGTCAATAAGAAAACTTTTGTGTCTTAATAAAGAGCTATTGAACTTCCTTGTGGAGACACTTTGGTTGACAGGGATATACAGCACAAATCTCTGTACTTGCTGGTTTGCTCCAACAGCCTCAAGCATCAGCTGTGCTGATGTACTAGCTGTACATCAGCACTTACTGGGCTCAGAACTTACTTGTCTGAGCTGCTTGTCCTCCTTGTTCCCTTCTGTGGAATAGCTGGTTTCAGCTAAGAGGCCACGCCAAACAGAACAGCACGACGCATACACAGCAATGGGAGAACAACAGCATGCAAATAGAACAGGAAGGAATACAGTGAGATACAGGACAGAAAGAAAATCTCTGTAACTACAATTCTAGAAAATTATTTTAAAAAACTGGTCCAAAGAAGAACAAGGATTCATGCAAAGTAACATAAAGGTCAAGTGATCTTACGAGAGCTCTTAGTTTTAGGAGATGGAGTAGTTTTTCTCTCAGGTGGAGCAGGTGACTTTGGAGCACGTGGGCTTTTAGGTCGGTCTTTGGATCCCCAGTCTTCTTCCCACTCTCTGTTGTGTTTACTCTCCACTGCTTCAATCCTACACAGGACAAAACATTAAGTTTTGATTCTGTAACAAAACTACATTAACTACTGATACCTGTTGCGTACTTCTCCATCTCCTTTCTGTAGCGATCGTCTTCTTCTGCAGCTTTCTTTGAAATCTCCATCTTTCTTCTGTAAATTACATTATTACAGTATTTACATGACAATACAAAGATGAACAATAAAAAAATTAAATGAATTGGAAAAAGACTGATTTATTTTTTGTGTCGCCGCTTGGATATGGCAAAGTACATTTAATTAGTGCAAGGGCCTCTTCTGGTATGTGAAAACAACACAGTCAATAACACAGTCTGGATTCAGAGAAAAATCGATGCTGCTTGGTTCGTCAACGTGAAGAGTCTTGTTAAGCCATCTTGATGGATTGTAAGTAGGTCATGCAGAGCCCTGAATGAGGGCTATGTTCAGGTAAAGGCATTCAGAAAGACAAAATAAATTTTATCCACATAAGAACAGCAGAGAGCCAGACTACTGCAGACGCAGAACCCGGCAGACAGGAATAAGGTATGGGGCTGAATACAAATGAGGCCAAAACCTATGGCTTTTTGTGACAACAAATATGACACAAATATGTGTAAAAAATGTAGAATGTTTCAACACTTTTGTGTATCTCAGCTACAAGAAACCCACTAAACAAAAGAATTAGAATGAATCCAGGGAGTCAAATCTGAACAACCCTTTTCAGCGATTTCAACATTGAAAAAATGTATTCCCAGTTATCAGTCTCTTCGAGTGCTAAGTGAAGGTGATATCATTTTTTTACTAGAGAAGATTTGTTAAAAGCAACAAAATAACTAGGGAACAGTAGTTCCCTGAAATTAAATGGAATTAGTATTTTGAGTTATTTATATCAATTTTTTTAGCAGCACAGAATGTTTTATGAGGAATAATTACCATTAAAGGAGTTGCTGGTCTTCATGTCTAAAGTATTTCACAATATATCATATCATTGCCTTGTATCATGATACGTATCGGATCGCCAATACACATCCCTTCTGTGACAACCTTAGATGTTTCACAGTGCTTACCGATTAGCTTTGATCATAAGTCTGTCCAGCATTCGCTCTAACACCTAATCTTGTTCAAAGCCGTGGAAATCCCCATAGTCATTACAAGGCATCTGATTGACTGATTGTTGATTAATTTAAAAAATGGTAAATACATATATTATATTATTTATTACCAAAGATTGTAGTTCAAAGAACATCAACTTTAACATGACTGTATCTTTCTTTGTCTTTGTTTACCAATAATATTCCTCCCCTCAAACATTGCTGCATGTACTGTACTCTAACAAATGTCATCTGTTGTTCACTCACTGCCTCTCCTTCTCCTGCTGCTCTTTGATGATTTTGTTGGTCTCTAGTGCCGCCCTTTTCTGGTGCATCAGCTCCTGTCGCTCCAACTCCCTGCGAGCCTCCAGTTGTAAACGCTCCTCATCTGTCATGAAGAGCTCACTGCCCTAAGAGAGGGACCAAAGTCAGGGTCAAGTAATCAAGAAAAGAAATAAAGAGGCAGAGCCAAACCCAAGCAAACCAGGCTCTAGAGACCTGAGGGAACGTCCAAATCAGTCTCTTACACTGAAGTCACAGCAGAATTAGTGTTTTGTCATGTCAGAACCTCTGGTGTTCAGCATCTGATCAACTTTTACCATAACAATTGTACAATAGATTTTATTTATATTAAAAAATATTTTTTTTAAATAAATGAATTTAAAATAAATTCAAAACATACTTTCAAATTAGGTTTAATTTAATATGACGGCAATTCAATTCTAGGTTTAAGTTTTGTGCTTGTACTTTTCAGAAATGCATATAAGATTGAAACATTGTGCTACTTTTTGGTATTAGTATTTTCTTAGAGATGTATCTAAAAAATGGCTAAAAAAAAGTATAAACCTGTGCACGTTTCAAAGCCCAGCATTCAGTTTCAGTGAACAAACGGAATATGCAAAGTAAACTATGCATGAAGGGAAAATAAATCATGGCTTTAGCAAAACACAGTGAACATCAATATTCTCCTGGCTGTGCACTTTGCCCAGCGCCTTGAATGATGACAAATATTATTCCTGAAGACCATCAGACTGAGGCTCAAGAAGGTAATGGGATGTCTGATAAAAACCCCATTTATCTGTGCAGTGGTTACAAACCAAACTACATGGAATATCTATGCATATATTTGTATCTGTGGTATTTTATGTTTGGCATAATCTTAGTCTGTACATAAAACATCATCATATGTAAGGTATTACAAATGGTACAATAAGGTTTATCTGCATCTGGAACTGTCTGTCTGATCACATGTTTGTTTTGACCCATCATTTCTCACATTCAGTGAAATGACTGGTAAATGATTTTATGTAATTTCACATTTAGATAAAAACAGGTTTTGCAAACTGAGTTTCCTTTTCCACTGCAAAGGATAAGAGGAAAAGCTACTGTATCATCAGGGGTCAATAAAGGCTGCACATTGTATTACACACGGTGATTGCCACTTGTAGTCCTGTGGGGTGTATTTTAAACAATTACTAGTGACGGCACACACAAAACAACAATGAAGTGGGCAGGTGTAATTATTAAGTGTTTGTAATCATCATTCCAGCCATGTTTTCTAGTGCTGCTGCTTGAAAAACAAAGTGCTGCAATTAATGTAAACAACAGTGTGTATAGTGCTGCTACAGACAATGTGGGTTACATTTGAGTCTTTATTTTGGAATAATTTATTAGTGTACTTACAGCTCCCGTCAAAACTGTAATAGTCAGACTCCTGCTGCTCTTAAGGACACGCACAGCCTGGAAAAAGAACAGATTCACTAATAAAGATGAAAGCAACGGTCTTAACCTTCAACAAGCCACTGTTCAGATCTACAGTAATGACTAAAATCCACCAACTCTGTTAAAAAATATACATAGTTATCACATATTTTGGTGGGGTTTGGGTTTTACTATTACATAATTCACATTTTCTCATTAATAATTATGTCACTTGAATCAATCACAAATAGCGATGTATCAGTAATATTTAGAAATGACAGTTTACTCTTACCTTCTATATTATCACTGTGCATGGGTTGTATTTAAGAAAGTAAAATTACCCTTACTTTACACAACCACCATTTATTACAAAGAAAAACTGAGTTGTCTGAGCTCTTGGCTGAACATTGATTTGGCATTAGCTTAGCCTTAGTTAAACTGGGAAAAAAGCACAAATCAATACATGCGATGAATGTTGCATTTAAAATACATTTAAAAAAACAAATCACACAATTCACCTCTGCGTGATCCAAAATGGTGAAGTCTACCCCATTCACCTCCACAATCTGATCTCCAACCTACATATTGATAATAGATATAAACCACAGCAAGGAGGAGAATGGAAGTCATCTTATTAGTGTTTTTTTTAACATTGACCTCGAGTCCAACTTCGGCAGAGAGAGACCCTGGTTTGACGTTACTGATGTAAATGCCAGGTTTCTGTGTGGGGCCACTGGAGATGCTAATGCCCATTCCTTTTGCACCAACAAGGCTGAGGAACACTTTCTTTTCTTTGATTTCCTTTCCCCCAATAGATGCTAGGCCTGCAATGCTGGTCTTTTTCTCCTGAAATAAATTATACATAAAATACAAGCATTAGCCATTGGTAATATAAAAAGCCTTCCATCAACAAAGAGCATGAAGAAATAAAAACTGTGTCTTACCCCTGACTCAGACACATACTGGTCAACAAAGTGCCATTTGAGGGGTTCATCTGAAGAACTGCAGAGAGGAGGACGTCAAATTAGAGTGTAAAAGATCAGACATAAAAAAAACAGTAATATAACAAGTTACCTTTTCACTGGAATCATCCCAACATCTGACGACATGCGGCCAAACAGAAAAAGAATAATGATAAATAAAGTTGAGGAAAATCAATCACACCGACATAAATGATAGTACATATGTTTGTGTGACTCACGTCTGACTTTGAGTGACACTATCTTCCTTGTCTTAATGAGACTGATCACCTCCTCGTGGATGCAAGAGGAAATGGAGTAGCCATTAATTCGAACAATCTCATCACCAACCTGTAAAACAAGGGTCAGGTCAAAGGGTCACGTCATATAGTTCATTTTTCATTCATTTCAATTTGTCTGAATCTGGGAATTCAGACAAAGGTATAGCAGTGGCACCAAATTGGGGGTGGGGGGTGCGCTTTAACACGTTACCTGGAGGCCCACGTTCGCAGCCTGACCGTCTTTAACAATCTGGGATATGTACAGACCGCAGCCAAACTCTAACCCTCCTCTTACACTCAGGCCTAGTCCTTCATGATTTGTACGATCCAAGCGCACCTCTTTGAGCTTCCTGTATTGACAAAGAGAAATGGGTGAAATTAAAATGAAGAGAGTTGATATTTATATTCATTTTATAAAGATATTTACTCACCGTGACCGCTTGGGGGTAAGTAGGTCATATTCCACCTGGTGTTTGAGTGGGATCAGAGGACGAATAGCATCAAACAGTGGCAGGCGTTTTGGATCATTGATGACCAGCTTCAGGTCTCCGACCAGCACGGGTAAATCCATCGACCTGAGAAAATTACACGATTAGATTTACATCAAGCAGTCGACTGAAAAAACTATAGGTATGTGTTTTCAGTATACTCCTGATAAAGAATACAAATATTGGAATAGATCCAAAACAAAAATATACACAGGTACATAGATATACTTCCACAGAACATGCAAATAAATACAATGTATTTTTGTACTTTTGTCAAAATGTTGTGAGTATTCTACATTCAAACTAAAAGCATCAATCTGTTTCCCCTGATATGTAAATAACTAAACTGTCGTTATTTCAGTCTTACATACTTTATGTTATAGGACAATTTTCCTATCGTCCTGATGTGATAAAAATTAAGTGCAGAGTAGTTTAGAAGCATGGGGACCCTTAAAATACTCCTTATAGCAGCTTTTGATTATATAAATTTATTTTATTTTTTTCGAGTCTTAAAATTTAAGGATTACAGAATTTAATATGCTAAAGAAATTAGAATGGCTATTAAAGCAGCACAGTCAAAGCTACAGTATAAACAAGTCCACCTGGCTTCCTTGTTAAATTATTAAGGGCTGAAATTCAGCTGGGTTTGAAGGATGAACATAAAAAGATCTTTTGTGGAGAACTGGCCATGCTTGTCAGAGCAGAGTGGAAACTGATCACAGTCATAACCTATAGGGCCACGGGCCTCTGCCTGGGTACAAAGAATAACTGAAACCTAGACATGAAGCCCTCACCAGCTTGAGAAAATAGGAAACTAGGATGAACAAGAGAGTTTTAAACTGCAGGTGTTACAGAAGTTCTGTACATTTGAACACCAAGAGCTAACAAGAAGTCAGCACAAGTTAAGAAACTGTGTACTGTATCACATTAAATGAAAAAGACAGTGCAAGAAGATTTTCACCCTCTTTTACACTGCTGTGTCCAAGTGATAATTCAACATTTATTCTTACTATTACCAACACTAAAATGTATTCTGTTAACTACATTGAAGAGTTATTGGTTGATTGTACTCACTGGTGATACATGCGGAGGACGTCATAGAGGTAGTCCTTCTCTGCTTCATTTTCAATCAGTAGTTCCACCTGCAACAGCAGACAGCAGTTGTTGACAAAAAGAACACCTCAGCACTCAGTACCTCAGCCCTGTGGTCCTGCCATCACATCGGGGGGTAAACAATTTGTAGAAGTCGTACAAACCTGGTGGCGGCTCAGATACAGCAGCAGAGTTTTAAGGAAACGTTTCGGCCAATTGGTGATGTAACACATTTCCTTTCCTTCTACTAAATCAGCTGACCGACTTTAAAAGTTTAGTGAAGGCTTCACTATTGAATGACAAGGTTCCTCAAAGTGAGGCAGGTGTAATAGCCTGCCCTTCCCTAACTCGGAAACCACAGGCAACATGGAATAATAGAACGATGGCAGAACAACGGGGGGAGAAGCTGCTGTGTAAGGTCAGCAGTGTCCTCTTACATTAGACACAAACAGAGGTCAACATTCACACCCAACATTCACACAAGCATAAACACACCAGCACTCTCACGCATACACACCAACACACAATCTTTTAAGCTATAAGACCATGTAGAGAAGAAAATCTTAGACAAAGCTGAATTTCATCCATTAAATAAACATTGGAGAAACTTTTATAAAATCTAAACAACTATAAAACACAAAACCACACCTAATAGACCTTTCATGCTCTGAGGTCACACTGGGTGTGTGTGGAACAGTGTTTATGATGGCCATAAAGTGTAGAAAGACTGTTAGCTTAGCTAGCACTGCTAACATTAGAGCCTAAAATAAGGACGGACTTTAGCACCAATAACCAGAAGGGAATAAGGACGCCTTTAAATACAGGGCTTAAAAAGAACTGCACTATTTGTACTATCATAAATAATATACCATCTGACAATTAAGTCAGACTTTTGTATAGACATTCAGAGAAGACAATTTTAAATATATATGTATACATATAAAATATAGATATAGATAGATGTAGATATGGACATAAAACGTTTGCAAATAAATTGCAAGAAAGATTGCAAGAGATTAAAATATGAGAGAAAGATGTATAACTTTAGAAACCCAGAAGATGACTTTAAAAGGTGACTTGAAGTGTTCAGAATATAGAAAATGTTAAAGTGAGAAAGTAAAACTGGTAGTCAAGATTCTTTGCCTCTTGTTATGTTCTACTTCTGTAATACTCTATTGATGCTTTTCATAAAGTAGTCACTTAAATCTTATTTTAGGACAAATACGTCCAAACATGTATTTGGCACCGACAAGATCCAAAATGGTAAAGACAAACACATTTACAACATTTTAGCACCAGACTTCATTGGGAAAACATTTGATCTTTGCAGTTTGAAGCACAGCTGTGTTGTCTTTCCATTATTTTGGTATGATTTATTGAAAAAAACAAATGGAAAATAAAGCAGGTTATATGCAACCATTCCAATTACATGATCCTAAAATCAAGATTTACTGACCATGACAAACAAATAGATTTAAATAAATTATATCTATTTTCCTCTGCCTATAATTAAACTCATAAATATTCTCAATTTTTCCACGCCACTGCTTGTAGCTGGCACAATTTGCATTTCTAATGCCACAGTGGTCTTTGAGAAAAGTCCACAAGATGTGATGCTGCATCCTGTGAGCCAGACAGATGGTCTGTGTGGGCTGTTTGGTGAACCCTACCTTAGGGGCTGAAAACACCCTAAATAGATCACGTTTCCTCACGCTGCTGCAACAAACATGACATGAATCAAAGAACTGAGTCTGAGCTAACATTGGGTTGTCAGTTTTTCCCACTAGGGTAACATCAGTGATGTAAGAATAATAAAGCCCACTTTTATTATTTTTTTAAAATTCCAGAAGAAAAATTCTACTTCTCATTGTGGTTCTAAATGCTCAGTCAAATCAGAAATATTTGAAATGAAGCGATACAGCCTCTTTTACTTTTAACTCCGTATAACTACATCCGTGTTTGGTAAGACCTAAGTGCTGTTTTATCTAGTTAAAGAAAAAAAATTAATTGGTCTAATATAAGCTAATTGTTTAAACCCTAGATTTTCTTTTGCTTTTAGGACAAATAGATAGATTACTTTATTTTTTATTTAGAAATTAGGTTGTAATAAAAGTCTGGTATATTTAAATTCAATAAAAATGTAACAGCACAAAACACTCAGGTAGATAGAAAATAGAAATAAAAATACAGATAGGTAGAAGGACCCTTAAAAGAACCACAAGATAAGAAGGTAGGTAGGGTGCAGCAGACAGATTATGGTAATAATACTGCTGGTAAGAGGTTTATGCTGCTGTTAACATCAGTACATATATCTATATATTTATTCATAATATAAAGTAATAATAACAGTATGTGGAAATTATAATAGTAAGATTAAATAACAGTATATAGTACTAATGGTAGCAGCAACAGTGTGTAATGTAATAATTTAAGTACCGTAGTACCAAAGTACTGAATGACTCATACTGTAGGTTTATGACTCTTATCAAACGCAGTTTCTCTTCACTAGCAGAATACTACATAATTGAATTAAAATGCTTTAACAAAAATTCACATGACTAAAGTTAAACATCTGAAAACGTTTTGTTTCAAGATATATAACGTCTCTAATGTTAAGGCCTGTACGTTTCTGACGCGAAACATCTCGCTAGTATAGCCGACACCTGAGACAGAGCCAGGTAGACATACACCTGTAAACACACACGATGCTTTAAAAACATTGTTGTCACAAAATAAATCAAAATGTTGTCGGTTTACCTTGTGTCTAAATTCCCGAGCAACCTTCCGCTCCATTGTTGACAGACTAGAATGAAAGGGTCACAAACCGTGGACTCTCTCAGAGTGAATGAGTTTAACAGTGTACCAGGGTCTGTGTCAAGCTAGGAAGAGACAAAGAAACGCTTCCTGTTTGAAATTTCATACTAAATATGCTTTCTACTTTCGCGGTTGGTATTTTGCCATTAAAATAAACCACCCCAGCACCCTCAGATTATACATTACTATAGGAACGTAGTTTTTTGGACATGTAGTGTTCTCCGTACGATTTATTTGTAGACATTCATTTTGAAAGTACTTCCGCCTCTCTTGGCGTTATCAAAGCCCATGTTTATACACAACATAACAAAATTTGTTAAAAAAAGAATGAAAACGATTTAAATTAATTATATATTATTATATCAACCTACATATCGATTATTCGTTACGGCCAGCTGTCAATAGCTGGCGCAATAGCACAATGTTCCATGTGTTTCACGAAGAAGAAAAAGGGGTGTGAACTTCCGGATTTCAAAATATTGGAAGCAACGAACTCTACACAACAACTGTGAGATTATTAACCGACTGCAGGTATGAATTAAACTGTATTTTACATATTTATAGTATAAATGTGATATGTTATATAACTAATTTATGAAACGTTAAAAAAAACATTGCGCGTATTTATTGCTGCATATAATGGGTTTAAAGGTAGATAGACTCGTGCATAGTTAGTAGGAGAACTTTTTGAGTCGGTGGTTTGTTTAAGATTATTATTTAAGACAATAGGAAATGCTTTCGTCCTTACTAATGACTAATTTATAGTCAACATTGCCAACGTGTAAATTCAAGAGTATACTGCTATGTGCTTTCCGATCGTCCCGCTCCCCCTGGCGCCCAAAGTATTCAGCCCTTTCAGTTTGACCACCATATGATCAAATATCCTATATATTGTAAACAAACTATGTGATGTCTCCCTTACTATAACCCGACCATTGATTGGACGCAGCGTGTTCAATATTTTCTTTAGAGAGATATTCAGAGAGACATTATTTTTAGATATACTGTATTATTTAAATTTTCGGGATTACAGTTGTGTTCACTTAGTTCAGTATTAAAACGTAATATATTTCAATTTTAAATAATGCAGTTATTGATTGGAGATGCTTCCAATGTAATTTATTATGGATTTTTTTTTTAGGATAACAGGCTAATCAACTTAATCAAGAACAAATTGTTGCTAAAATGTCCAAAATGGATAATTAAATTAAATTATAGTCTTTATTGTCATTGTAACCTGGGGATACAACGAAATTGATCCTCTGCTTTAAACCCATTACCAAGGCCCCCGATGATGTTGATACTAAGGATGCTGTAGTGATTGTAATTGATGTGACCAAAAATCACTTTGGCCTTTAATCTGTAATTATTCAAACTATGGTGTACTAACATAAAGGTTTTTGCATAAAATACTTTCTCATATCGGGGTTAAGAAAACATCCCATAATTTCAGATATTAAATATATATATGTTATTTCTGACCAATGAAATGAAATATAAAATAAACAAAGTCAAACATAACACAGTAGAATTAATTAGAAATAATTAGTAATGATTCCATTAACCCATCTCATGTTTTGAGTACAAAACTAAAAGAACAAATGCTTTTTTTTTTTACAGTGTTTGTTGAAGGATGGGATCTCCAACAAAAGACGCAACAACACCACGCAGGTAAGATTGTTTAGTTAAAATGCTAGAGAAAATACTTTTATGTTAAATGCTAGTTTCACTGACTTCTGGTGAAAATAATCTTGTCCTGAAGTTAAGTTTAGCACAGTTTAGCTCCTTGTTCTAGGAGTTTTGATATGTTTTAACATCCTTGTTATTATTTGCATAGAGTGAACATTCAAACCCCTGGTCGGGAAGCTGACTACCCACTTCCTCCTGTCCATGAACGCCTCGCATACCTTCGCCCATCCAGGGAGTTGCTAGAGTTTTACAGACAGAAGATTGCCCAGTTTGATGAGGAACATGAGGAGCTGCTGCAGATGCTGGAAAAATATAAAGGCATTACAGAGGATCAAGTGAGGCACAGCTAAAAGCTAAGAATTTCTATGTTAGTGATCATGTCAGATATTTTTTATGTTTTGTTTTTTATCCGTCTGTCTCTGTCAATTTGCCAGCACAAGTTGCAGATGGAAATGCGACAGCGGGAGGGAGAGATTTCCGAATTGCAAAATGCTCTTAGTGACATGCAGGTGTATCTTTTTCAAGAGAGAGAACAGTCTCTGCGACTTTATGCAGAAAATGACAGACTTAAGATCAGGTAAGATAAGTATTTGTTAACACTTTTATGACTGATCAGTGTTGATTGTACCTGTTTACAGAGATGTTGGACAAACAGCCACAGTTACTATTATTGAACTGCAATATTTCCTGTGATTATTTTAAGGCTTAAAGCTTGTTTGTTTAAATGTCCTTAACTGATTGTGGGTATTCACTGGTTGTATCTAATCTTATTACTTATCACCATGAGAATACTTTGATACATTTGCAGCTTAAGCTGAGAATTAAACTTTTGTTTTACAGAGAACTAGATGACAGGAAAAAGATCCAGCATCTTCTTTCACTAGTGGGTCCTGATGCAGGAGAGATCACATATTTTCATAGAGAACCGCCCCACAAGGTATACACTTTTTTTTATTATCCAAGCACAGGTGTAATATGTCACCGGGTTGAACATCAAAAACAAATTTTGTTTCATTATAAATTTTATCAGCTGTAATCTGTAAACACTAGATGTAAATCTATTTTGATGGCACACATATAATAATGTTACAGGTTGCTATCACTCAGAAGAATGCTGAAACTAGATTGGAGGAAAGTCTCAGTCTCAGGCCAGCCAAATTTAAAACTGTGAACAAAAAAGGTTTGAAAACCATTTGTCTTCTGAATGCCTTTTGCACAATATGTTATTGATATTATTTATTCTGTGTGTAACTCTATAATTAAAGCTTTTATGTGTATTATACAGTAATGAGTAATAAAAGTAAAATAATTTCATAAAAATCTTTTTATGAATGCAGAAAGTGGCAGGAAAACAAAATCAGCAAATGGAGTAAATCAAGATATTTTGGAGCAATACAAGAATGAAAACCAGACTCTTTCGCTTCAGGTATGAGCCCACTATGACAGTGTTTCCCAACTTTTTTTTGAGCCGTGGCACACCTAATGATCTCTCACGGCACACTAGTGTGCCACGGCACAGTGGTTGGAAATCACTGCACTATGACAAGGAACTACAACAGATTTGTATGAAAACAAACATGTCATCATGTTGTAAATAAATAAAAAGTCAAAATAGATTTTTAGTAGGTTTTGTGTCTTAATATTGCGTTGCAGGTGGAGGCACTGCAGACTCAGATAGAAGAACAGACACGTTTGGCTAAAGAACAGATAGAATCTCTGCAGGAGGATAGACGGATTAAGACAGAGGAGGCTCATGCACAACAACAAAGAGACCAGGACAGAATCACAGCACTGACCGATAAGTAGGTTTCTGCTTTGTCTGCTTTAGATGGCTAATATTGACATATGTCCAATATCTGTACCCTAAAGAAGATGTTCAAAGTAACCACATTAGCTATTTTATTCTCTCTCATTTTCCACTTTAGGCTTCAAAAAACACAAAACCTTTTGTATGAAAGCACAAAGGATTTCTTACAGCTGAAGTTTGAAGCGCGGGCTAATGAGAAAAGCTGGATGGTGGAAAAGGATCGACTGCTCAGAAACCTGGACTCTTGCCACAACCGTGTGAGAAAATCAGGTTCTGCTGGGCCTGAGCCTGGCAGAACATGGCACACCAGCAGCAGCACAGCCATGCTCCTCCAGCGCCCTCAGCCAGTGATACAACAAATGCACAAGGAGGAGTTAAAGGTACTTTTACTGTCTGTGTATGATAGTACAATATAAGTTATTAGATCTTAGATAAATAACTATTATTAACATTTGTCATTAAACTTAGCTTTTTATGTTGTTTTTTTATCAGACAATGCAGGAGGACCTCAAGCAAGCGCACCATCTTGCAGAGATGTACAGGAAACAGTGTGTTACTCTAGAGACAGAACTCGCCCAAATCCGAGAGGAGGGCGACGTGGGCAGGGAACTATTTAAGGTACAATGGTTGTACGCCTGTCTTCAACATTTGAATGTCACTTTTATTAACAAATTAACTTTTCTTTTTTATATTTTCAAATCAATCCATGCTTATCTGTGCAGGATCGTTCAGACAAAATGGCCAAACGCCTTCAGCTAATGACTCAGCGATATGAGGCTCTGGAGAAGAGAAGGGTCATGGAGGTGGAGGGCTTTAAGACTGACCTGAAGAACCTCAGACAGAAATTAAAAGACGTTGAGAAACAGCTTCTCAAGGTAAGCACCTTTTGTATTTTCTCAGCAATTCTAAGTTGTTATTTTGTTTTTCCAATATTAAATTTGTTACTTTGTAATACTTGGTAGTCATACTAAGATATGATTTTTGTTTCAGGTAACCCTAAATGTTGGACCCAACCAAGACTTAGCTGTTTTGCATGAAGTACATCAGAGCAACACCAGGACAAAAAAAGTTCAGAATGAGCTGATGGCACTGAAGGCTAAAATCTATGGGCTTGAAAATGAGTTAAGACGTTGTTGAAGAATAAAGAGTACTTTGTGTGTATTCGTAATATTTTAATTGTTATTTTTAATGACTAGAACCGATTCTTTTTCTATTTTGTATTTTAGGTCAATAAAGATTTTTCATTTTAGTGACAAAAACAAAACAATGTTGTGTTATCCTTGGACTTCCTTAAAATTATCCCTCTATAAGCTTTTTTAAATACGATTTAAAAATGCAATTTAAAAATTTAAAAATGTATTTGCTGTACTCCCCACCACCAGTTAGAACTGAAGAAGCCTCTTGGATTAGAGGTGAAACGTCTTCTTTTAGAAAATGCACTGGACATTACCTAACAGAACTTTTTTAACTTGACCTGGATGACTGAGAATCTTCATGGACAAATGTAATTGTATTCGTTCGTTATGTCTTATCGGTGAAATAACCACGCATGCTTACACAATTTTAATTTATTTTACGTTTACAGTGCCCGGTATAGTCTACAGACTCATAATTAACGATATCTGGCGGCGAAATTATTGTACTTGTATTTACTGTAAGTATCCTCACCCTTCTGGATATAGTGGAAATAATAGCATCTTGTTTTTTTTCTCAAATATAAAATAATTGTCTATTGTCTTGAACGTAAAAATCGAACTAAGCATTAATATATAGGATTCCTATATTGGATATAATTATTGGAAACAACAATAAGAATATGTCATACCAATTTATAATTTAATGAAGAAATAAAACATTAAAGGTTAAAGGAAAGGGAATATTAAGAGACGATTACAAACGTCATATCCGATTATGAATACGTCGTCGTGTTTTGCGCATGCGTTCGTGGTGTTGTTCGGCGCTGCAGTGTCGGTGTTGTTCAGTGTCGGTTGTTCAACGGAGTATGGACTGTGGTACTGACCTTTATGACAAGATATCATGAGCTTTCTTTCCAGTTGACGTCAACGCAAACACCGAGGCCGCAGCGGTGCTGTATTGTCGCTTTTCACCGGTTTCTCATCTCCGAGCGATTCCTAGGAAAATGCAAAGAGTCATGAGTTTGAGAACAGGATGGCCCCTGCTGAGGTCAAGATGTGAAGGAGCTGCAAAACATTTTGACAGTTACATCTCAGGAAGTAAAAGCCATGTGAGTCGGTGATGCCATCAAACCTACATGCTTTGTGTTTGCAGCATAAATGAATGACACCAATATATTTAACTTTGAGATCTATTCTAGAAAACTTAAATAATGAGGGGCTGTATAAATAAAAATAAGTTGATGCAATAAACTGGGCCACGTCAAACCCCAAGATTTAACTGTGCTAGCTGTCGTTGCATATAACACATACATCACACAATATATTGCATCTCATAGACAAAAACTTGGCCTGCGACAAGTTTACGAAGCATCATGTGGGAAGTTGTCAGTCAAGAGAATGCCACACAGATCCAATGTTTGAAATATATTTCTAATTATATAAGAAAAATAACATTAAATAATCTGCCATGATGTGTAAATGTGACCATACCAAAAAACCTAGTTCTCAGTACAGTAAGAAGCTTTTCTACAGTATCTATCTATCTATCTATCTATATATATAATAGGGTTGTATTTTTCTAGCTAAGATAATCCTTCCACATTTTTTTCACGGTTCATTTCACTTCCTTATGATGCAGGTCCATTCTCAGATCTCCAGCTCCTTTGGGCTCCTGTTTGACATTGATGGGGTTCTGGTGCGGGGGAGAACACCAATCCCTGCTGCCAAGCAGTGCTTTAGGAATCTGGTGGACAGCAGTGGGAAATACAAAGTTCCTGTGGTGTTTGTCACCAACGCAGGAAACTGTATGAGGCAGACGAAAGCTGAACATCTCTCGCATCTCCTTGAAGTGGAGGTAACCTGAACACCACTTCAGACATTTTTTTCCTGAGTGTAGGATAATTTCCTGACCTCTGTTTATCTCAGGTTTCTCCAGACCAGGTGGTGCTATCCCACAGTCCTTTGCGTATGTTCACCCAGTTCCACAAAATGTGTGTGCTGGTTTCAGGTCAAGGTCCTGTGGAGGAGGTCGCTCACAAGTATCCTGTCTTAAACGGCAAACTCTGGCTGTTGGCCTTTAACATGTGGAATTCACTCTCTGTGGTTTTTGTATATGTTTAACATTGTTATCAGTGTTTGTTCTTCTTTGACCTTTGCCTCCTGACTAACATAGTTAGGCTTTACCTCTCATTTCAACTTTTATAAGTTTAAAGGAACCAATGTTTTGACACTAGACATTTTGTTTTACTATTTAGTTATTAGTTTTATTTTTCCATATTTCCTGTAAAAGGGCATGAGACTGGGATGGTGGTGGACGCTTGGAATAGTTGAAAGAAATTCTTCACTGTTCCTAGGGATATATGACCAGAATTTGTTTGGAATATAGGTGCTAAGACAGAGATGCTAAATGGAACAGGAATATTATAAAAATGAATATTTTTGTTACTTCAAGACAAAGCACAAGTATCAAGACACCACAGAGCCCACTATGGAGGAGACAGCCACAAATACCAAACAGTAGCAATTATTGTAAAGCAAGTATTGAATAATTGTAGTCACATAAAAATATTAACATTAGCAGGTCAATGTTAGCCATCCCTTTGTACACATTGTAGCTCCTCCAGTGTTGACTTTAACTCTCCAACATTCAGTCTGGGTTTCCAGAATGTGGTGACAATAGATAAGCTCAGAGAAGCATATCCTGTACTGGACGTCGTGGATCACAACAGAAGACCCAAAGGAAGTGTAAGTTTTATTTTTAAAGTTTCTGTTCAGCCAAACATAAGTATGTAATTGTTATTTGCTGTCTTCCAGATTCCACCAACCAAAGCCTTACCACCTATAGATGGTAAATGTTCACTGGCACTATCACAAGTAATAATAATAAACCAGAGGTCCCCAACGACTGCGCCTTGGACCAGTATTGGTCTGTGGGTCATTTAGTACTACGCTGCACAGAATAGAATTTATTTAGTCTTAGTCATGTGATACTTTACAAAACATAAACAGAAATGGTTAAAAACAAACACATTTTCTTAGCATTTGTAACACTGGGAGAATATTATCCTTGGACTTGAAATGCTGCATTTAACAGTCGTTACTGAGAGTACTTTAAGTTCTGGTCACTGTCCAGGCCCACACTGCATCATATGTAACACTGATTAAATTATTATTACTACTGTGTTTACTGCAAACACCTCAAAGGTCAATCAGTGACACTGTTGTCTGATATGAAACCTGTGGCACAAAATGGGTTGTGGACCTCTGGGCTTAACAATTTAACCATAGTTTACATTTTAATTAATAATGGCTATACTTACAGCTGTCATCTTATTTGGTGAGCCAATTAGATGGGAGACCAACCTCCAGCTTATCACCGATGTCCTTTTAACAAATGGGAATCCAGGCAGCACCTGGAGTTCAGCACAGTACCCTCACATCCCAGTCTTAGCCTGTAACATGGACCTGCTGTGGATGGCTGAGGCTAAGAATCCCAGGTACACCAGATGACCTCTAAATACCAGGAACCGTGTTTAAGATTGAAATGGTTCATTCTTGGGATTTCAGCTGTGAATAAATCCCTGTTAAGATTATATAAAATTTCTTAACTCATGAGGAGAGATGTCAGTTATTCACGTAGAAAATACTCTGAAGAACGAACTTGAGTGATGACAGGGTGGTATAAATTTAAAATATTGTGTTTTTGCATTTCACACAACTTGGCCAACTTTAGTCAACGTACCTGGACCTAAAGACTTTTTTGATTATTTGAACACCAAGCATTCAAAAATAATATTGACATTAAAGTCATTTTTGTAGGAATATTATATAATTATTCATTTAAATTGTATTTTTCATTTTTCAGTAACTTTCAAGAGTCCCCAAGGCACTACAAAAATCACAAGAACTAAATCAAATCAAAACCATGCGACCAAATAAATGTATTCAAAGTAGATACAAACAAAATAAAACACAACTGATAAGGGAAAATCTTGTCTTCACCATGATTTTTTTTTTTCAACAATCTGTACATGTACTCCCAGGTTTGGTCATGGTATGTTCGTGGTGTGCTTGGAAAGCTTATACAAGAAGATAACTGGCCATGAGCTCAAGTACGAGGCTCTGATTGGTAAACCCAGTGTGGTGACATACAACTACGCTGAACTGCTGATCAGGCAGCAAGCTGAAAAACTGGGCTGGACCACACCTGTGAAGAGGCTGTATGCTATTGGGTGAGAGGCAAATTCGCTTACAATTTTAAACATAACGTTTTTGGCTTTAACTGAAATCTCTTATGTTGTTGCCGTGTTTATCTGTCTGTAGTGATAATCCAATGGCTGACATTTATGGCGCCAACCTCTACAACCACTACCTCCAGGCTTCTCACGGTGCCAAGGGAAAAAAGGCTAAGAGTGGCAGAGGTGGTGTAGTCAGAACTCACTCCTTGACAGAAGCCGATAACAGTGAACGGCTCTCAGCAGAGCCGGGTGGAGCCTCTGCTGTGTTTGGGTCAGAGGAAGAACTCCCAGAGAAGTGCCACTCCATCCTGGTGTGCACAGGAGTGTACAGCAGAGACCAGGAGGAGCTGCTGTCAGACACGACACAGACCGTCACCGAGCAGCAGATCTTCCACGGCCACCGCGACTTCCATTTTGACCCAAGCCTCACACAGCCGTCCTTTGTGGTGCAAGATGTAAAGGAGGCTGTGGAGATGGTGTTCCAACAGGAAGGTTGGCCATTGGAGTAACGCACTCTGGGTAACAATGCAGATACCTCTGCTACTAAGGCTAGTTTTTTTAGGTTTTTTTAAGTGCCATAGAATACGTTGCAAAAAAAAAAATGGTAAAAAGATGGCTGTTTCATTAACATCTACTGGAGAGTAGCAGCAGAAAAAATGGTCATGCATGTCAGTGTCTTTCAGACAGTGATGCTGCTGTTTATTTGATGTTTTTATGCAAACATGAATTCTAACAGCTGTGACATGTTGAATAATGATTGACAAAAACCTATGGTACATTTATTTTAACTAAGCTTTTCATGGCGTGGTGCTAAGTTCACCATCATGTCACATAAGGACTAATGTAGAAATTCTCACCAGAATCACAATTCTGCTGACAGCAGCACTTTTGCCCAGATAAATGAGAACATTTTCACAATAGTCTAGTCTAACCAGACCATCCTGTCTTAAAAAAAAATATACTGTATGTCCCTGAAAGGGTTTTTTTGTGGTTCTGCTGTTTGTATTACCATCACGTGTTTCGGCTTCAGTTTGTTTTTAAGCTTTGGCAGGCAGGAAACCACTAATGCTGTCAAGTTCAACTTTTGACTTTTAAGTCAAATTTACAATACACTTTAAAGCAATGAAAATTGAATTGTTGTTTTTGAATTGTGCAGAAATGTATGAACGACAAAATATTCAACTACTGTATATAAATAATAGTTACATTTTCTTCTTGCCTGTTTTATTTGTTGTTTTGTTATTATTTACATAATAAATGTAAGGAAGCTGCAGTTGTAGGTAAAAACTTACCAAATTTTGTATTTCCAGTTCTGATAATGTACACTGTCTGCTGCCTGAGTTAGTTTAATTACTGGAATCATCGTCATCAGATTGTGTAGTTTTGGATTACTGTGGCAGGAATCGGTAATTCCTTATGATGTCTAACGCTGCATAAATACTAAAATTTAAACGCCATAAAATTAAATTTCTTTTATTTAAATACCGTCTATTGCCTCATAGAGAAACTGACGCCCCTCCCCAGCCCCTCTTCAAACACACACCCACTTCAGTGTTCCTTGTGATGTCTTACTTACACTAGCTCAGCACCCACACTTTTTATCAGCAGATGAAAAACCGTGGATTGGGTGAGAACTGTTGCGCAACATGAACTGTGATTGATCTTGAGGGGACTCGTCCACGATGGTCATGCCATTGCGTGCCAGCAGCTCTCGGGCCATGAGGTTGAAGGCAGCTTCCACATTCTGAGCCTCCTTGGCTGAAGTTTCCAAAGCAGCCAGGACGCTGTTGTTTTCAGCCAAAGTGCAGGCTTCCTCGAACAACACTTTTCTGTCCTCTACCAGGTCTGACTTGTTTCCTGCAGGAAAAGAAAACATTTGAGAAAAAAACTGCCAATATAATGTATATTTATATTTACTGCTAGAAATATAGTTAAGAACTGAAATTGTAAAAACACTAAATTTGAAATGTCTTTAAAATACAATAACTTTTTTAACATGAAATATTTCAATAATTACATTCTTTGCAAACTGATATTATCTTCAGATAATAAAAATAATCCTCTCGCAAATAGTTGACAACTAACTCAACATATTTGTTTGAGAATTAAAAAAAATCTACAAACTACATAACAAGCTGACATGAGGTCTAGCTTTTGTGTATTTAATAACAGGACTCTACCAACCTCTGATGAACCTCTGGTGATTTCTAACCCAGGGCATACAGTAATTGTAAAAACAACAAAAAAGAACTCCTAAACAAATTAAGAGTCATCAGGTCAGTTTTTAGAAATACTAAACTGTAAGGGAAAACCTGTAGTATCACTCTGGCCAGCACAATTCTGCCTTAATTGTTACCTTTGAGGTTATTTAAAACATTGAACATAACGCTGCTTCAGTAATAGCCAAGATTTTTTCCACAATGTAAACAGCAGAGTTGTTGTTAACACAGTCTTATGTTCTGTCCCAGGCATAGTATAACAGGGATAGTGGTGGATTGCTGGCTAAGGAAGCAGACTTATGTCTGGAAAGTCACAGGTTCACCAGCCTGGCACCACTGACGTGGCACAATCCTTACACAATGCACCCCAGGCGCTCAGCTTGAACTGGCCCCTGCTCACTAAGGTGATGGATTAAAAGCAGAGGTCACACTTTGTTGTGTGCAGTGATGTGCAGTGACAATTAATCACTCTAACTTATTGGGTTTACTCTTCATTACCTACCTATGAGTATGAGTACAACACTCGCAGCTCCATATTGTTCCACCTCCCTGATCCAGTGGGGAACAGACTCAAACGTGGATCGACGTGTGATGTCATAAGTGACCATGGCACCATGGGCACTGCGGTAGTAGCTCTGAGTTATGGTGCGGAAACGTTCTTGTCCTGCTGTGTCCCAAACCTGCATCTGGGAAAGTCCAGAAAAACATAACCAATCAGCAAAAGTTAGGGTTAGGGTTAGGCTAACAATCCAAACGTAACAGACGTAGTAAAATAAAGCACTTTAATGACCAGTTTCCTCAAACATTCTTTTTTATCGGAATTTAAACACACACATAAGCATGAATTAATTAGAATTAATTAGCAACAAGTAAACACACCCAGAAAGCTAACAGACAAAGACAGTGTTTTTATTAAGTGGCAGTCAGATTCTACTCATTTCTTTGATGGAAAAATACTTACTGGAAAAGCAGTAAAAAAAAGTATTAGTCATTTTTAAGACATGACACACACATCTTAAAAACTGTTTCTTAGGTAACATATGGGCTTAGGTGTAACTTTGTTTGGTTATTGAAGAACTCATGATTATGAAATTTACACACACAAAATAAATAAATAAAAAACAACTACCTTCACTTTCTTGCCATCAATGTCCAGGGTCCGGACTGTGAAGTCAACACCAATAGTGTTTTGTTGCTTTTCAATGAAAATGTCAGACTTGAATCTCTGGACCACGCAGGTCTTCCCAACATCTGAGTCTCCAATTAGGATGATTTTAAAAAGAAAGTCAAAGGAGTCTTCGATCTCCGGCCCAGCAGACTGCATCGTGATGGGAAGAAACACACAAACACACACACACTGACACTGAACCACTGGATTCAAGACCTTGATGTCTGAACCTGTTCTTTCCTAGTATGTCAATAACAAGTGAGTCTTTTTTACAGTCACTGCCGTCACATCCTTATTAACCACACTAACCAGCTGTGATGAAAGTCCCTGTGTTTCTCAGTAGGACTAACAATTAAAGTTGTATGATTCAAAATCCAGCATTCTCCAAAAAGACAGTTATTCAATTCAATACTCCGTGAACTGCAGATGAAGTTCAGCATCCAAAAACTCTTCTCTCTTTGGGACCTGTTTTCGTTTCCATGTCTACGTCTCACTGTAGGACACACTCCTGAAGACTAGACTTGTCTGCACTGCCCTTTAGACTCTTACCTGTTCTGCCCTCTATATCTGACACTTTTATTCTGGGAAATTTTAAGACCCGCCTCCTACCTGTCTCCATAGGCGTGATCTCCAACTGCCCGCCCATCTGCTCAGCTGCATCCTGGTATATGTATTTCCTTCTCAGCCCGTAGTAATTCACCGTACCTGATGGAGGCACAGTAACTGGAAATGTGACATAATTCATTCAACCAATGTGAGGTGAATATTGCAGATGCAAACCCGATTGTAAATACACAACTACAGGACTGCAGGCTTATTTCAAAGACATGCTCAAGTCCTGTTGCAGTTTTACTCAGTGAACAAATACAACAAAACAAAGAGTTTAAGCCACACCTACAGTTTAAATAGCGCTGATGTAAACACCTGAGGTCTTGTTCTATAATGACAACCCCTGAAGCCCAGGACTTAACTGTGTGTGTTTAAAAGCACCCAAGATAATCAGCCTTCACATTATTGGCCCCTTCACTGAGTACTGTCAACACATTCCACAGCAGAAAACAAAACAAAGTCAAACAGGCAGTTAAAAAAAACACACATATAAAACGACAGAAGGCTGAAGTGTAATAAACATCACTCTACCTTGGGCTTCATTCATCTACCTCAGCGATGCTAACAGAGACCGAGTGTGCCAGTTTGAATCTGATTCCTTAGACTTTTTTCTCTCTCCACCCCCTCACTTATTTCCTTGCGTCATCTCGTCCCACAAAAGAACAAGGCACAGCTGGACACAGAACAATGTGTGAGTGTGACAAGCTCTTGACCAGACGGGTCTATCTTGGGCTCTGGCCACAAGCAGCTTGCTTTGTGGTGTTTGGTATGTGCCAGAGGTTCTGTTCAACAATTAGTAATGGAGACAAATAGGAAAAACAAAAATGTTCGTAAAATATTTAGTTATTATTTGAATTTCATTCAATCTACATCATTCAAAAATGAGCCAGGGTATCAGATATGCTGGACAATCTTATAAAGTCAGAGGAACTTAGTGTATGTACATCCAGATCTGTAAATCCTAACATCCAGAATTAAAACTCAATTAATGCAGGAAATGCTCCCAAATGTGTCACTATACACAGTACTAGCTAGCAGGACATTTAAGGTGAGTGCATGTGACAGTAAAAAAAACAGAGAGATATCCACAGTGCTCTGTCTGTGAGTCATGTGCTGTTGAGCACGTTATGAGTCAGTTGACAGTTGACAGTTAAAGTTTTTTTCTTTGTTTTTGAGCTTTACTGCCAGGGAAATTCTTTGGAGATAGATCCTGGGGAGGGACGTAGACTGGTTTCCATGGAATGGGATTGTAGAAGCTGGGCGAAGGATAGAATTTGTCATAAGGACCTGGAGGACAAAGGAACAAGCAAAGCATCAAAGCTTTGATTTTAATTAACCAGGAAACTAACCAAAGAGTTGATTTTAGGCTTTACTATTAGAATCCATTTAAATACTGTGTTCTTTATTCAATTTTTAACTGTTTTGTAAAAACTTTTTTTTTTGTTTTCCAGCATATCCAAACACACATTAGTACAGCATCATTCATTATTGATTTTGTTACACTACAGGGAAGGGAAATAAAACATAATAAGCATTCAACAAAAACAGTTTCTAAACTTTTTCCCCCCGTACACAAACACCTTAAAATTTATTTTTAAAAATATTGACCTAGTTTATAAATTACTTTCCTTAACTGTAGGCTTAAGTGACAAATTCTAACAATATCTGTTCAATTTTAAGAGCTTAAAGTAATGTACACTTACTTGTTGAGCAGGAGGGTGATTTGGGAACTGACTTGCTTTTTTCATTGGCTTTCTCCAGCCATTCTTTAAAACTCTCCTCTGCCAATCTGCATCGCTCCTTCTCCTGCTCCTCCTTCAGGGCCACTATCTCCTTTAAAATGCCATCATCACAGTCCTGTTGGTCTGTCATTACTGTTACATTTATTTTTTTAAGGAAGAAAAACAAGTATTTGCTCTACCTTTTCTTTCTTTTCTCTTTCTGCCTTTTCTTGGTTCTTCTTCTGCAGCCAGTCTTTGTATTTTTGTTGGGACTTCTGCTTGATCTCTTTCTGTTTTCGCAACTGTTTCTGTTTTTCCTCTTCTTTTTCCTGCTTCTCCTGCAGATCCCGCTTCTCCTAGTTTTGGAAGAAATAATCAGAGTATTTTGTAAGCAAAAAACACAACCAACATGTAATTGAACAGTTGTCTCATAATCTCTGATCGTTTTTACCATTTCTCTTTTCATATTTAGCCATTCTTGGATCTTTTCTTCCATGATGATCTGTTTTTGTTTCCGCTCCCTTTCTTGTTGCTTTTTCTTTTCAATCTGCAAGAGTTCCTATTTCATAAGGGGTAAAATTTGAACTTAATGTGTGATGACAATTATCAAAACATGGGGTGAGAAACAGTTCATGATGTTATATCCACATCAAACTTTACTAATAAAACCAACTTGCCTGTTCTGCTTTTTTTTCCATATTGTTTCTGTGCTCTTTACTTTTGTTTACTAGCCACTCTTCCCATGGACTCAGCGGAAGCAGGGCAAAAGGCTGCACAGCTTCACTGTACATCTGCTCTGAAGGTGCTTTTGGTAATTCACACCTGAATGCAAAGCACATTGATAATTTTAGAACATCTCTTGTATAAACATGTAACAGACTTAGTCATAGCTGCACAGGTACCTCACAGAAGAAACGTTGAGTTTTGAGTTGTCACTCAGTCTGGGTGAGGTTGGCTCATCGTGGTTGAGCTTCAGTTCCTCTTCTTCGCTACTCTCATAACTGTCATGATAGATGGGGGAAAGTAGAGAGAATGTGTCTTCATCCTCAGATACCACTCCATCCTCTGACAGTCTGCGCAAATCTTTCTTTTGGCTGCTCTTGATAGGGGTCGAGCTGAAGCCTTCTGATGCCAATGCAGGACAGACCGGCATCCTGTCTACAGACATTGCTAGCCGTTGTCTGTCAAAAAACGATCAATGATTTAGACATAACATGGGATGTGATGAAAGGGATGTAATTCAGTAACATACAACAAATAAATATAGAAAAGCAAAATACAATTTCTCAAATAACAATATTATAATAAATACTGAATACTTAATACAAAGTTCCATCAAAAAGTAAAAAAAAAACTGTGCCAAAGAGTAACAAAAGACCCACCAAACACCGGCCCTTCTGTGGACATTGTATTATGTTTTAGCAGATAAATTACAAACTTGACACATTTACTGTGACCTCATTAATTGTTAACGTTGACTTCAAACGGGCTGTTTTGTACGATTCCACCTTTTTGTAACATATCACACAGTGTGCGTCGGTTTTATGATGTTGAATTAGAAATATGGTGTAGCTGTCAATCGCATGTGGTGACCAATATATATTTTTTATTTCTTCATAAATTTCTGCATTCTTTGTAAAACAGATATCATATTTTAGATAATCGGATAATCAGTGTTAAGGGCCTGTTACAAGCGCTGTGATATAGAGTCCTAACAACGGTGCACAATATTTACTTGCGTTTCAGTACATAAAATCATCTCTCAGGTTTGTTCAGATTTACAAAAGACAAACGATACATGACGATTAACTACAAAAACACTGGAATTTGATTTTAAGTTTTTGAAAAAAAAACGAAGCTTTGAAACTTCCTTAAACACAGCATAGAAATCTGTTCTACGAGCACGTTAGCAACCCAGTGCTAATGCTAGCTTAAGTTAGATATGTGGCGCGTAAAACAACGTAGAAGAAACTGAAAAAAAGAGAAACTTACTTGTTTCCGACACCGCGTTTTCCGTTAGCGTGTCACCTGAGCATATGTAAACAAATAACGCCACTCAACACTATGTTTTGCGTGTCTGGTGAAGTGTTCTGTTGTTTTGTTTCTACCTCAGTTCCCATCATGCAACGCGTACCCACGCTTGGCTGTGACTGAAACCATGGAGATGTAGAACGCTTTATTACGTCACCCTTGGACGTGTTGCTTCTTTATCTTGGTTATATGATCATTTCTGGTTGAATATTATGTTTAATAGACGCATATTACAAAACAATATAAATATAGATAGAGGGGGAGGGGGAATACAATATAAGATACACGTAACACAGAAACACATTGCCCCTAGAACATATGCTCCCTAGAAAAGCATTAAACTAAAAAGCTTCATTTAAGAAATCTATTTGACATTCAATTTAACACGCAAAAGGAGAAAGAAAAAGTGTGTGTGGGGGGGGGACACGAGGTCGGGGTCCATCTAATCCCAGGGCACTTTTGGGTAAATTGTCCTTACTTTGGTAGAACTATGTACATACAGAATTCACCACAAATTGCTCAAATTAAAAATTTAAACTTTGTATAATTTCACACAATATTTGTAAAGGTTAAGTAGAGGCTCTGTGTTAATATATTCAGTGATTGCCTAGGCCCTAAGTTGTCCTCTTACACCGTGCTGAACACAGTTTACTGCCTTCTGTATTTAAGTGTTTTGTGGCAGCATTGGCCTACTTGAAGATAACCTGCCCACACACCCAACCTCACTTAACATCATGAGTCTAATTACCAGCAGGAGAGACAAAATGAGATGCTACAGCGAGGGGCTGCTTCCACACAGAGGTGTTACATTTTGTAAATGTCTGTAACTACCTGCAACATAAATTATAATTTTGTTGAGTTTAGTGTTGATGTTGTTGTTTTTAAGAGCCCATGCCCATAAAACTCCTCATTTCAGCTACAGCTACATTTGGTTGAAGGAACCATTAAGACACTGAGAATGTCTTAGAATTTTCTTTAAATGAAATGTTGGGTCTTTAAGGAAAATTAAAGTAATTCTGGAAAAACCCTTTTATGTCCATATCTGATTGTTAATTATAGAAATATTTCTGGGCTGCTCTCTAAATGACTCCGTCTATCACACCTCCTTGATTCTGATTTGTATACGTGTCATGTCTTTGTAAGGCAGACAGGTTCTGACTAAAATCATGACCAGAAAGATTTGAGGCGACAAGCACGTGCAGAATGGAGGTTGTTGTGTATGATTCTACACGTCCGCAGTTCCAAAGTCACAGCAGAGTGAGAGATTCCTGCTTTTTACCTTCAGCTAATCTACCCTTGAGGAATAACTCTTTCCATTCAAAGATCTGCAGAGTCCGATACTGACTCCAGAAAGCTCAGCGACCAGCCTTCTAGTCAGGTGTTATGAAGACAGGAGATCTTCAAAGAATGCCAAAAGGCAGGGCCCATCTGAGACGGGTGTCCCACACTCCTCTTCAAGACTCTGGACAGCCCTGGAAGTCCCGCAAAAAGTTCCAAGTTATCATCTGTGTGCTGCTTGTGGAGCTCTGTGAGAGATTTGCTTTCTTTGGGATTGTTTGTAACACGATTCTTTTCTGCACTGTGAAGCTGGGCTATGATAACTTCCTGGCTGCAACGGTCAACCTGTGCTTTATTGGAGCCAGCACCCTGACACCTGTTCTGGTGGGGTGGTTTGCAGAAACCTGTCTGGGACAGACCAAAGTACTGTATCTATGTGCTGCCCTTCATTTCTTCGGTAAGATGCAATTTGAATTTAATATACTGTATACATTTTAAACTGGATAGTATGGTTTAATAGTATAAGTTAAGTCAACTATATTACAAAAAAAGTTATATTTAATGACATAAAATAACACAGGTACATAGATGAAGTGATAATAGATATTGTTCACGTATTCTCTCTTGTTTTAGTGTGAGTGTAAAGACCTTATTTATTTTTTTATTGTCCTAAAACTTTTAATAATTTCAAATGTTTGCTCGTTGTGTCCATTGAATAGCCCTGGATGTTATGTATTCGTGGTGTTAGTATTTTAAAATATTTCAGACAACAACAGAAATAAAATGCAGATCCAAACAAATTAAGGAAGAACCATATGTGAATAAAATAATCTGTAAATGCTGATCTCAGTAAAAACTGTTCATAGAATTGTTCATTCAGCACCAACATCCAATATATTTAATTTTATTATTTAAAAATAATTGTGTTTTTTTGTGGCAAAAAGTTTTGGTTACTGATTGTAGTGCTGATAGGAGTGGATAAATGCCTTTCTAACATGTCAAATGTGTTCTTTTTAAATATAATTTGAAGCTTTGTATCAGAAACATCAGCCAGCACAGACTTCATCATCAGACTGGACATGACTGACTATATATTTTCAATAAGGAGTACCATAAAATTGTCAGTGGAGTTTTTTCTTCACTTGTGTTGTAGTATTCTGTAACATATTTGTCTTCGTACACTCTAGGTACAGCGATGCTGCCTGTGGTGGCATTTCCTTTTGAAGATTTCTACATCGACACTCATCACATGACACACCAACTAGAACCTCATGAGCAGCAGATCTTGTTCTACGTTGGGCTCCTGGCTGCCGCATTGGGGATCGGGGGCATTCGGGCTATCCTGTGCCCATTGGGCGCCTACAGTCTCCAGGGCTACAACCAGCACCGACTTTTGTCCTTTTTCAACTGGTAGCTATGGTTTTGTTATTCAGTTTACAAAGTTTCAGTTCAGTTCATGTTTTAAACGTATGTATCATATAATTTTGAGATCATGAAAAAAAAGATTATTTACTATTTTGTGTTTAAAAATATCATTTTTAAACTGTCTAAATTTTATTTTTTACATTTAGGTTCTACTGGTTGGTAAACCTGAATTCCACCGTTGTTTTTTTGGGTATTGCTTATATCCAGCAGTCTGTGGCCAAAAATCTAGGCTTCCTTATCCCTTTCACCTCTGTTTTGCTGGCTCTCATTGCCATACATATGATGCGCAATAAACTCACCTACAAACCCAAGAAAGGTAATGTTCTCAGTGAAAAAATAGAGAAATGAATCTCTCACTCAGAAAGATAAGTTAATAAGATAATAAGTTATGGTGTTTCCATCACAGGTGGATCTTTGCTGACCACACTTGGAGTCTTCCTCAACTCTTTCAAGATGTGCTGCCTCCACTACAGGCACCTGAGCGGAGATGTTACGTCCTGGTTGGACCGGGCCAAAGAGAACAATGGTGGTCGGTACAGTGAGACGCATGTGGAGAATGTCAAAGTCCTGGCAAAGCTTTTTCCTCTTTATGGGCTTCAACTGTTGTACAGAGTTTGCATCACACAGGTACATTCATTATAGATAAACGGTTTTATCAGTTTATTATAAAGAAAAAGAAAATAAGGAGAATGTATTCCACAGATTCCCTCAGGTTACTACATACAGACAATGAACTCCAACCTTCACCTCAATGACCTGCTGTTGCCCATCGGAGCAATGAACGTGATCAGCATCCTTCCTCTGCTGCTCCTAGCTCCGCTCATGGAGTGCGTCACCACCTGCTTCCTTTCTGTGGAAAAGACTCCGCTGGCTCCTGCTAAAGTCATTAGTGAGTTTTTACACATGCACAAGTCAGGGAAAATACATTCACTTGACAGTAAAATAACATTTTAGAATCATTGAATTTAAATTCAATGATTCTAAATGATTAAATTCAATGATTCAATGAATCCTGCCAAACATTTAAATGTTTGGCAGGATTTTCTATAACATATTTGTCTTTTGTTGCCTTTTTGTAGGGTTTTTTTAACATTAGAGTAAATAGAAAATTCAAGCAATGTGAAGCTCAATTTGCAGTAGCATTAAATAAACATTTTACATTTTATTTATAAACTTTTTTGCTTTTTATTCACCGTCTCATCCTCCAATTTTCCACCTGTAATCGCAATCCTCCTTCATTCCAGAGCCTCTCACCCCACCTTGTCCATCCTCCCCTTTCAGCTCTCGGCCATGTGTGTGCCACTCTGTCAGTTCTGGTGGCAGGCGTGTCTGAACTCCAGAGGAAGACCTACCCTCTGGTGGAACAAACTCTTTCTGGGAGAGTATTGCAAGTCTCAGCCATGCCGTGTTTCCAGCTGGCACCACAGTACATCCTGCTTGGTTTGGCAGAGGCATTGGTTACACCTGCTTGTGAGTGACAACCTAAACTGACCTGATTTAATGTCCTTAAGTTCAGAGTAGTTCCTCAGTCTTCTGTGCCCTCTGTCATAACAAATAATATCACCAAATCAAACCTTTTTTTTTCACTTCCAGGTTCCCTCATATCTTTCCAGCTGACTCCCAGCCACATAAGGGGTATCTCTCTGCACTTCCTCACCCTGTCTTATGGTGGGGGCTGTTTTCTAGGTGCCTTTATTGTTCAACTTGCATACTTTCTCTCAAGAGGTAAACAAAAATACATTACTTACTACATCACATCTTAAATTAAAATAATTTAACGCCATTATCATGATGAGATACGGTGGAAGCTTGTTTGAAATATGATCTGTTGTATTTGACTCCAGGTAATTTCTACCCAAGCACATTGCATGATGGGAATCTGGAGAGGTTTTTCTTTCTCCTGGCTTTATTGATGGCCATAAATAGCCTACTGTTTTGGCATGTATCCCACAGGTACATTATTATTATTATTATTATTATTATTATTATTATTATTATTATTATTATTATTATTATAGCAGTTGTTGCTGATACCAAGTCCTGATAGCTATGCCAAGCAAAGTAAGTGGTGGACTTTCTATTTGGTATTTTAAACAACTTATGAATGAGGGACTAGAGCAGAATACAGATGTGTGGAACAGTAAAGGAAAAATTGCTAGGTGGAGATGCAAGGAGTGGATGGAAGGTGAGGGTGTATAAGGTTTTACTGAGACCTCCTGTTGAGGTTAAAAAGTTGAATATTTTCAGTTACTCCTACCAAAGTTTGGAGATGGGAGTAATGAGGAGTAGTATGTTGGGATGAGCTGAATGAGAGATTAAGTTGTAGAGGCAAGTAGAGAGATTTAAACATGTTCTGAAATATATGTCTGAAAAGGTTCAACAGAGATAGAACTACCAGGCAGAAAAAAATAATGGAAGATTCCAGAAAGGGTGACTGTACAGTAAAGAAGGCAAAGGAAGAGAGTGAAATAAAAGCAAACTAACCAAGAATGTCATCAATACAAGAACGCAACCAAAAGACAAACAATTCTACCGTGTCCTACCTCTAAGTGTATCTTTTTTGTCATTCTGTTGTTACGCAGGTACATGGATCTGAGCGTCCAGGGCAAAGCTCTGACCATCAGCCCTTTGAACGAGAAGCTGCTACATTACAAATCCCGTCTGCGATACTATGACACTCTGGACTGCTCCTACACAATCACCTCGGTTGACTCTGATCTATGACCCTCCCTAATTCAGTTAATAATTCTTGGCAGTGCTGGCACTGCACTTTTTCAATATGTACACTGTGGGAAATTTTAAACTGAAGTATAGTGAAGAATAGTGTAAATACATTTAATGCATTGTACATTGTTATATATTATCTTGACAAGTATAGAAAAATAAAGATATATTTTTTTAAATGTTGAGCTTTATTTGCCCTTTGATTCAATTACAACCATGTAAATTATAAATCATAATTTAATCTGAAGAAATGACTGGAAATTGGGTTAGGTACAAAGTTATTAGATCACATTTATGTGATTAAAGAAGTTTAAATAGTACCAACATAGATTTGTCATAATAAGAGTCATCCAATGTATCTTCCAAAGTCCCTTGAATATATATCTTGTCAGCATACCACCAGAAAATGGGTAAGGCGGAAATAAAATTTCCTATATCAGCAAAAGAATTGCAGTATAATGCTCCAGCGTTCAAAAAAATCAGTCGAAGGTCACTTTGTGCTGTAGGATGCAGTACGCTTGAAGCGTTCTCCGTAAAGGTGTTTTGTGCCTTAAATTAATTCTGTCTTAAATTAATTTAAATCAGTCCCATTCATTTAAGGGTTTGCTGGGTGATTTTTATGCACATATTGCCACTTAATCACCTTTTACAAAAATGTTATTTTACATCCCTCCAATGTGATGTAATGTGCAAGCACTAGTGGGTTAGATGTTGCATATTTTCAGTGTAGCACCTAAATCAACCGAAAACCCAGGATAGACTGGTTCAGTGAAGGTGGTTTGGGTTTTGTGCAGCAAAATCAACCTGTCGGTGACACTGTAGAAAGCAAGCATACCTGCTTTAAAGTCTAGATGTATGCCCACCCTGCAGGATTTCACTGGACAAAGATTACCTTTATGGAGACTATTGTGCCAAAAGGTGCAGCCGGAGGAAGAGCATTTCAATTTCCAGGACATGTGATTGTGGCCAAAGCAGCAATCATTCCCTGAGCCTTGTCTGTTTATCCCTTTGTATGCCACAGCCACCTCAACAACTCCACCATCCCACTCCACCTCCCAGTAGTGGTTTCCCTCCAGGCCCTTCATACAAAGAGCCTGGGGATAAAAGGTGAATCTGTCTTGGTGATAAGGATGAGTCTGGGGATTTCCATGGAAGAATATCTCTTTGTTATTGTCAGACAAACAAAGACATGAACCCACTGTGTTGGGATCCATCTCCACATCAGTGTCTGTAAGGAAGAGACAAAAATAATCAATGAGCTCCATTCCCAAATTTTCTCTGTGAGTCAACATGACCCAACATTATGCTTACTCTTACATGTGGCCAAAGGTTTAGTCCTTGATATTATTATCTGTGGCAGCCTGGGACTTTTTAACACTGAAAAAGAAACCAAAAACAAATTCAAGAGCTTTAATTCATCTACAGAAATGATTTAGAAATGAAAAGTTGCTACACTTACATAGGTATTTTTTAGAACAGACATATATGTCTGTCTTTTCATTGTTGGAGAGATTTTTTATTTTATCCTCCTGAGCAGCAACAAACTGTGGCAGCTGGTCAAGACTTCCATGTAAGTGTTTTGGGGACTCCAGGTCAGACCTCTGAAACTCCTGCACAGAAACAAAAAATACAAAAAAAATTAAAATAAATCAAAAATACAAACACATTTATTTCCCATTTTGAGGTAATGCATCACTTTACAAGCGTGTACTTACTTGAATGAACTGTATTGGATCCTTAATAAGAGCCAGGTGATTGATTTTATCTTGTCTCTTCTTCAGTGTCCACACTTCACGCTGCCGTTTTCTGAGGTGGTCATCAATCCAGTCCACTCCAGCTTTCTCTGCTTCCTGTACTTTTCCCCTCATTTCAGCACATCTTAACTTCATAGAGCTGATAACTGAGTGAAGGAATTCCTCACAGAGTTGCTCAAATTCATTACTTGCCTCCCATGCAGCATCCTAGGTAGACACAAATAAGGTGATAGAAGACAGTGCTAGAAAACAAAAATGTCCCAGTATATCTAATAAATTCAATGGTGTTCCACTCCCTCACAATTGACCCACTCAGTCTGAAACTTGGGGCCTATTTAGTTGACATACAGAAAAATCTTCCACAGCGCTGAGTTACTTTTTGCTAAATAGCCATTACCTGCCACCTGGTGTAAGAGCGTAATCTGCCCTGCCTGTCAAAGACAAATTATTTGCTGTAAATAAGTATGTTTTCAGACAAATTAAGTGAACTCTGATACACCAGTGTTGCACCACATCTGTTGGGGATCACTGATATAAGACATATGAGTGAATTCTCTTCTCAACGGTTGGTTTTTGACTCATTTAATTCTACTATATATTACTATTAATATTTCTTGTCAAGGTTTCTAAACTGTTTACTTCTTATTTATTAATGTCATGCATTGAAAAAGAACCAGAACAATTAGCTTCCTGAGCAACGCACCAAAACCAGATGGCATATTTTTGGCATCATGCAATTTTTACATTATTAGCTTACATTATTTTTCTTTAAAAAAAAAAAAAACGTTTTTCACAAAATTTAAAATACCAAAGACCAATGCAGAGGTTGAACTTTTTGACTTTTTCTAAACAAATACCTCAAAGTATGTATCTGTTAAAATACTAGCTTCATATGAGTTGATGGTGATATGGTTGAGCTCTCTTGTTAAAAAACAACACAAAACAGAAGACATTTCTTTAAACTTGATAAAACAGAAGACATATAAGTATTTAAAATACGGCATGTAAACAAAACAAGTGAGGATTTTTTTCCAGTTCTGTAAAGTAGCTAGTACGTTAAGACGCTACAAGCAGGTCCTCAAAATATATTCAAATTAACAGACTGGCCTGCAAAAACTTAAATTCAATGGAAATTCAGTAAATTATCATCAAGACAATGGTTTACTCTAGAAAACAATAGAATCTCTTAGACAGAAATATTATGGACCATATGGATCATCACAAAATGAATGTGTTTTACATTTTAAGTACATAGGTTTACAGTTCATATGAATATAAAAGGCATAAAAGGTTGTGGTATCCTAAGATGTAGATTGCCTAAAACAACAAAAAAGTATAAAATGCATCAGTTAATGTATTTAATTCCTCAGTTCAGACTAATGTGAGACTAATTGTTAAAATCCATTAAAGAAGGGTACATTCCATATGCTTCGTAGGGAGGAGGAGGAGGATCATTGGGTTGAGACACTGCTGGTGCTGATGGTTGGGCAATCCCCCAGGATGTTGGCTGTGGATTCCAATACGGAGTATTCAGGGATCTGGACTGCAAACCAGCAGCAGAAGCAGCGGCAGCAGCAGGAGGTGGCGGAGCCTCACCGGGAACCTGAGTGACTGGTAGTATGACTATGGGAAATTTGATCTCTGGGTCTGAAGCATACTTCACATCCAGGTAGACCTGTGAAAATATCTTTCATTTGTTTTAATTTAAAACATTTTTAGATTTGTTAAAAACATAATTGGTGCATAGAGCTTGAGCCACAAACAGTTGTGCAATCACAAAAAACATTAATATGTGGATTAATATATGGAAATGACTGGTGACAAGCACTGTGTTAAAAATACAAGTGATAATGCAGAGACTGCTTACCCTGAGCCTGTGCTCTACTTTGAGAATTTTACAGTCAAGGATCGATGGTTCCATATCATGTGGAATTGTGATGATCCTTGTGACCATTGTTTTGGCAGAGGGAGGTATTGGCTCTCCAACTTCTTTCACGAGGTCTTTGGTGTTCAACCGGCGGCGTCCCTCAGCAAAGAAACTGTGTTTTGAGTACACACAGAACTTTGGTTTGATCTCACGGGAAGAATTGTTCTGAATGTGGGCAATAACCTTTATTCCTTCTCCTGAGATAAGATGAACAAGTATGAGTTTTCATGATACTCAAAGAAAAAACATAACAGTCTGTTTGGACACTCACCTTGGAAGAAACCCGACTTTTCAATATCTACATCCATGGCGACTGTACCCGAGCTGAAAAATTTCATTTTCTTATCTTTGGACTCGTGCTGTGGTATCTGAAATGTAATCATTGAAATTATTGTAATATACTGAGAGGACTGTTTTTTCTGATGTGGTTATATTTAGTAGACTTTAATCATTTAAAGCAGAAATCAGTGGTCCTCAAGTAGGAATATTATTCTACTTTATCTCTATCTTGTAGACTTAGGACAGATGTAAATTTTTACAAAGTGAATTCCAAGTTATGGTTTTCTCTGCCATCAGCAACATGTTACCATTACCTTGTCCTAAGCAACAGCATCTCGTTTCATGGTGTGAGTTAAAAATGTTCCACTACATAATGTAAGCTAATGCTTCATAATTTCCCTAAAATTTGCCACTTGTCTAAACTTGCTAAGACTAAGGGTGTCAATATTGAGTAAGCTAACCCAAAATATGGGACATTCCCTCCTTTGGAATGACAGGGATGTTTCATGTAACACCAACCATGAGTTCAGGAATGCAGCTGAAATCTGCTCTTGGAACGTAGCTGATTTTAGTTTTATCTTTTTTGGGAATCCTCATTGATCTGCTCAGTTTGGCTTCCAGCAGGTACACAATTTTACCAACAGAGCCCTTAAATGAACGTGGCATATCCCTGAAACACAAAGAGAAGTCCAGCAGTTACATTCATGAAATACCACATATTTCTCAGAAATAAAGTTGCAGAATTAGGAGAGCTGAAACCCATACACACACACACACACACACACACACACACACACACACAGATGCTTGATTCATTTTTGCTCACCCCTGTCTCTACACTTTGGAGCAATGACTGCAGTGTATTTGACATGTTATGACCCTCTTATTTATTTATTTTGTAACTAAAGTAGTGAACAAAACTCCCCCATTTTACAACTAGACTAGTACCAGTAGTACATGTACCATAGGTTGAGAACCACTGTTCTTGGTGATAAAGGCAATTAATGCCTATATAAAAAAATACTTACATTACAGGGAATTGGAAGGTGAATGGGTAGACGTGACATCCTGGGTTAACAATGCTGCTATCTGAAAATACAAACTAGTGAACACCAACTACTCACAAATAATTAACATTATTTAATTGTTAAAGCAATTGAAATTAACTAAATATATAATAGTCTAATCTTAATTTTATCAGATTTGTTCATTCAGTTATTCCTAGTACAAGTACTAGTTTTAGTACTTTAGTGAAAGGTGAAACCTGTCTTTTATGATGCCACAATGGCGAACACTGCTATTATTTAACTTCAGTATTTACATAAATGTATCATGAATACTGGCCACCACAACAACTCAGAGGTTACTGTACCCAGAACAAAACATATGTATCAGCAATTTATAAAACACAAGGAATACTTGGTATTAATACATTTTAAAGCCCCGCAATCATCACTCTAATGATCACCCATGATACTTACATGTTTCTCCATTTTGATTTGACAACAGTATTTCATTATCACCGTGTTCTGGAATAAAACAACAGTTTAGGGTTCTTGAATATGGCAATCATAATTCTTGAATCGTAGCTTGTGCATTTTTGCAATGCGCAGATGGTTTCCATTAGTTATTTATGTAAAAGACTTTCAGAATTTAACATTACGGCTAGGACTGGAAAGGCTGGATTCTATTTTCCACTTTAATAAACTCAAAACATGCTGCGCTTTTGAAACGTTTAACTGTAAAATGTTATTGCTGTTTTGAATATTTAGCACAGTCTTATATAAGCTGATCGCAATTACTTGAATATTTGAAACAAATCAAATGCTTTATTTAGGAATCATCAATCTATCTCTATTTGAACAAAAAAATCATGCATTTCTTTCGGTCTCTAAATCGATGCCATAATTATTAAAAAAGACGCGCGCGCACACATCAGAAAGAATTTGTTCTCTCTTGATTAATTGATAATTTGGTGACATTCCCTAGTTGAAACCCCTAGCGTGAGTATGGTTCATGCACAAAATACAAAAGGCTAAAGTGAACGTTAACTTACCTTCGCTGTTGTGGTGTCGGACAAAGAAATGTTTGATACTAAAGTACTTGTCCTTGGAGTGGTAAACATGGGTGGTGTTCCCATGTCTTTCGGTCCACAAAACTTCAGCTTTTCCCTTAAATTTAATCGACAGAGACTCGATGTGACATTCTTTGACCACTTCAAGATTTACGACACCAGTGACCCAGTCTCCAACTGTAAAAGCGTCGCTATCTTTAGGAGGGTTACAGGTTACTGTGAGGTTTTTCACGGTAGACGACATGATCGACGAGTGGTAACTGTTTTTCTTTTTTAACTTTCTGTCAAAATCTTGAGCTAAAGTCAAACATCTTCTATGGGTGTGTCCTATTTCTTCAGGCGAACTCACCCACCACTCTAACCAATCACAAGCACTTTTGCTGCCCTGTCCGCTGATACTCGATACTACAAATCTGTAGATAGGATTATTTTATCCCAAATGTTAACGAACACCGGACAACTAAGAACAAAATACAAAGCACTAACAATCAACCATAATGCGCACCTTTACAAGCTTCTGTAACACTTTAAAATATTGTTATTATTTATGGAACAACCCCACATTCCAGGTAGAAGGCAAACGCAATAAAGAAAGAAACAAGTTCAAACCGGCATTTTATTGACTGCGTAAAACCTGGAATTTAGGTGTATTGTAATATTATTGTCTTTAAAACAGGTTAACGCAAAGGATGTACATAATAAACTGTGTTAAGTGTGCTGTTGTGGTCACCTTATACAAAGAAGTTAGATAAATGTTTACTAGTAGCCTTGCAGTTTAATAAACTCTATATTTGCTTTGTATTGTCCATCAGTTATATCAGTGATGTCAGTGAATGACACTCACCCTGATGTCGTCTGCAGCGTCGCTCAGTTTAAACATTTCCATCTCTGCCTCTAGCATTCTTTCTTTCATGCTCTGCATAGTTTCATCCAGTTCGCTCTGTTAAAACATGGGCAGAAAACTTTTCTAAACGTCTTATCGTATCAATATGAGCAAAAGGCAATACATTGCACTTCACAAAAGGGATATCTTGTTTACCTTTATCTCACATTGTCTTGCTGCCACTGTCACCGTGTTGTGGTCTTTGTGTTCCTCCATCACACACATCAAGCATATGAACTGTTGGTCAGTTCGACAGTAGATCTCTACAAGTCTGTTGTGACAGCTACAGATGCTTTCCTTTGCTCTGGCTGAGGCTGGAATCAGACTGTGCTTTTTTAGGGGAGGCACCTCAAAGTGAGGCTGCAGATGAATGTTACAGAAAGAAACCAAACACACACAACAGAACATGCTTGCTTTCTGATTTGTTCCTTTGCAAACATCACAGGACAAACCAAGCTCCTCATGGGTGTCAGTACCCCCAGCAGCAGCAGCAGCAGCAGCAGCAGCAGCAGCAGCAGCAGCAGCAGCAGCAGCAGCAGCAGCAGCATTACCATTACCGGTATCACGTTGACCTGTGCTCCTTTTGCATTCTTCCAAAAGGTCACAGAGAAGTGTGTTTTTCTTCAAAGTAGGCCTCGGGTAGAAACTCTCTCTACACTGAGGGCACAAGTAAGTGTTTCCTCTGTTACTGTTGCTGTCCCAGTAGGAATTGATGCAAGCCAAACAATAATTGTGCCCACATGCAGCCGTCACCGGATCCTGAAGTAACTGTAGGCAGATGGAACACTCAAACGTATCCACACTGTCAGCCATTATCTCTCTGAAAAGGCACTCCTGGTTTACTTTCGATATCTCCGAAGGAGGCAGAGCATGTGCCCAGTAGGAGGAAGTTCAAGCTGTATGTACTCTGTCATTGGCCTGTGTTAGTGTAGACACTGAATGTCCTCAATATTTCAAAATAAACTGTACATTTATTGTGTATATTTACATGCATGCATGAATTCATGCATTGTATACATATCTGTAAACACCCATCATAGCTTGAACCTGTGCTCACAGATAAAGTAGTTCTAGGTCCATATTTCTATAGTGTTTAATGAAGGCTGCAGACAAAAAGTGATGAGGTCACTTGGCAGTTTTTAACTTCTCAGCCTAACTTTCAACCTCTAATCCTTACGAAAATTGGATCACCCATGTCCACCTCCTAACCTATACATAAACAAATTTAGATTGATGTGATAATTGCTTTTAAATGTTATTTGTTGAGGAATTGTGAAAATGTATAATTGTAAATTATTCATAAGGATAGATGGATGGATAGATAGGTGTTGTTGTAAAACCATTAAGCAACAAACTTAATCATGTGTGTCTTTAGATTAGTATGCTTAAGAAGAAAGACACATATAGTTATACAGTGTCTAGACCTGGAGTAAGATACTAAAGAAATACCTAAAAATGTTTTATTTTCCATTATAATATATTTAAATATGTCAGTTGTGTTCTTGTTTGCTTGCGTTTTTCCTGTTCATTCAGAGGGGGCAGTTTTACGCATGATTTAACTGGAACCTGCGATTTCTTTGGTAACCAAGGAGACGACGACGGCGTTGTGGTATAAGAGAAAGGGAGAGAGGGGCGTTGTGTGCAACCATAGCATATCAGAGAATGGAGCTTCCAGAGACAATACGAAAGCGTTTGGAGGGCTTTTCTCGAAATGTCTTATTTGATCAGACTCGTATGTGGGGTTTCTCGAAGGAAAACGATGCGGTTCTGTCGCACGGTATGTCCTGGGTGTAAGAAACGTAGTTTATAGACGTCACAGAAAGAAGTTAGCTTTAATGCTACATTTGCTAGCACCAACTAGCGTCAGAAAATACTATAGAAAACAAAGCTCCAGTGACGTTTTGTTTGTTTATATTCACTGTACAACGTATGCTTTTTGACGTGTTGGTTGTTGTTGGTTGTTTTTTTTTTTAGACAAGCGGGTTTTATCTAGCCTCCCTCTACAGATGTCTCTGTACTTCAACATGTGGTTCTTCCCCCTGTGGTGGATCAGTGAAACTGTCATGTTGCACTTTAAGGTAAAGGGGATAAAGTGATGATGGACACAGGAGCTAAGTGTAAGCGCAGTAAGGGAATAACGGTTCCACAACCGTTATTCCCTTACTGCGCCTACACTTTTTGTTGAACCACCAAAATGCATAATACACAAATCCTAAAATATTCACAACTTTGAGTTTATACATCAAGAGTGCAACAAGTTATTGCATAATCAATGATCAGTAGACATGAAATTTAAGGGCAACATCGTTTTTAGGCATTTGGCATTTTTACAATAAAAATAAATAAATGTTTAACCCAGAAATTGTGATTATTTTCCTTTCTTTCAGTATCCTTTCTTGTCAGACTACTATAAGTTCATCCTTGTCACTGTCCTCCTCTTGATGACTCTGTTTGAGGGCATTAGACTTTATCTTGGTTATATGGGGAACTTGCAAGAAAAGGTAAATGTACAGTCCAAACGTATTTTGCTTTAAAATAATAATTTAAGTTAAGGCTGATGATTGTATTGTCTGCAGCATTTTTTATTTTATTTTTTTAACTGCAAGTGAAAAAAGCTGTGGTTATACATATACATTATAGTGTAATGCAGAGAATGTAATTAACTCCATGTTTGTGTCTCTGGAAGGTCCCCGAGTTGGCTGGATTTTGGTTGCTCAGCATCTTGCTGCAGTTTCCACTTATTCTCTTTCAGCTTTTCAATGAAGCCATTCTCATACAGCCTCTGGAGAGAGGTGTCCATATAGTTCTGGCTATTTTCATTCTCACACAGGTATGGTGAGAGTGTGTTTTAATTGTGATTTTCTTTCTATGATTTAAATTGACAAGTTCTGTTATGCACATATTTAGAACATATGTGCTAAAATTCAAATATAACCTCTCTATAGGCTGTTGCTGGGTTTTTGGCACTGCGAGACATGGTCAGCCACACAGCAAGCCAGTTTCATCTGAGACAGTTTGACTGAAGTCGACTTTGGGACAGATCTTGGCTTGACATCATTCACACATTTGTCTGCAGGATTATGTATTTACAGGGACACTTGCTGGGCACAAGTGATTAAGTAGAAAAAAGTTTTTATATTTATATATATTTTTCATATATTTGTAAGTGTTTTTTTACATTTGAAAAAAAAAGCCTTATTTACACCATGCAGTTTTTTTACATTTGAAAAAAAAAAGCCTTATTTACACCATGCATGTAATGTACTCCATTATTATTAATCCAGACGTTCTCAATTATTTTCCGTCATGCCCCCCCTTGTGGACAGAAATGTTTCGCAAATTGAAATACTATTAATAACCTGATAACATGTATATTTTTATCTGTACAAACAACTGTATGAGTTGCTGCCACCTAGTGACTGGAGGCTTGTTATCATTCAAGCATTACAGCAGTAGTACACTTATGTCCAGCGTGCCATATTCCATTGCAAGCTCCTCAAGCCTTGCTCGAACCTCAGGGGGGGCCGCCACACTATTGTACTGGATTAGTACTGGATTAATCCATCATGACCATGTAAAATGCATTTGAAATTTTGTAAATTTTAAATTAAAAAGAAAATAATTTTAATTAATTTTCCACTATTTAATATAACTGATACATCTACCACAGTACAATATGTATGTTGTAGTTATATATATATAAATATATAATAAGTAGTTCAAATGCCAGTGCATTGAGGTTCATATAATTAGCCAAAGAAAACACCAGTTAAAAAAAAAAAATTCTAGTTTGAAGTTCACAGTTCACGTGGTTGTCCTAAAGTGGTGCAGATTGTGACTTTCTACTGTTCTTGACTGCAGTCACTGGTCCATCTGTTTTTGGACATCCTGTTTCAGCGTTGTCTGGAGACCTCTGAAGTCTACTGGAGGTGTGTGAATGTGGAAATGTTGTTTTTATATGGTACAAAGGCTTTGGCACTGAAGAGGTCTCTTTACACAGTCTGGATTAAACCATATCAGAGAGAAAAAAACAATATCAGGGTTGTCTTCGTTTCTTCAGAAATATTCATTAGCAAATACATTTTTTGCCAAAAATAAAAAAGATTTTTTAAAAAAAGACAACTTTACCTCATTCTTTCTTGATCTGAGCCTTTCAACATGGGCACAATTAAACTACTGTATGAGCGAGGTTTTCTTACAGAGACACTGGGGGAGCTATTTCTCTGCTCTCCAAATGGTCTACATTCCAACACAGACAATCCCACTGAAACAATAATACAAAAGAAGATAGAGAGTAGAAGAGATACAAAAATGTTAGGCATCTACCCTCAAACAGACCACTTGTTTCAGTGCACATCAAGGAACAACCTTTCAGAGCATCATCTTCCTTCATATCTGTGTGTGCTCTAGAGAAGTCCTGCGGTATAATGTAGTATTCTGCAGTCCGTAAGGAACTTCTGTCTCTGTAAACGTACTGGCTGTCAGACTTGTTACTGATGTGGCTCGACAGCAGGTGCTTTGATGGGGATTTATCTGGTGCCCTCCTGACACAAAGGGATGAGGGAGACCTGCCACACGTTTAAAATATTAGATTACATTAATACACATGTGCATTCCACTTACCATTCCACTTACCTGTGGGCAGTGGAAATGGAAGGAATCATCCCTGGAAAAGTGAAATAGGATTTACCACAAAAAGCTTCAATTAAGAAAGATTTTAAACTGAGAGATGATGGAAATTCTAAATTCACTTCTCTCTGTAGTTACACTCTATGAACAATCAGACAAACCTCTCAAGACTTTATAGGTGATGTGTGATGGTCGGAGGTAGTGATAATGGTGATGACTTGGGTACATGATGCTCTGTGTGGGCAGCATGAGAGCCCTGAGGGTCAGCAGCTGAGAGGAGCATCGCCAATGACTTGTCTCCATCCTCAGGTTATCTACAGCACAAGGGAAATTCAACAAACTGAAACTTGAGGTCTTCTAAATGAGATAATATTCTAGGTGCAAAGGAATGTACAACATCATTGAAGTATTCACCAAACATGAAACATCACAGTCTAGTCATTCATTCTGTATGTACCGTTATGTACAACAGTGCTCAGGTAAATATCTATCTACTCTACATTTATTAAAACTGACGAACACAATACCATGAACTTAATAAAGCAATAAAAAGCACCAGTGCAAACAATAATTCTGTTTTTGAAAAATGGATGTGTTAACCTATGACTTGTAATATTTCAATTGAGAAATAACAAGAGTTCTAAAACTGAGATAAAAAACATATTTTAGAACCCTGTTTAAGAATGTGTGGACCTTCAAAATAAATTACCTGTGTGGTGGTGTGAGTATGGAGGCACTGTGTCTTGACACTCTTCCTAAAGCACAAAAAATATGTTCAAATTGAAGGTAAACAGACCTTTGAAAACATGAAGTATGTTACCATTCAACCATGTTTAATATTGTAATACAGAAAGGGCACAGGTATGTTTTTTGCTTCTCAAACTGTTCAGACTTTAATTTTTAAGCAGTAAATGTTTCTACACCTAAAATATTGAAAGTATTAAAAAGGAAGTACAATGTCTTCAATTATTTTTAAGTAGTTTTTTTCAGTGATCATATTTCATCAAATAACCTTTTTTTTTTACAACCACGGGCCAGTTTTATGCGAGACAATTTCTTCAAAAACCAGCTAATTATGATCCAATATTATCTACTTTGATTTCTGGACTTTTGGTATTTAGCTTTGTAATGCATCTTTCTATTTGGTGTGAGTTTTAGAGGCTTCTGCTGTTCTAATATTAGGCCTTTTTTTAAAGAAGCCTCTCAGCAATTTTTTTACTAAGTCTGAAGTTTATGATTATGTATGTATGTAAGATTATCTAAGTAGGGCATATTTACCTCTGCAGGCTGGCAGCAGTGCCACATCGACATCTGTGTTACTTTGTCAGCATGATTGTTTGGAGGAGTGATCACAGCGTTATTGGTGACATCATTTTTCTTCAAAAAGAAAATGCATTAAAAAAAAACTTAAGACATAGAACATAATCCTCAAAGCCAGTTCACCTTCTTCATTTCATACCTGCCATTTCCTTCTGTGCCTTTCGTCTGGTTTTTCAGGACTGTTCATCTTAACTGTCATCTCATGTGTCAGACGGGGCTGATGATGATAAGATGGGTTACTACTCAGTCATCACTAACTCAAATCCATAAAGTCAATAAAATGAATTCCATTGATGTATTGGTTCATTTCATATGTACAATGAATCGAATCATTATTAAATGTTTATTCTAGACTGGACTTATTCTGGGAAGCCAGTACTCACTCACTATGCACATATTTCAAGTATATCAGCAATTAATTTTCTTTTTTCTATTTCCATTATTTAATCTTAGGTGTATGCAATATTTTTAAAAAAATATTCCATTACATAAACAAAAAACAAAACAAATGTTTTGAATTTCAGTTAAACTGAAAGTTTACATCAATGTGTTTTTTTTTTCTTACATCATTTTTTGTGCTGCCTCGTGGGACTGTGGTCTCTGTGCTGTTTTTCACTCTTTCTTGCCTCATTCTGTTTCTGTCTTTATAACTCTTCAAGCTTTTCTTTTGCTTCTTCACTGGAGTTTGCTGGAGGGAGAGCAACAAAGGGGATAGAGTAAAGAAATACAAGTATACACACAACAGAACCTTTCACCCTTAAACCTGCTAATACAGTAATATGCAGTCGTACCTGTGGATGGACCGTGTGTGGGGGCAGTAAATGGAGTGGGAGTCCATCTGAATCAGAGCTGTTTGAACCACTTGTGCTGTAAAAAGTAAGACATACATAGTTTACATCTACTACCTGCTGCAGTACTGACACTGCTGGGAGGGATTTACAATTTATTTTTACCTGGTTTCTATGTCTGACATGGAGATGTCACAGTCAGGGCTGAATTCTTTACCAAGTCTCTCTTTTACCTCCTTTCTCAACATTGCTGTGAGCTCTGCCAAACAGCAGATAGTCTGAAATAAGAAGTCCAATAATCAGTTCAATCACAATGTTAAAAAAAACCCATTTTTAAACATTGTAAAATGCTACTTTAACACCATAGTAGAAAGACACTTAAAAAATGACATGTTACATTTATTATGAAAATGATGCTTTCCCTCTCACTTTTGTTTGATCAGGGTCGCAGTAATCCAACAGGGTGTCACAAAAGTAAAAGCCCAGAGACTTCAGGTCTCCAGTGGTGAAGTGCGTTCCTCTCCTGTCACCTAACAGTTAAACAGGTAGCAGCTTAAATAACAAAGACATGCACACTTACAGGAAAATAAATACATGGCTAAATGAGTACCAAAATGCTCAACAAATCCTTTCTCAGATTACTGCTTATATGGGGGTTTTGCAGGAACTGATATTTACTGGTTAAACATACAGATTGAGGGAATAAAAAGCTGCCATATGTTGTGCTTTTTTTAAGTAAATCACTAACTGAACAATTAAAAAATATGTTAAATGGACTGTTGGAATAGACCCTTAGCTGCAGCCCACAGTAAAACTCACCCAAAGTACAGACAAAGACTGGAGATCTTATTACCAAGAGTGGAGCCTCCAAAGGTGGCCTCCATAGTGTAACAGTTCCTGATGCCAAGTCTCCACATGGCCACTCGTCCAGTTCCCTCTTTGCTCTTCTGAACCCTGAACTTACAGCTCCTGAAGGAGAACTGAGCAGAGCAGTCTAGTTTAGGTATTGTACTAAATAAATGCTAACTGTGAAAGAGTACATATGAAGAAATACACTTACATACAGTATCTCTAAAAGGGGTCAAGCATTCTTTGGTAGATACACAACATGAACGTATAATAATAACGTTGCAGCATTAATCAGAATTTCTTTTTCTTATATTTCCTTAAAATAAGCAACAACTGTATTTTCTGGGGATTGCCACAGTGATCAGGTCGAGTTTTTATACATGATTAAAAACAACCTGAAATTTGACCATTAGGTGGTGTCAGACCCAGATCCTGGACAGGCAGTAGAGCTACAAATGAACAACTCTAATCCCTCTATTATCATTTAAATTCAGACTTTTGGGAGATGTAATGGAAAAATTCAGTGACTCTACCTTGTTATTCATGTTCTTGCTCATCATCAGTGGAAAAACCTTTTCCTGGAGCTTCAGAGACGCAGCATCACTTTTGTTGCTACAGCCGTACATGAAGACGTTGTTTTTGCGATTGTGTCCGTGGAAATCACAGTAAAGAACTACATCCATCTCAGCCATCAACCTATAACGATGGACAAGAAATGTTTTTTTTCTCCTTGTCCCTGATTTTCATTATGAACACAGGAGGATGTTACCTTTTCACCATATTCCTTGTGTGCCACACGCAGGGAAAAGAATCCCTGAGTGTTGTCTTGTAATTTCTGTTGAGGTCTCTGCCTACCAGAGAGCAGCGGTAATTTCCTACAACCACACCGTCAGGGTTTAGCATTGGCACCACCTGCAGGAATTTATTAAAGAGTCAAATCAATCAAGTCCTTTCATGTATAAACATATAGAAAACAATATTTCCAACTGTAACTAATATACAGATATAACACGGCAGGTTTGGGATTCTGACCTTAAAAACAAAGATGTCCCTTAGCAGCTGAGCATCATCTGAGTCCCCTAGCAGGAAATCCAACAACCCCTCCATCATCCATGATGAATTGGTTTCACCAGGATGAACCCGAGCTGTCACCACCACAGCTTTTTTGGTCCTTCCTCCTGGGCCCTTACTGCCCCGGTTTGTAATAGTCAGCACATACACCGTGTTCCCAGCCATGCTGTGGCACAACACCCGTAGTGAACAGTAGGACGCAACTTTTGGGTTGGAGAAAACGCATCTAAGGTAGTGTTGCAGGTGAGAATAGGTGTAGGGGTAGCAGTGGGCCAGGTAGCAAGTGTCTGAGTCATGAGGGAACTGAAGCGTCCACGTCAGTGAGTACAGAGTGACAGAGTCGCTGCTGTTGTTCTCCATCGCATTCTGAACAGACATAAAAATATATTTGAAAGTGTTGCTACGTCTACAGCCATGGTTTTTTATTTATTTATAAAAGCAGTAATGTCCTGTCTTTTAGAGATTCTTTGGCTGAAACAATTTATCATTTCTATAAATGGCCTCTATAGTACTAAATTATTTACCCTACTCCACTCCCTTTTACATAGTCAAGTCCCAAAAAAAGCCTAAAAGTTGATTGAGTTTTCTCTATTTAACATTCATTCAATCAAATTCCTTTTATCTGTTGTCTATTGTCAAACTTCAACACAACTTCAGGGTTTTTTTTACTTCATATTATAATGTTTACCTACAGGACTGCAGTTACGGTAGTAGCTGATGTCAGAGCCCACACGTTTCCATCCAACACCTTTCTCTACGGCGGATTTTTCTGAGTAGAGCAGAGGTTTCATCCCCAGGGAATACAAGCTGCTGCTCTTCATTAGGTTGACAATAGTAAAGCGATAGGTGACTCCTGTCTTCATGTTTCCCACTCTGAAGTAGAACCACTGCGTGTGCTTGTTCGTGTACATGTCTGTGCGCAGGGTGAGCTCATAATCATAGGCACCTCTGTTGTTGTTAGAGGAAACAAGGAAAACAGAGAAGGTTCAAAAACCTGAAGGAGAAATCCTGTGACTGCCAGATCAGTATGACATGATGTTACGGAAACTCACACTTGCACAACTTTATGAAGGTTCCCACTCTCAAAGCGTGACTCGAAATGAAGGGTGAAATCTCTGATGTCACAAGTAGCACTTCTAATGGGCCCCCTGGTGCCTCCACTACGAGAGCAGGTGAAATATGGCTGCTTGGTGGCTGAACACAGACGATAACATTTATGTCCAATGAATTTTAAATCCACATATTAGTCAAAAAAACAAGTAAATAAGTAATAGAGTTGATTTTGTGTGAGTATAATTTATTAAAATGTGTTCCAAAACCACGTTCCAAATTACCATGGTCGGCGAGGAATACCACCTTCCCTCTGTCCTCACCCACAGGCATCGGAGTTCTCTCTTGTCCTGTGGGCTGATAAAAAGGCTCGGGCTCTGGAGGATCCCACTCTAGACAAACAAGTTCAACCTAAATAACTTAAATAAACCAATATGACTCCATATCAAACCTCATGGGACACAAAACCTGTATGGGCAAAGACAAAGATAGCGCCTACATAGACAAATCCACCTGGCTCTCATTCTCTGATCAAACTTTTCCTTAATATTTAATAAGAAAAAATGATTTAAAAATACTTGCATCAGGTATTGATGTCTCAGAAATCTTATTGTATTTTTTAATTAGATCAGGTTTTACCGATGTGATGGATGATGTCACTGATGACTTCTCGCTCGATGGGCCAGTGAGGGCGTGAGATCAATGGAAGGTTAACCAGGTCCCGTGGTGCCCGCAGACTAAAGACAGGTCTGCTTCCATCAAAATCTACCAGCAGCTGCTTGGTGCGCATACTTCGATGAAGTTTGGCAGATACTGAAAAATAATGTAAATTAATACCTCAATACACTTGAATTTTATGTGCAAAGTTGATGATGAAATTTCACATCTGGCCACACGGGGGCAGGTTTGTTTCAGTGCTGTTGTCTACTTTAACATTAGAACTGGGGATAGTGTTATTAGGACACTGATTTGACTACAGGAATTATGTGAGTGATTAGTTGTTTATCCCTGTATGACCCTGCATTGGACTGATGAACTGCCCAGGCTACACCCTGCTGTTTTAAGTTCTATTTTTCTCTGACAAGAGAAATTCCAGTTATAAACTACTTTGAACATGCTGTTAAAAACTTAACATTACGTGAAAACCAGTCTCTCCTTTAGAGTTACTCTAGCAAGTGCACTGATGTATCTTTGAAACCAAGACAATCCAGACACAGATGACCCACTGACAAAATGGTGAATTGTAAAGTAAAAAATTGATTAGAATGACGTCATGCACCATTTTTGTAGCCAGTGTGTACATTTCTTACACTGTCGTCTGTCTAATAGTCTCCCTTCGTCTTCTTCAGTGCTGGAGTAAGAAGAGTTCGATTCGACCGACCGGGCGGAATTCCACCAGTTTCTGAGAGCAGACCCAGCCATGGCTGCTGTGTCCGCTGCCTGAAAGAGAGAGAAAAAAAGAAAATCATCGTTGTTGTTTTTTTTTTACGTAAAACTTCACATCAATTATGGACAAACATGAAAGAAAAAATTCAGCTGTATCCAAACTTACATGTACAAATCCCTCAAACGTCGCTGAAAACAGGCTGGAAAACAAATAAAGGAATTGTTGTTTTCTACTGACCTGCTGTAAACTGGCTTGCCAGTAATTTATACAAAACTGATGCTCTTTAATAAATAACACATTTTGAGTTTATCTCGTTAGAGGTTACAAAAAACCAGACCAGCAAACTTGGTGGCCAAAAACACAATTGCAACAGTCTTCGGCTCCCACAACACTGCGGTTGCCCTAGAAACGCCACACAATTTAACTCTGCTCTACAACGGAGTGACGACACGTACGTTTATCCAAAATTCTGCAATACTGAGTCGTAATAAATTGGGGTTGCATAAATTATATCAGAGGAAATAAAAATATTAAATCAATATTACAGCACAAATTGTGACCACATCAAAAGAAGTGATGCAAACAGGAATTAGCTATCATTTATTTCTGAATTTCAATTACTAATTTTCACAATTGTACTAGTTGCATTTTTCATTTTACTCTTTAAATACCTGCTCTCACTTGTGCTGTCCTTATCTAACCCAGTGTTCTATGATGTCAGTCCATCATTGAATTAAAGAGTTAATATTTTCCTAAAGTAATCCCTTGTCATGTCTCTCTGTAATCATCATTTAATTATTTTAATTTTTAATTATTTTTTTAATTGTGTACAACTTTGCTCAGAAAGTAAAAGAAACAAATCAAAATGAACACAAAGGTATCATGACAAGTTTGGAAAAAAACTTTTAATACCATTTGTACAAAATATACAGGTTGGGCATTCCCTTTTCTTCGACAAACCGAGCAAAATCAGTATACATTGTATGAAGAAGGCTGTAAAAAGGTTTAATAAAAAAAAGATAATTCTTCAAAACATGATGAAATGGCACAAATTTATCTAAAAAAAAGAAGAAAGAAAACAAAATGACATTCAAGGCCCCTGGATGAATGTCCAATCATGTCAGGGACTTTAAATGTCTCAACATGAGCATGTGATTGTTTACAGATCATTAAAAATTGAACTGCTGTATATTGACATAACAGTAATAGTGAGTGTGGACTGTAGAATATAAGTTTGGTGGAAGTTGGGTGACATCACGTGCTATTCATCTTCCTTTTCTTAAGTCGCTCTCGCCAATCGTCAGGAAGTGCTTCAAAGTTGGCATTTTTTGAGGCTCTCCCTCTGGAGTAAAAAAAAATATAAACAAATAGAAAATTTCAATGAGAGGACAAGCTGAAGGTAACAACAAACCTGAGTGAAAAAACATACGTCATTAGCTGCTGCTGCTTCCACTCCTCTATGCTCTTCTTGTTCAGCTGATCCCGATCTTCGTCACTGGAGCTGCTCTTCTCTTCTTCGTCCAACTCTTTTTGGATGCTCTGCCACTTCTTTACCAATGAAGGCATCTTGGTCTTGCTCTTCTTCATCTGCAGAGTGTAAAATCATTTTCATTACACATTTACTTTATTCCTAAAATAGGTTTTCTAGTTTCACATAACTTATCTTGGATTTACCTTGTCCTTTTTGATTTTCTTGGTCTTATCTAGCGACGGAGCTTTTGGCGCTGGAGGTTCGAGAGGAGGCTGTGGGGGAGGCAGCGGTGGCTGAGGAGGGAGGATTGGGACCGGTGGGACAGGGGGCTCGCAAGGAACCAGTTGGGCAGGAATGGCAGGCATGCCCCAGTAGGCAGCTGCTGATATTAGTGGAGCTGAAAAGGCAGATTGGTATAGATTACACAAGTGCTTGTTTAAACGACCTCTTCCAACTCACTCATCACCTCACTAAATCAGTTGTTTTACACACTAACTAAAGCTATAAACAACTAAACATATAAATTCAATGTATTAGTAATAATACAGATAAAACAGTTTACCTGCAGCTGTTTGGGTGTAGAGAATGGGACTGCTGCCAATAACAGCTTTATTCGTCTGACCAGCTTTACGTTTCTGACCCTTCCCCAAAGGACCAGAGGTCTCAGCCATCTGTGTGAGTGACCAGGAACACTGTGGAGGTTAATCTTCAGCTGTTCTTCACAGGTTGGCAATAGCAGGTGTTAAGAATACACAATGGAATACTTTATGCGTACCTTCAAGGTAGAAGATAGAGGAGGCCTTCCACTGCCCTCTTCCTCAGTTCCAGGCGCCGGTGGCTCTCCATCATTATCGTCATCAACGTCCATTTCCACCTCCATGATCTCCCCCTCACTGTCGGGAGGTGGAGGTGGTGGAGGGGGGGAGTCTGGAGGGAGAGGCGGTAGTGGTGGATTGGAGGGAGGTGGAGGAGGGCTGTCAGGGAGAGGAGGCTGGGCAGGAGACCAGTAGGCACAAGTCTGAGGAGGTGCTGGTGGTGGAGCAACTGCAGTAGCAGAAAGGGAGGAGGACAAAACAATAAACAGCAGGTAAACAATATCATACATTCATTAAAATTCAAGAGGTTTATTCTCATGTACATTTTTGGACTTTTGGTCATTCTCCCTTAACAGCCAACAACACACATTGCAGAATAGAAAACACCCACCTGTAGATGTGGATGAAGAATGGACATCCTCTTGAGGTGGAGTCTGTGTCTGGGTTCCCTGGTTGCCGTTAAGCTCCTCGGTTTTAGCTGCATCAGTCGGGAAATCCCACTGGGAGGAACCGGTGAGGCCATTCACATAAAAATATCTCCTGTGTTCTCTAAAGAGTGGGACAACAGAGATAGAAGACAAAAGTCTAAACGTACGACCTCGAAACTGGGTTAACTGGCCTGGTACCCTGGCAGAGTGGGGTGAGTGAATAGGCTTAAGAGCCACTGCAAGGGGGGGGAGAAGCTGTTTGGATGGATTTTGAAATTACCCAGTGGTAAGGTCAAATCAAGGTGACTGGTAGTGTGGATAAGAAAACCCACCTTAGTTTCAAAGACAAATTAAGCAAAAAAAAAAAACAAAAACCTCCAGATCCTGTAAGTAGTAGCTCCCACCATGGTTATCTGATTTGATCTGTTTCAGACAACTTTTCCCACCCAGATACAGGATGACGCCAGGGCAGATGCATCATCATCAACAATCATTGTAGGCAGAAAATTAACACACAATAAACTTCTGTCACATCAGAAAGATGATTAAAAAGAACAGTAAGACATGAAATAGAGTTGGTCTGACCTGTTGGATTCCCGTCACTCCTCCATCTTCACCTTTTTTTTGATGCATGACACTCGTGGCATCCTGGCCATCACTCTCGGCAATGCATTCTGAGGGTTGCAGTCCTGAAAAGTGCAAGGCTGTCCCGCGCAACCAACCCTTCTATCATAGCCCTCCCACTCCCAGAAACTTTCCACTCATTGGACACAAAAATCAGCCTACCACTGCCCTGAGAAAGGGCTTAACAGTCTGTTATATGGTCAGTGAGTCCTGTCTGTGGCTGGTTTATGTAACAGGAAGCAGGCTGGAGCAGAAAACTGGAGAGTCCGTTTCTGGCATGTATTTCAATCCAGTTGAAATGGTTAAGCTTCTCCTCAAGTCATTTTACAAAGTCTGTAACCTCGGCAGTGGGGGGGGGGGTGAAGTCACAGGGTATAATTTTGGGGAGACCAGAGGGTTTAGAGATGTTAAAGGTAAGGAACGCGTACCTGTCCCAGTGGCAGGCCCAGCCTTTAGGGGTGGCGTTAAGTTCGTAATATTTTATGTGTTCGGCAGCTTCCTGCAGCCTGCGGCGAAGATAAGCCCCGTTCAATGCGCCCTCCCTCCAGTCTGCAATTCGTGTCTGAAATTAACAATAAAAAGAAAACTCATTAGAATCAGAAACAACATTTTTTTGTGGAAAAGGAGACGAAAAAAAATACACCAAGAATTTGGAGTCGTTAATATTGGTGAATACTATAGCTTTGTGGCAGCACAGTAGACAGTACCATCTACCATTTACTACCGTTGGCATGTTAATTAAAGACACTGCTCTTTTGAGAGACAGACAGGAAGATAAGACTTTTGTAGAAAAAAAACCTTCACTTTTTTTAGTAATTTCTGATAAGCAATATTTACCAGTGGTAAAAGATTCAGTCAGTTGTAACTACTAAAGATGTCAGGGTCAGTTTTAATCCAATGGGAAAACAATCAAAAGATTAAGTAGGAAAGTAGCTAACCCTTGTTTAGAAAAACACTGATTACATTTAGGATATAGATGTTTTTCTCTAGAGAAAGGACAAGTTACATATTGTTTCTTCAAGATTAAACTAAAATGTTAGCTATATCTACAGAGGAACAATTACAGCACCCTGTTCTCATGACAACTAGTGAAAGATTATTATGAATTTTAAATAATAATTACTGTCACATGGCCTGGTCCAATAATTACATGAAGTGAAGTAATTGATATTAAATATTTTATAAGTCAGATGGAGATTTTTTTCAACTGACAACTCATGTAATAATATATTACTTACAAATGAATTAGTTGTCATACCTCAGTTTGTAGCAGAAGCAAATGGAAATTAGAAATTGCTTTTTTGTCTATTCCCAGAAACTCCATCTTGCTGGTTAACGTGTTTGCCAATTCACCAATCTGAAACTATAAAATACAGTATTACGGGTTAGAAATTATATTAGTAAGCAGTCACATTTATTGTTAATTATGGTATTATGGTACCTTGAGCTCAGGTGTCTCTACTTTGACTTCAGCTGCGTCCATATCATCTTTTAATGGCGGGTTTGGAGCAACCTCGTCTTCCACTTCCATGTCTTCTTTTACTGCAGTACTCTCTGGGAGTTTAGGGGCTGCTGTTGGACAATAAAGAAAATAATACCACTGGTTCATCATAGCCACCATTTAACAGGCACAGACGTAACCATTTGAACTCACCAATCTCTGCGTTCTCCTGTGGATCTGAGCCGCGGCTGTTAGAATCAGGGCTGGCAGCAGAAGGGAAAACTGTTTTCCATCGATTTTTCTTGAATAAAACACCACGAGAACCAGCTGCTTCTTGGCTGGTCTCAGAGCAAGGACTGGAACACCCGGTGCTTACGTCGCCTTCCTCCAGTGCTCGAAGCTCCGCCTATCATTTTTTTAATAAGATTTAAAAAAAATAAAATAAAAATAAACAGACTAGTCCATTACTGTGCAATAAAGACAATTTAAAAGAAATCCCTGCCACTATGAGGTGCAAATAAAGGGATTTTCACCTTCTTCCTCTCAAGAGCAAGTTCCAACTCCACTGTGTCCTCCTCTGTCTCTTCCTCAGCTTCTGAGTTGTCGCCTGTTTGCTTCTTTGTACTGTTATCTTTTTGGTGAGTGAAACCAGAGTCTCCGTCTTGAAGAGAAGTAGATGGGGATCCTACAGGATTAACGCCCTCTCCCTCTGAATCCCGGCTGTTTTCAGTCTCATCCAGCCCTTTAAGAAGTCTTTTTCTCCACTTATCTTCTGCTTCTTTAACATCAGAGGGAATAAGTGGAGCTAGCAGAGAAGCTGCTACCCCACGGCGCTCTTCCTCTTCACTTGTGAGTCCCACCACACTCTCTATTACATCCTTCAACACAAAATATGAGGGTACCACTGAAGTAATATAAAGCATTAAAATAGTCTCCAAATCCTAACCAGATGGTAAAGAGAACTGCTGTTGGATTATCATAAAAATTACCTTAGCTTTGGTCTCCTTAACTGTCGTTGGAGCTGCAACAGGAGCAGAAGTTTCCTCTTTGTAATAACTTCTATGTGTAGTCCCATTGCCATTAACATTCGTGCTGCGACAAAAACAAAAAGCACAATCAATTTGTTGCACAACAGATAAAAAAAGGAAAACAATTCTATTTAATCTCATGTTTCTAATTTCTAAAAGTAAACAACATGAAAAACTGCACAGATCTCTAAACAAGGCAATCCCACCTGTTAGAATACTGTGCCAGGTTTTGCACCTGATCAGCCAAATAGTGTGGCAGCTCCCAAGACACTTCATTGGTTGCAGTGTTCCAGTAGTAGTAGCAACCAGAGTTCTCATCCCAGACCTCTTGCCAGTCTCCCATTTCAACATCCACTGCAAAAAAAAAAGAAAAGAAAAATGACAACCCAAAATGTTACAGAAAAAACCAAAACATTTAAAATAGCATTATTACATCACCCTAAAAGGTGCCAAGTGACAGATATAAGCAAACTCAACAATAGCAAAAAGACAGTTACCTCCAGCTAGTGAATATTGAGTGTTGTACTCAAAATCTGTACTTTGATGATTCTGTCCATCACTTGCAGGAGGCTGCTGAGTCTCACCCTCAGGTTTGGGAGGAATAGAAGTGGGGACTGGAGGGTGTGATTTTGCATCTTCTGAAATTGGCTGAGTGGTGATTGCATCAATCTCCTTTGAAGCCAAAGAATGTGTAATTATAATCAAAGTTGGACAACTGAAGAATAGAGCAGCTATTTACTTCTTTGAAACTCAATTTCATCTGTCATTGATGTAATAGTAGGACTTCGAGGAGCATCAAATTAAATGTAAGCAATATTTTAGCTTCTCTTACTATTTAGTTAAATGGAAATCTTGACATGGGCTGGTCACTGAACTTCACACTGCTCAAACAATTTTAATTGTATTTTAACTATTAGCATTAAAAATATACTTACAGCCATGAAATTAGCTAGTGTGCTGTCGATGTCAGCTGACTGGTTGTGCTGAGACTTTGCAGCTGAACGGTAGGAGTCTCCAGCATCCTCTTCCTCGCTGTCCTCATATGCTCCAAGCAGGGATAACCCCTCTACAAGGATTGAAATACATTTCTTTCAGTTCAAAGGGTATCATTATTTGACTCAGATAATGAGGGTTGATGTGGGCATTTATGTGTATGTTTGATGATTTTACCTGTTGCTTTTACTGAAGGAGGCTTCATGCTTGATTGTTGTTCTTTAACAAATCTCTGTACATCACCTTCTTGCTCGTCTGCAAACCACAATTCCCCTTAACTTTAGGATCAAGTAAACTTGATGACAAAGAACCAAGAATAGAAGCCAAAAATAGAAGCCATCAAAGTACTTTAATAGTCAACCCATTCAACAAAAACACACAAAGCCAAACTGAAAAATATTAATAATTCGGCTATGATCAACAATTCCATAAACCATTGTAGGCAAGCAGAGAAATGCAGCTAATTTTGAGTAACTTAAATATTTGGGCTTATATTTTTTAAGTCGCCTTTAACTTATTTGTGCTACTGTTTAATACTTAGAATACAATCAAAAACAAAAAGGGACTTTTACAAACGTACTTTTTTACGTTTTTTAATTATTTTCTTGCCACTACTGCTTGGTGTGGGGCTAATAATTTATATCCAACCAACCATGCCGTTTCTAGTTTTACACCATACATGCCACATACGTGGATTAGCACTCACATTCCAACAACCCACGGAGCGTATTGTCACCCACACATTCGTTTCAACAATTATATCTACCGTTAGGTTTTTAAGTCGTTAGGGTTTCATTTTGGCACAGACAGTAGAGCAAACTCCGAACGTCGCTAAACAGAATGTAATTAATATTGTTAACTGTCAAATAGCTTAGTAAACTGATAGATTCTATTTTACAAACAACCTTAGTTTGTTGTTGAGTTTGTTACGCTAATTACAGATAGCATTTTCTGGTCAATGTTAAAGACCAATACCACAAAGAACAATGGAATGAAGAATTTGATTGACCATACGTAGCTGGATTAGCATTTAGCTGGACGCCGTGGCGCTAGTGCTACAAGGCTCAATTAGAGATATAAGGATCGTACAGTTAATTACCGTCCGATCCAGATGCTGCGTCCTCTCTGTCACCGGCGTTTCCGCCGCGGAGACCGGGAGGTGAAAGCTGCAAAATTGTTCTACGTCCAACTGCTCCTCCTGTTAAACGAGTTTTCTTTCCCATCCCTGGTGGCCGGGCCTAGAGTTGAAGCTGCGGCCTTTTCACCACAATAGAAGACAACTTCCGGTTTACACGGTTAACACCGGAAGAAGAAGAGACAAAGCGGTTTTCTTCATTAGAAAAAAATAATTATACCAAAGTACATTACAATATATATAATATATATTATTATATGAATAATAATATATATATTTATTGGTAAATATCGACTATTAAGTTACCAGTTGTTGTCATTATCCAGGAATGAGAACCTTCCAATCAAAATTTCTTTTACATCAAGCCACAGGAGAAAAACTAAATACGTTTTGTTTGTTTGACTACTGAATGTCTTAACATGCCTTTATGGAAAGAATATGTTAGGTAGATTTTGTATCATAACATGTAACTTCTCAATTTCAACTGAATAGGTAGTAAAGATCAAAGAAAAATTAAGCTCTCAACCATATCACCAGGGATTTTGGCTTTGAAATATTCTTTTTGTTTCCCATATTGAGAAATGTACATTGACAAAAGCGCAGTGGCAGTATTACTTATATCCAAGAATACCTGCCACAGTGTAGACTACAGCATTATAGTAAAACGACCACCACAGGTAAAGAGTAGTCATGCAAATAACTGTATCTAATTGGCAAAAAAGGTAAGCAGTACACAGATATAAATTACATTGTCAAATGTATCTGAAACAAAGTTGACTGCCAATAACAACCACAATATAATAATAATAATAATAATAATAATAATAATAATAATAATAATAATAATAATGGGCATCAAGACTCCACCATTCAGACCTGATCTGTCTTCTATTTTTTTAGTTTGTCCTTATGTACAAGTGAATTACCAAATTACATGGTTTAGTATTATTCCATTTTTAAAAGATACATTGCTTTTTTGGGAATAATTGTTTAGTGCATATATTAGACATATTTAACTTGAACTGGTACTAGTAGTATAAATTATAAAAACCGTTGTGGCAACACTAGCAGTATTAATAGTATTAATTAAAAGTATTAATAGTAGTAGCAGCAGCAGCAGTAGCAGTGATTGTATCGGTAGTGGTAGACAAAGCAATAGTTGTAAACATAGTTGTAGTTCAGGTAGAAATAACAGGAGAAAGAGTGGTCCTGGTACTACAGTAATTATAGCGATAGCTGTAGAACCTCCCTCATCCAACATGTGGCGGTAGTGTGCTTCTAAGCTGATTTGTAGTCGTCAGTTAACCGAAAGAGGTAGAGTCGTGATCATGTTTGTGTTTCTGTTTTCGTTGTGTTCCGGCCACTGCTAAGTTTTTAAGAAGCTTAAAAACGGTCGCTACGCCAACGGAATCGCTATCCTACATTTAGGAATACAGACCCCATAAATGTGTGTGTCCTTTCTGTTTTGTCAGTGTTGAATCTGGTGGAGGACAGCTAACATTGTAAGTCTTTGATGAAAGATAAGCGGTTAGCTTCACGGTTCTGCAGGGGATCTACCCACTGATGGCTGAATATAAGGACGCTCTACAGACGCGTCATTCAGAAGGAACAGGAACCCCAGTCAGGACGAGAGAAAACGCAGCAAGCGCCGCATCACACTCAATGGGAGCTGCGATGGGACCCATACTTCACTGGCTGCACGATGTGGCAGCTGTTACCCTGCTCAAAGCTCGAAGGACCTTATTTCAGGCTGCCATTCTTTTTTGTGTTTTGGGTCTGTTACTATGGGTGTCAATCTTTCTTTATGGAACCTTCTACTATTCCTACATGCCCACTGTGAGCTTCTCCACCCCTGTGCACTTCTACTATACCTCTGATTGTGCTACCTCGGAAGCAGGACTATGTTCATTCCCCACTGCCAACATCTCTTTCTTGAGGAATGACAAAGACCAGGTGATGGCTTATGGCCAACCTTATCGGGTGTCTTTGGAATTGGAGATGCCCGAGTCACCGGTCAATGAGCATCTGGGCATGTTTATGGTTAGGATGTCTTCCTATGCTAAGGACGGGAAAATTGTCTCATCAGTGGGACGTTCGACAATGCTGCACTACCGCTCCAGCCTTCTGCAGACCATGAGCACTTTATTTTTTTCCCCTCTCCTCGTGACAGGCATGGCTGAGCAGAAGCAGCTCATAGAGGTCGAGCTCTATTCAGACTACAAAACTAATGCTAACCACCCCACTGTGGGGGCTGTCATACAGATCCAGTCCAAACGAGTGCAGATTTACTCATCGCAGCTCCGCATACATGCCTACTTCACTGGTATCCGTTACATTATTTACAACTTCCCAGTAACATCTGCAGTTATTGGTGTGGCTACCAATTTTGCCTTCCTCAGTGTTGTTGTGCTATTCGGCTACCTGCAATTCATTTGGGGCGGCCTATGGCCTCCAGACCATGTAAGAGTCAATGTAATGATGGGAGACAACACCCGTTTGCAGCAGAGGAGAGAGGACGCTCGAAAACGTATGGAGAGAGAAAACTCTCAGAAGGATCTTGGGTCTCCTAAGGTGGTTGGTTCTGTCATAGAAGCCCCTGATTCCCAAGGAAACGGCACAGAGGCTGATGTGTCACCTCAGAGGTCCACGGTTCTTCGAGAAGCCTGTGGAGCAGATTTACCTATTATTGAAGAAAAGGGATCATTGGACTCTAAGGCGCCTGATGATGAAGACAATTCAGAGATGTTGGATGAATGTTTTCCACCTCCAGATGCCGAAACAACACTCCGACAGAGACCAGGGCCATGGATGAGCCTGTGACTGTAAATCATCCCACTGACTCCACACATTAACTACCTACAGTATGATTGTGTCATTCAAAATAACATGTAACTTATTAGTTTATGAGAATAGTTAAGGTCTGATGCATGGGGCTATATTGATATGTTATATCCAAAAGATTCCAGTTACTGCTGTGACTCAATAACTAACAATATTGTTATCTTTGACAGTGTGTCCGTACAACTTGAACAGAACAGCTTTGTTACAGTCTTATCTTCGTGCTGTTGTTTTTTTTTTTTTTCTTTATATCATGTATCATTACATTCCAGCCTTGTCTTATTCTGCAGTATTGTGACCTTGGATGATGATGTGTCATGCTTACCTTCTCTGTGTATGTGTCCCTGGCATCAAAGTACTTTCCTCTACCACATAAGGAGCATGGTTACATATATTTGATTGCCTTGCTAAGTCAGCGGAGCAGGTTGTGTGTTGTTTGTGTCAGGTGACTCCTGTCTCATAGCCTTCAGTGTCTGAGACACACCATGTCTAGCATTGAAATCAGCATCAATAATGAATCTTATTTAGTGCCCTCTCAAGAATAAATGTAGCCTTTTTTTTTGCATGTGAATTTCCAGAAAAAGCATATGCATGTGATTTCTTTTTCTAGGGCAACAATTCTAATAACTGTACAGTGTTCTAATGGTTGAGCCTTAGGGATATGAGAAAGTAGTTGCATTGACTTCATTTTTTCCATCTAGCACAGAGAGAGGGTTTGTCTCGGTGTGGTAGCTATGTTAATGTTCATGACTCACACAAGACTTGTGAGACTCATTTTATTTGAGGGTCATAATCATCTAATTTAATAATGTATAATTTGGATTTTTTTGTGTTTTAATTACAAGAAGGATGAACCAAAGTATTTTAGATTTAACTTTTAAGATGTTTGTTAATGAACATTTTGTTTATTTAAACATGTTTGTATTTAACATTTGGGAACATACAGCACATATGTTATTGGATGACCATGTGTAACTCGCATAATATTGAAGTGAGACACTTGTTCTTCCTATACTGTCTTTCAGAATATTCAGCTTGTTGCCTGTGATATTACTGATTGGCTGTTATTAATGCACTGGTATTGGAATAAACATTTAAACATGTGTGCTTGCAATTCTATGAGAATACAGATCCTCAAACATCTACCTTCAGGGTCATGGGGAGTGCTGGTAAACCCACCTTGCAAAACATGTTTTTCTGTACTCCAAACAGGAAAATCCTTCCAATTTCCATAAGAAAAGAATGTTAGGGAAGAAAGTGTTTACATTTAAATGGAGAATATAAAAAAACTCTTTGTCATTTTCATTTTATTTCATTGAAGTTGATAAAATAGATTATAAAGCAAATTTGTTGTACATTTTTGATGATAAATGTTTCCCAGCACATATATTGTATAAATGCAAATAATCTGCTCCAAAAAAATTAAACCAAAAATGTTTAGCTTCTAACAGGTGACAGTTTGCCTATAATACTACAGTACTTGAAATTCAGTCAGGAATATTATAATGTGAACCAACTGTAAAATAAAAATTACAGATTATAGCTAAAGACAGTTACATGTTTTGATAATATCATATATTCTCTGACAAACTAAGTTTTATTAGTGAAATAATATAGAAAGAAGGTTGTAATATTTCACTGAGTATATGTTATATACTATTTCTGGTTAAATAACTGTATTTAACCATTTTTTGTAATGATCCCAATGTGCAAATTGTCACATTGTCTAAGACCATGTCTGTCTTTTGAGCTGTGTGGAATAAACTGCATTTATCATCCGCTTTAAACCAGGATTTTATGGCATGATATTAAAACCCACTACCAGCTTTTATTCAAAGCCACGGCCCCAATCTGTCAGATGAATTATGCATTGGTCTGGATAAGGAGTGCACTAATTGACCAGGACCATCCATCAATTGTATTAAAAACCTCACATTTAGCCTCAGCAGGTACTGATATTATCTCAGATTGTTGGAACAAGAGCCACTCCCCTTCCTTTGTTGATTTAAATGATCAAATTCTACATCAGGTTTTTCTGGAACTGAACAGAAGCCCTAGCCCACAGCCGCATGCATGAGTTATATTCTTTGTTCCTCGACAAACAAACCAGTGTTTGTTTTTTAACTTTTGCTGAATACTGAACATAAACTAGGACTTTGCTTTTAAAGTTTTAAACAAATAAATATAATGTGTAATTTAATGACTGGCTCCTACAATGATATAATAATATTGACACTTTTTTAATATGACTGGCAAATATTTATATTATATACATATATATGTATATATATAAAGTTCAACATGGACTATTTAATTAAATTTGAACAAATCATTTTATTTATAGATTAAAAATATTTTTACACAGTCAAAACTTCTCTACTCAATGTATTCTCCAGCATCATAGCTCATGTGACTGTCTTTACCATGTATGGACCAAACACTATCAGCCTGATGTACAACACAGCCCTCTGCCATAAGTGCTCAATGTGAACGCCATTATGTGTGAGGAGGCCTCTACCACAGCTGAAGGTCAATTTGACCCTAAATATTAACCTTCTCCTCGGACGGTACTGCTACATCCTCAGGTGTAGTCTCACTTGCTGCCTTTGATCCATCATCCTCCTGTTCGTCATTGGAGCTGTCTGCCCAGCGTCCCACTCTCTTAACTCCTTCACCCACAGCTGGGGCGTTAACACAGGGGTTGTGGTCATATATGATAAGTTTCAATCCTTGCATGTGAGACAGGCCTGGGAATTTACGTATTTTGTTGCGATCTACATCAACAACTGCTAGAAAGTGCATTTCCAACAAGACTGGTGGGAATTCTGCAAGTTGGTTGCCAGCGAGCCAGATGCTTCTGAGTTCTTGCAGTGCTTTAAGTTCGTCTGGTATTCTGTGTATTTGGTTATATCCGAGGTGCAGGGTCTTCAGATTGGAAAGCTTACAGACCACTTCAGGGAAAACAGTGAAGCAATTAGTCTCTAGCCACAAAGTATTAAGTTCCTTAAGTTCTCTCAGTTCACTGGGGAGTTGGTAAAGCCTGTTGTTGCCTAGGTAGAGGATACTAAGCTGTGGCAATCTGCAGACAGCAACAGGAAGCTCCTCAAAACAGTTGAAATCGAGGGCCAGCAGCTGCAGCTTCTTCAGTTCCTGGAGCTCTGCAGGTAAGGTACTGAGGTTGTTGTCACTCAGGTAGAGCTTCACCAGCTCGTTGAAGACGCAGGCAGCGGCAGGCAGCCGACGTAACTGCCGACTACTCAGGTCCAGGGTCCGATCCAGAGGCATCTCCTTCAGATCTCCCAGTAAGAAACGCTGACATCGCTCTGAGGGAATCAAAGCGACAACACTTCGCATGGCGTTCCCCATCTTCTTCTTTACTGTCTCTTAGCACAAAACTGCTTCTCCACCACAGTGCCCAATAAGAGTTGTACTCAAGTAAGCTCCATACATCTGGTAAAAATTTTCACAACATCATATTCTGCCACCAAAATTTGAGGTAAAATGCACAAGTATTTTTTGATGAAATTACTTAACAAAAATGATAAAGAACCTACTTTCCAATGGTTTTCTTTGAAGTCCACAGCTCTTTGTGTCTTTCGCACAAATCCATTTGTTTATTCAACCTAATGGTCTGAAAACATACTGTATTCCCTGTGCAGATATTCCCCAGTGCTATCCTCGCACTATCTCTCAGTGACTCTGAGCTTTGCCCTGACTTTCATGGTGATAGCAACCACAAGCTGCTCTCTCCTCCCCATTTGTGCCTAATGACCCACCCCTCTCCACGATGACAGAGGTACTTGTGAGAGAGACAGGAAGGAGCAGGATGCCAGGGATAAGCATAAGAAGTGATTTGTGATAAAAGAGCAGAAAAGGTCGTTTACATTCGGTTTTAAACAGCCTGGATTTGCTCATGGACCTGTACCCCGGACCAGACAAGACGGCCAAAACTATTAGGTCTCTGTCACTAACTGAAATCTTTTGCAAAGAAAACCAAGTTGATTAATTCTCTAGAGAACTAAGTTTTACTAAAAACGCTTCTCTGGTCTGTAAAATATCAGTACTGTCTTGTACATAATGGTTTGAAATGCGTGTATGTCTGTTACAGGGATACAAAACAGTATTATGATCAAGCAGAAAAATATTTTATCACTTTACTGTAGAGACACAGCAATATAAACTAGACCTGCTTGAAGTTTCAGACAAGCCTTCAACTTATTTCAAGTATATGTTAAATCTTTGCATTTTATTTTTATGCATTTTGTTGAAATCGGTGTTTTATTAGATTTTTTTATGATTTTATTAACCAATAAATCTGTTTTATTTGATTTACCAGTGTTGTCTTGTGAACTTGGGCTGTCTTGTGGGAGGAATTCATTTTCCTTATCAGAAAGGGCAACTGTGCCCCCATCTGTTTTTACTCACCGACACTTTGCTTTTAGCACTTGTCAGTGTTCTGTGACCACACAGGCACGAAGCCCACACAGCATAAAAGAGGATAAACTCATAGAGAGAAACAGCTAAGTGCCAAAACCAACACCACTTGTGCCATAGTTTAACAAGTAAAATTGAATAACTTATTAATATATTTGTATAAATTTCATGTCAGATTATATATATATATATATATAAATATACTGTATATATATAAATATACTGTATATATATATATAAAGCAAAGTAAGAAATAATTGCCCGAGGGAGATGATCCACCATGCCATTTAACAATGTCCAATGTCTAAAAAAAAATTAACAAATAACCCTAAAAATAACCCCAAGTCGCTCAAAAACATCCCAACTAACTATCCCAAAGGACATAATTTTCTGACATAAAACAGTAATTATAATAATAATAATTAACATTGTGGAGGCCTTTTCACACTAGTATGGAAAGTAAAATACATCTTCTAGCAAAGCGAGTAAGGTCAGACATCCTGTTACAACTTCCTTGATCTGCTTGAACTTTTTTCTTTTTTAAATAATATTGTCACCAACTGTTATTATTTATTTTTTGTTTAAAATAATTATTAGTATTTGTGTTAACCAGGTAGATTTGGAACTTTAAAAAGTAATAGGAAGTTTAAAAAACCCCAACTATCTAAAATGTGCTATGTAAAAATTGACTGAATCCGCGCTTAAAGCTGCCCACTGTTCAATTTGGTTTGGATTGGTTAAAAACATTGGTTAAAAACAGAGGTCACATTTCGTTGTGTGCAGTGGTGTGCTGTGTCGCAATGGCAACTAGTTCACGTTCCTTTCCTTATTGATTCATTAATTTTTATAATTATCATTTTTAAACAGTGTTAAGTTTTTTATTCTAATGATGTGGCCTTTGATTGTTCAGGCTGCAGGTTGAAGGAGTAGCGGCCCGGGGTTTGTGTACGGAAGTGGTCAGCAGGTTGTAAGGTCAGAGGGTAAATGCTATTGCCTCTTTCGGTTTACAATACACTCAGCCATCTTGGATGCAAAGAAGAGAGGGGAGTTTGATGCGGTGAGGGAATTTTATTCTTTTCTCTTGTTCACATTCTCCGGGCTTGGTTGTGATATAAGCCTTGAATATTTGACGCGTTTACAGCGTTTTCTTAGGTGTCGCTACGGGGCCGTTCACTAGCTGCTAGCTTCAGCAAACCGTGGCAGGGACTGCAGCTGCAAACCGAGCGTAAACTAATGCGAGCAAACGGAGAGCTGTGTGTGGGTATGTGGTGACAGACCGGTGCTGCTGCTCATAACTGACCACTGCTCTGTAGCACAGGCCAGGTGGTTGATCGTAGAAATGTTTGCAGTGTTGCACTTGTTTCGTCCGTTCGACTGTGCTAATCACACTGATTGCTTTAGCCTGCGAACGTTAGCCTTGGCTAACTAGCCTTTTAGCTCCACAGTGTCAACTTAGGCAATTCTTTATTGTTATTTCCCCTGTCTGCTGTTAACAAAAAACACCACACAAGTGAGAGAAACAAACACAAGTAGTAACGCGGCAGCTCTCCCTTTATATTTTTTACTTGTCCCACGTCATAGTAATTAGTTTTCAGTACTAATACTTTGTCTGGCAGTCGAAGTTCTATATTAACAGATTTAAAAACAAACTCCACTGAAGTTGACATTAATACAAACGATGCCAAATTATACTACGAAAATACAGTTCTTGTCAAAGTTTGTAAACTTTAAAATGCAATAAAAACTAGAATCTGTAATCCGTTCTTTTGAACCTTGATGTTTCAGGTCTGTCACTTGGGAAATTATACAATCGTTTTTTGGATAACTCTTTTTAACCTTCTGGGAAATAGAAACACAAATTGTAAAACCTAGAGTCAAAACTTTTAACAGTGTCTGTTAGCAATTGTCAAATTTTCCTTCTTAAAATGCGCCAGAGATGTTCCATAAAACGTTATATGTTTGTTCCACATCCAGTTAAATTACATTGCATTTTGGCATTGCCTTAATATTAATATTTTATTATAAGTTATTAGATATCACACCAAACTAATACAGTAGGTTACCAGAGTTCAGTATAATACCCCAAACAGATTCTTATTTTTATTAATTGAACATAAATCACTTCTTTTGTTTACAGGTATCTTGGCTTCAGTGTAAATGTATTTGCATGTGTTTAATGTAGAATGTTTGTTCCACCAATCTCTGCTGCAGGTGACAAAAGGCATGTTTGGTGCTACGAGAAAGAAATTTGGAGAGTTTGTGGAGGTGGTCGATAACGACTTTTCTGATGAAAACATGTATTACAATCAACCGTCGATGTTTCCACATCGGTCGGACAAAGATGTGAGTTCTGTCAGCCACAGGCACATGTATTATAATTTGTCTCACAGTAGAGTAGCAGTTCTGTCATTAAATCACTCCCTCTGTTCTTTTCCTTCAGATGCTCTCGTCTCCCTCGCCATCGTCGTCTGGTCAGCTGTCGCAATTTGGTGCAAGTTTGTACGGTCCACAAAGTTAGTATTTTTTTAAATATATTTTTACTTTTATATGATTATCACATTTTTCAGATGGTTATTTAGATCTTGAAGAATATAAAGGATATGCATAGAAAATTAGCAATTTTGATAATATAGATAAGCACTGTTGTTTGTTTATATCATGCTGCAGGTACACTGGGCTTCTCCGTCAGGGGCATGGGCAACAATACGCCTCAGTTAAACCGTAATCTAACACAGGGCAGTCAGCTACCAAGTCATATCACTCCCACAACAGGAGTCCCCACCATGTCCCTCCACACTCCTCCGTCACCAAGCAGGTGGGCCAGAGACAGAGTAACACATAATATATTGCTATATCATAGATCAGAAGGTATTTCTCAGAAAAATGTAAACATAGTTGTTTTTATTTCATAGGGGGACATTGCCAATGAACTCTAGGAACATGCTAAATCACTCTCAGGTAGGTCAAAGCATTGGGATCAGCAGTAGGACCAATAGTATGAGCAGCTCGGGGTTGGGCAGCCCCAACTGCAGCTCTCCCAGTATCATCTGTATGCCCAAACAGCAGCCAGCACGTCAACCATTCACCATAAACAGGTAAAAAAACATCTTAAATCTTGATCTGTTTTTTTTTTTTTTTTTTTACACAACGCTGTTTTGATGCAGAGCTGATTGCTTATTTCTCTCTGTCTCTCTCTGCAGCATGTCAGGATTTGGTATGAACCGCAATCAGGTTTTTGGAATAAACAACTCCTTATCAAGCAACATCTTCAATGGCACAGGTCAGGCTGCCTTAAATGAGGGAGTCTTTTTCTCCTCAAACCAAGTATCGATATAAAATGTTATTAATGTTGCAAGTCTTTGCAACCCTTACTGTGATAGAAACAACTTTCATCAGACACAGATCAGTGAAATATTTTCACTGTCCTGTTGCTGCAGATGGGAGTGAAAATGTGACGGCACTGGATTTGTCAGACTTTCCTGCGTTAGCTGACAGGAGTCGGAGAGAAGGGCCTGGAAACCCAACACCGGTGATCAACCCGCTGGCTGGAAGAGCTCCTTATGGTAAGACAGTGGCTACAAGAAGTGTTCTACAGTCAAATGATTTTGCTGACATTGTTGTGAACATTGTTTACGCAAACTGCTAATTTTCCTTTTTCATTGACACAATCCAGTTGGCATGGTAACAAAGCCATCGACTGAACAGACACAGGATTTCTCAATACATAATGAGGACTTTCCTGCACTGCCTGGTCCAAACTATAAGGACCCCACGTTGAACAATGATGACAACAAAACTGTGAGTGTGAGACACTTACATATATTTTAATATAAGGAAACATAGGACAACTCTATACTAAATATCTGTGTGTGTGTGTGTGTGTGTGTATATATATATATATATATATACCCACTGACCAAAAAACAAGTTAATAATGATCAAATTAACTGTAACCGAATAATTATTAAAGTTCCCTGTTCAGAACTTGAACTCTACAAGCAAGAGCACATCGAATGCAGACGGACCCAAGTTCCCCGGAGACAAGACGGCTACCACACAGAACAACAACCAGAAAAAAGGGATCCAGGTGTTACCCGATGGTGAGATCTCTCAGCCAATCATATCACTTGTTTTCTCTATGTCAGCCCAGACGTGATGTCTGGCCTGCGTCTTAGAGAATTTTAGAAAGGCTTTGTTTTTTTCTAAAGAGCATCTCTGTGTTTTCATTGGTTTGTTTGTGTCTGTTTACTCTGTCAGTGGCTTGTTCTGGGCTCTAATGCATCCATTATGTTTTGTTTATGAATATAGAATTAGGGTATTGATTAGTTTTAGGCATTTACTGCTGAACTTATATGAAGATTCACTCACGATAGTCAAACAAATATCCGTTTGTTCTCTAAGCAGGGCAGAAGTGGCATCTTATGTTACAAATGCACCCATATAGAGGAAATCATCTGTTTAATATAAAAACTATGAAGTAAGAAGAACTAATTATTTATTGTCTTCTCTATTAGTTTTTCAGTGTAGTGGAAATTCAATGAAACTTAAACAGTATAAAAATCTTACTGTAAATCCGATGACTAGCAAAGGAATAGAAAAAAAATATTAGGTTTAGATTTAGACAAATCAATTAACTAGATTAATGAACTAATTCCTCAAAGCCTCAGGAATCAGGTGAATGGATCAACCACAGAAAATGTCTAAAGAGAACCAGTGGAGAGAAAGATCTTAAATACACAGCATTACACAGAGCTGGGCACGAAGAACAATGGGAAGAGTTGGGGTGAAGACCGGAAGATAAATATTTATGATGGTGACAGAGCAGATTATTTCAAAAGTACAATAAACTCAGAAAATGTTGTGCTGCTGTAGGTCGGGTGACAAACATTCCCTCAGGAATGGTGACAGACCAGTTCGGCATGATTGGTCTGCTGACGTTTATCCGAGCAGCAGAGACTGATCCAGGGATGGTCCATCTGGCACTTGGCAGCGACCTCACAACACTGGGACTTAACTTGAATTCACCAGAGTAAGAAGACGGTATTGTCCTATTTACAGTAAAATGGTTAAAAACCACCTTGAATGTCCAGCACATTGAAATGGGACCAGTATGTCTATCATAGAGTAGCTCATTCAAATGCACTGGGGTTTTCTTGTTCTATTGAATAACCTGACTGTTACCTAATTTTCTGACAGAAACTTGTACCCAAAGTTTGCCTCTCCTTGGGCTTCATCACCTTGTCGACCACAGGACATCGGTAAGACATTATTGTTAGAGAGAGGTTTTAAGGGCGACATTACGGTTCAGTCACAGCCAGTCAGAACACACAGGAAGAGTTGTATCAAAGCAGGCTTGTATAGAATCCATGCTGGAGACACACTAAGTACTATTTGTTTTTGTTTTTTTGCAGACTTCCATGTTCCTTCAGAGTACCTAACCAATATCCACATAAGGGACAAGGTAATTTTGAGCTCCAGTATCTTCAGCCCCTATGCATTGTGTAGTAATTCTCACTCTTTGCTACCTCAAATCTTTTTTTAAGTTGGCTGCCATCAAACTGGCTCGATATGGTGAAGACTTGTTGTTCTATCTCTACTACATGAGTGGTGGTGACCTACTACAGCTTCTGGCAGCAGTGGAGCTGTGAGTACCACATGCATTTAATGCTCCTTAGAGCTCCAGAGTCAGTGGTTTAGTCTTTAGTTAGGTGTGGGGATGCTGTCACTACTTTAGGCGTTCATAGTTATTTATTATTAGTTTAAATTATAATATTATAGTTATAAACAAATGATTAGTCTTCAGTCTTACTCCTCTACTGACTTCAACCATCAGCTTTAACCGTGACTGGAGGTACCACAAAGAGGAGCGGGTTTGGATAACCAGAGCGCCCGGCATGGAGCCCACACTGAAGACCAACGCTTATGAGAGAGGCACCTACTACTTTTTTGACTGTCTTAACTGGAGGAAAGTAGCAAAGGTAAGCATTACTTTGATTTTAGCAGCCTTGATTGTGCATTACAGCTTCCTGCATTAAAGTCGTCTCTGCTCTCAAAGGAATTCCATCTGGAGTATGACAAGCTGGAAGAGAGGCCCCATGTGCCAACAACATTCAATTACAACCCAGCCCAGCAGGCCTTCTAAGGCCCGACCAGTCCAAAGGCCCCCCCAGCTGCTCTTGCGCACACTGATGATGTCTGGGAGGGGGGGTATGCTGTGGTACACACAGCTCAGTTTTTATTCCTCAAGGATTTGGCTATTTGACTGAGGAGGTCATCGCCATCATCCATACTGCCCTGCCTTTCCAAAAATTACATGCTGCCCCCAAAAAAACAAAAAAAAACAACCAACCAACACTTGTTCTGTTTTTATTCTTTCTCTTTTTTTTTTTCAATAGTTTTTGTCTTGTTTTGAGCAGGGTCTGTGTTATGTTTACGTCTCAGAATCTAAAGCAGGTTTTTCTCCCAGAAAGAAGGATTGACCTTGTGGCACATGGCAGTGACAGAACAAGGATAATGCCTTATGTTACAAACGGGAAAAAAGCAGGGGAAGTGAAGTTGACGTTGTTGGAAACAAGTAAAAGGGTGAAGAAACGCAGTGTTTAATGTTGCACTATATTTAGTAATAAAAGAACACAAACTTTCTTTGTGCTTTTTTTATGTGAACACTCCTTGATATTTCCTTTTCCTTCCTGGTTTTTAAATCACACCATTTTCCTTCGGTAGGCTGTGACTCTCTCCGCCTTTATATTTGAAACACTGAGCTGTATTCTGCCCAAGTCTCTGCCTGCCTCATTTTTGTGTCACATGGAGTTGGACATGAATCTGGGAGACGTTCATGTGGACAAAACCTCACCGAGGCTTTCACATCAACAGGTTGCTCGTGAGCAAAGAAAACCCTTTCCAGTCTTTGTTACAATTTTGTAAAAAAGATCTGTACATTTTGTTTCTTTGCATCACAAAAATTCATTAGTATGTGTGAATTTGTATATACAATTGCTACATATATATATACACCTGAATATATATATATATATATATATATATATATACATACATATATATATATATATATACATACATATAGTGGGTGTGTGTGTATGTATGTATATATGACATCTATTTTGGAAGAAAACTTTTGCCCTGTCTTGTACCTCGTTTTTTTAATGAGGTGAGCATGGATGCAATATGTGGACGCAACATAACATTTGTGGAACTGTGTTTCAGGGAGTCACATGACCCTGTAGGCACTTCTAGCAAAATAATACAAAAATAAAATGTTTTTTTCAATAAAAAGGCCTGATTCCCATCACCAAAAGTCAAAATGGAGATTATTCCCACATTAAGTTTAAAGCAAAAAAGGGATGTTTAAATTATTATAAAAAACAAACAAACAAAAAAACAGACCAATCTTGTATTTTCTGAAGTGAAAAGCTTCTTTGTATTAAATCAGCAAAAGCGTTCCAGAACCAATGTGTGGTTGTGTTTTTTGACTCCTTTCTTCAGAGCCAGAGATGATTTATAGAGGCAGGTTTATTTGTTAATTTGCAGATAAACACGCTGTACATAATGACTGAACAAGACATTCACAAACATGGAAAAGTTTGTGTACACATTTTACACAACTGAACATTCTTTTGAGCTAAGTATCTGTACACTTAGAACATTCTGCAGCATCATAACAAGACAATCATCACGAAATCTAATCGAGTGCAAGTTTCAAAGACGATAGAGTTGAAATTCAGAGGTTCAACACAGCACTGTTGTTTTTGGACATAGAGTCCTGTCAATGAAAAAAGAGAACCAAATAGTATTTGGTCCAGAGTTTAATTAGCACATCTTTTACATCAGAAGAACCTGTAATAAAATATAATGATCTCGTTTTAATTTTGATCTGAGAGAAGCATGGGCCTGTTTAGTTAAAAACAACCGTGATATACTCACAGGAATTGTAGAAAGTCACATGAACATTTTCCACTGCTGAGTCTCTGTCTAGCTTTTAATAGTCATATGCTGCCACCTTGTGAAAGATCGTTTAATTGTTCTGCTAGTTACTGTTGCATAGATGAACCAAGACAGATACTTGGTACATGGTACACCGGCTTTCTCATGACTTCTCACAGCAAAATAATGTGTTGCAGCACAGTGGTTGGGAATCACTGTTCTAGCTATCACAAAGCAAAACAATTGGGGAAATTATAAATGTTTTAACTTATTCTACTTACTAATAGAAATGCTGTGTAACATAAGCAAGTGCCCAATAAGGCACCTCTTAACGTTAATGTAAAACTATTTAATAAATTGTTGAACCCATGTTGAGAATGTTTAAAGGTAAAAACAGTAGAAACAAATGCAATCCATCTACAACAGTGTCATGAAAAGCCAAACCAAATTATCCCCATATGAAAAATTCATGGAATGTAGTTCAGACCAAACCGTGGCCTTGTCAGACATTTGCCTGATTTAGAAGAAGAAAGCGAGGACAAGGTGCTGTGACACAGAGAGACTATGTTACGGTCTGTTCTATTTGAATTACATGGTCAACACATCTACAGGGACAGAAAGAGCTTAGACTGAGGAATTGTCGTAAACCCCCCCCCCCCCCCCCCAAACGTAGCGACCAAAAACAACTCCCATCTACAAAGACAACAACTTAATAAACAATCACAGAGGTCATTTGAGCAAAGCTGAAACTACACACCCAAAACAATCAAACTCATTACAATTAGCACACAGGACACTGAACCTGCAGCAACAAAGCACTAAAGTCATCATTGTCATCAGACAAGCCTTTTCTGTTACAGATTATTCTTTATAGTTAGGAGATGAGGCCAGGGTCTTCACTCACATTCTGAGGTTCTCCAAGTAGAACCGTATGCAGGTACACTCTGTGGTATTTAACCCCTGACAATTCAGCAGTGTCAGACTTTTAAAGAAGAAACTAGAGATGACGAAAGTTCCCTTGGACCTTATGTTTGTCACATCAGTCTCTTCTACTACATACTTGTGTACATTCTTGGCCAGGTTTTTAGGTACTTTTTACAGTATACCTGCAGAAGGCAGGTGTTGACATCCTGACATTCTAAATGAGTCTCAGAATAGCACAGAGATCTGAGTAAATGCTTGTTGGTGTCAGATGTGCAAATCTTGGTATTTTAAGGAAAATACTGATCTACTAGATCGCTTGTTAAAAACATATCCACTGACTTTTAGTTTAGAAACCTATTTTTTCCAACTGAAGTAAACAGACAAACAGTTTGAATGCTCAATAATTTGAATTTTAGCTGCAGAGGCCCAAGACAACTGTCAAGTGTCTCATCTCAGCTGAAAAATGTTATCAAACCAGTCTCACATCTTTGCAGCAGCCCTAGGGTTGTCAGAATTTAGCTAACATGAAACGTAGCACGGACAAGGATTCATCCTGTATTATTGTGCATGAACAGTTGAGGCTGGTGTGTTGATGTTAAAGTGAGTGGGACGTTCTCTTAGCACATATTAGACAAAATATATGTTGCTTCTTATGAGGCTGAATCAGCAGGAGTGGAGCTGTCAGACCTCGAAGCAGCTTCTTCTAGAAGAGTGGAAAAAAACAGAGTTACTAGTGAACCTCAAAGAACGATAAAAGCACAGACGTCATTACTGAACCATGACTCTTAGGAATTTATCTAAAAAAAAAAGAAAAGAAATCAGCACCAAACCTTTATCCTTCTTCTCCTGTGTCTCCTCTGCTGCGGTCTTGTCCGCCCTGAAGAAGATTCTGGCACTGCTTAATGAGAAGTAGAGCAGTTCGAACTCCTGCAATGACAATCAAAATTAATGAGATCAGGATGACAACCTCCACACATGATCATAACAGAAACCACAATGTCATGGCGACTACTACATGAATGTCCCTGTTCTGAGAGACCTACATAGTTTGAAAGGACAGGTGATGGACAGAAATGATGTCAAATACTCAGAGTATACCTGTAGGTAAAGGTCCAGTCTCTTTTGGGTGAGATTCATGGTTTGCATTAGCTTCTCGTCCTGACTAATAGCCTGCACGTTCTGCTCCTTTAACACAGTGTTCAACTCTTTCTTGTATTTGTCTCTGACTGCTTGAAACCAGTGCAGAGAGTCAAACTCCAGATACTGGTCCAGCAGTTTCAGGATATAGGCCACTCCTGAGGGAGGAGAGATGACAATGGTGAAAGGAAAATACACCAAGGTTATTTAATCAGGTAAACCTGGTATCGCAGCAACAAATCAGCTCAAAATGACTGGCACATTCTACAGGTATTTAATTCTATGACATCTGAAGGATACTCTTTAATAACTACTCACCTTTTTACTACACGGTATGTTGTTGATCATTTCTATTTTATTCTACCACATGGACACACACACACGTCACATTCAGCAGCAGTAAACCAAGAACAGCATTTGTGTCACCTTAAACTTAAAACCAGGGAAATCAAACTAAATTTAGGTCGAGAAAAATCAGAATGTCTTGGTTTCTTGGAGACATTTTTCCTCTAAGGCAGGGTCCAGATGTTAACGTGTGTTTGTGTGAATAAACATAGGAGGTTGGTGTCATCGGAGGGACACGGCTGGATGTGTTGTTTGATGTATGACAGTTTAAATTTCCTGGGAGTGAACATTTTAGGGAGCTGAAAGATGTTGTCTTCAGCCTCCTCCTCTTCCTGTCTTCAGGAAACCAAGAATGTCCAGCTGCTTCTAATAAAATGACCAGGATGACGTATGGTTTTTCTTCTCCATATTAAAGTGCATTAGACCCCTGTTTATAGTTAGGCTGGAATTTTACTCTAAATTTTACCACTTTCTTACCCATCGCAAATCCATCATCTGTGAAAGCAGCTCCACTTTTATTTTTCTTGTTGAGTTTCTCCTTGCAGCTGATGGAGTGCTCCACAAAATTCACAGTCTACAACAGGTGTGAGGTGAACATTAGACACTTAAAAAAACACTTAAAAAAAAGAACACGGATGCATCTCACAACTGACCAGCGGGGGTACGATCATGTAGAAGTTCCTGAGGTGCATGTTCTTCACACTGCGAAACTCGGGTGCAAACACAGCCACCAGCATTTTGAAGTACTCTGTTCCTTCTGCAGAGTTACTGGTCAGATCTCCCAACACTGCGTCCAAGACACTAGAAGTAAAAGTGATGGGGAAATATGTAAATAAGTTGTGTTGTTATTTTAACACAAAAAAATACTTTTGTCTTTGAAAGGTACAAAAGCCAGGTCACAGATAGAGAAATGGAGAGAATGAGAAATGGATTTGACCTACCCTGCAGCTCTCCGAGTCTCTTCTGAGAGTTCCTCCTCCTTCACCATCTCCTCAAAGTTGACAATGTCGTCCAGGTCAGGGACAAACCTGATCAGACAGATTTAAGGACAATTAAAGAGATGTATTTGACCTTTTCAGTCCTTCATGAAACTTCATGTGTCTCATTACCTGATGGCACTACTGCAGCAATGAAGGCCCCCGGAGCGGATCATACGCACGTAGCCCATGGCATTGCCTGAAAGAAAACTTCCACATAAGGCAACTAAACATATTTTTGTGATTACAAAATAGAGAAGAATAATGTCAACATTCTCTCACCAATCTGGCTGATGAGCTGTCTGAACTGGTCCAGGTAACTTTGGCCATCAGGGGTGATTCCCAGCTTCCTGATACCGCGGTTAAACTTCTCTGCTCTGTCAAATGGATACTACCACCAACCACAGAAGGCAGTAAAACAGTATGAGTATGAGTACAAAAGCTGCCCTTAATTTTGAAGATGTGACTTGTTAATAATTGTAATTTAGTCCTAGGTGATTCTCCTGTGATTTAAGTTGTTAAATGTGACTTTCAAGTTTATTTATTATTTTACGATTTGCCGGTTTTGACCGTTACATTACAAATGTCCGCAGTCTTACCCATTTACAATCATTAACGCTAGGTGGCGATAATTACTCATGCAATGCAAGATCCCATTAGGAAACAGCAGAATGCAGGTATGACACAGACTTCATGAAATGTGGATTATTTTATATTGAGGACAAAGCAGGATTAAAAACATCTAAGAAGCTGTACCTGAAGCTCAGTGTAACATCGTATCTCAATTTCAAACTGCATCATCTTTTTATTTGATAAATCACAGAAATTGAAAATTCTCCTCAATTTGGGTCTTGGCTTGTCAATAAGGAGTGGGTCTCTCAGCTACACCAGTTGAGAACCACTGTTCAGTCCAAATTGGTTATAGACATGAATTGTTTTATTTCAACTTTTCCCTTTTTTCCCCTCACAATTTACAGTAGGAATTGTCCAGTTTGTGGAGATCTTTGTTAGAAGTCCCCGTCCAGGGGACATTCTTCTCTCTCACCTTCTGATCAGACTGATCCTTGGTTTCTCTGAAGAAGCGGATATCCTTGATGAGTCTGGACTTGATGTGTTCATCGTACATGAACTGACTGAAGATGTAAAACTTCTTGCGCAGGAATTGGTAAGTGAAGTTGACCTGATAAACACAGATGACATGTGTTAGTGATGGATTGTCTTATGAATGAAACCTAAAACAAGCCTCCATCATTACTGATGACTACTGACCGTGGTGTTCATAATCCCTGTACCGTGTGTCCGGATGGAGTTGGCAATGTGACGGATGTTGATGGTGTTTAAGTGCTTGTTGTTGCTTGCCTTTTCAATAAAGATCTGTGGTGGAAGCGTTATTTTAGTCAAGAACCTACAGCTCACAAACAGAAGCCTGCTCAGTTCAAGGTAGTACAAAAATGGGAAACGTCCATTACCTGGTTGTTGAGGTTGTAGAGGTACCGTGAGACAAATACATGAATATTCCTCATTATCTCCAGCACATCCAAACCCTGAAGAAAAAACAGATATGCTTTATTTATAAACTCAATCTGGCCGCTTTTACTGCTGGAGATATATATAGTGTTTTTTTCTTGTCCTCCAGAAAACAAGCCACTGCATTTTACCATGAAAAAATAAAATAAAGGTAATGATAATGATGTTTCTAAATTCTAGTTAGCCTCTCTAGGTGTGTGTACATTGGTGCAGAGTTCCACCCATCTTAAAACAAAGGAAAAGAAAATTAAATATCTTCTCTTCAATTAGATCAGTAAAATTATGATGTATAAAGAACACGGTCCAGAAAAGGTTCTATAGGGATTTGACTTTCAGGGAAGGCACCAGTATAATGGTAGGGGAAACACCACACTGTACTAACCTGCTCCAGAGTCTGGCTGGGCAGATGAGCCTCTGTCATCACGAGTCCATAACGCTGAGAGGCCAGGTTTCTCATCTCACTGTAGGTGGCCCAGTCATGCAGAGCTACTGTAGTCAGGTTGTAGAAGGTTTTGTCCAGGTAGTGGGTTACATAGGCTGTAAGACAGTCAGGTTTGGAATCAATGTCTATGGCCATTATTTTCATTTTCCAACAGGTGTCAGCATAACAAAGCACATCATACACTCCACTCTGAATACTACATTTTCCAAACAGACATCACCTTTGATGTTAATGAATCGGTTGAAGAATCTGATGGGCTTGAGGTAGAAGAAGTGGGCCAGGTCCTTCATCCCTACTTTGAAAGGGTTTCTGTCATCCAGTTTGAGGTGTGTGTGAACAGAGAGACGCAGATCTTTCTCAATCTCCTTACACAGTTTGTCCAGCAGGTGCTAAATGGGACCAAAACCAAAGCCAAAACAGACTCAGAGTCATGCTTAGCAAAAAAGATGTTCCTCTTATTTCTGGGTAAGCATGTTTATACAATAGTACTTTGTGTTGTTTTTGCAAAATATTATAATTTTTTGTATGAGCCTTAGCACTATACTCCTTTGTGACATTTAACTCAAAATAAATTCTTAGGCGCAGTAAACCACACCACCACAAATATGTCATACTAAAAACAGTAAGAACCTACAGTTTATATTAAATATTTAGCTAATTTAAAAACAAACTATTATTATAACGCTTATGTACATTTTTAACAATGCAAATAAAACCAAACAAAATTTTCAACCTTAATGTACATTTCTAATTTCTAGTATGTATTCTAGAAATTCATCTCCTCACTTCATTTAACACTTCCATGATCTCCCTGTCGTAGCTCTCCAGTAACTGGTCACATGACTCCATGTGTTTTGCATGCATCATGGATGGCACGCTGTCCCTCAGTGCACTGAACATGTACTGCTCCGTCCAGTCAGAGATATCATTCAGGATTAGCAGGTTAGGCGAGGAGAAGAGGAGATACACAAACACAAAGTCAAATGAACTTTCAAAATGACTGATGTGCAAATATTATTAGAGTTAAACCTCACATGTATTCTTGCGGCGTCCACCGCATTATCGTATACGTCATTCAGATAGATGGGAAACACAGTTCGATGCCAGTAAAGGAAACTACAGTCACACTGAATCTTGACCCTGAAGAAAAACAAAGAAAAACCTTCACACACTGTAATGAAAAGAATATTCCCAACAGATTCACCTCAAGATGGTGCAAAATATCAAGTGAAGTCATAACATGGTCTATGAAAAAAACCCCATTAGCAATAAACAAACCTGAAGTCTTTATGTTGCCACTAAATGTTTTCTTTAAATACAACATTGGTCAACTTTTTCCATCTGTTTTCCAAGTGTTGGTGGAGCATTTCACAGGATGATACAGTTGCCAACGACATCCACCGGTGGGTGGTAAGAAAATGAACACGGTTTACTCAAGCGCAGTTTGCAACACTGTTGGTGCTGAAGGTGGTTCCTGTCATTTGACCAATACCATATTGAGCTCATCAATTTTCTTTAGCTATGGCAAATGAAGATTGGCTGAGCAGCCTCAGTCAGAAAGAAGAAAACACAAGAGTCACTAACAGCAGAGCTCATATATGGTGACTCTTCCAACTCTTTGTTATTTAGTTTATATTATGATACAAAGCTGCAGAGAATCTGCTGAGAACTTCATCAGCAAAAGTACAACGTCAGACATCTTGCACTTGTGTAAGGCGTTGTTAGCAGTTATCAAACGACAGTCACCTCTCAGACAGCTCACTGATGAGATCCAGCTTTTTCAGCACCAGCTGCAGTGGAAGCAGTTCCTCATCTTTAAAGGTTTTCTGCCAGAAACAAATGATGAAAAAAGCAAATTAACAGACCACGAAAACATCTTCATGACATTAACCATCTGTGTTTCCTGACGCACAAGCTGAGTGCCGACGCAAAGAGCCAGAGAAACCACGAGGCGTCGCTCCTTTGTGCTGGGTCCATTGAGGGCATTTTCGGCTAGTACCAAGGAGGACAACACATCCAGACGCTGTTCACTGTACTTCTTCTCAGAGATTACTCTCTTCTGCAGGGAGTAAAAAACATTCAAATGTTACTTAAAGTGAACAAAGCATTCTTCTTAGGTTTAAATACCAAAAATGTAACTTCTTGTGGACATAACCTTGGCTGTTCCAATGGCATTGAGAGCCTGGGACTGCAGCTGCTGCGTGATGTGAGACACAGAGTCGGCGACAACCATGGAGCGCCTGTGAAAGGTGTGCTCCACAGCCTGTGGACGGACAACAATTTGACAGGTTGAGTAGACTTTGAATGTAGCACCGCTCAAAACAATAAAAGCACAAATAAACAGACCTTAAGCAGCTCAACCATTCGACAGAGCGCCTTGACAGATGTCTTGGTCATGGGCCGTTGCATGGACATGTACATGTTCATGGTGGTCTTAATAATAGTGCACAGGGTGTAGGCATACAGGATGCCCTATAATGGTCAGTCAACAGAAATATAGTTTTTTTGTTAAAACTAATCACTAACTAACTGCGCCTGGTGTTCAAGGCCATTATCAAACTCCTTTTAGAAAAGTTTATGGTTCACCTGTACAAACACATTACACCTGCTGTTGAGATCATCTGCCAACTTGTCACTGTTATGCTCCTTGGACAGAATGGACTCCATCTTCATCATCCATGAGGTGACAAAAACATAGTAAGACTGCATATCCCTGCACAAACCAGAGACACACACACATCAGTCAGATCTAAAAAAACATCCAAGCCAGAAATTGTGTAAATGGGATTTGACAGACTTTGTCAGTGTCTGAGCTCTTTGCTGCAACAAAGTGTCTCTCTGTGCTTTGATAGCCTGTAGACTTTTCTTATCCATCAGCTTAGCTGCAGCGGGAACCTTGGTGATGAGGAAAGTGTCAGGAAACCAGATAATGTTGGAGGTCAACGTGACTGCGGATACCTGGGGGAAATTCAGACACAAACACTGTTAATAAGTGATTCACTGCAGATTGGGGGGAAAGACCAAAATACTAAAAACCTGCCTTTTTACAGACATCGAGCAGTGCTTTGTAAAACTTTTTGTCAACACTTCTGAATATGTGAAAGTGAAGCACAAAGAGACAACAGACGCCGACGTATCTATCTCTCTGGTCAATTTCTGAAGGTTCACCTGAAAACAATTTGAACAAAAATCATATTCCAAAGATGCTGGAAACAGCTGTCACTTGTAGAATTATAGTCTTAATTTCACTGGTTACTGACCAATCTTTGACTCCACACTGGTGAATATGGTGCGAATGTTGAAGGCAAACTCCTCAGCAAAGATGCTGTTTTTGGCAACTGCAACTCCCTCCCCAGGATCATCAAATCTTTGTTCCACACAGGCCTGTTGCATTAACATGTGAAGGCAATATAAACACAAGTAAATATTCTGCAAACAAACATGTATGAAGAACAAAGTGTATGATTCAAAAGGTCAAACTGCTGTGAACTTCTTTTTACATTTTCCTATCACATTATGTCCATTGTTACTTTACTGTATTGTATAGTGAGGTTTTTTATAGTTCAATTTGAGCTTATCTGGGACCATTTGGATTTGACATTTCAATCACAACTGAAAGTGCCAACATTGTGGTTAATACAATCTTAAATTATAAAACAAACAACATGCAGTAAAGATCAGAGGAAAGTTACCTGCAATATCATTCCGTCCAGCAGCTGTCCCTCCAGCTTGAGCAGAAGCTTCTCAAATGGTTTTAACTTCTCCTCAGGAATGGAAAATTTTCCAGGATTATGGTGGACTGACTTCAGTAACCTAGATGGTAAGATTAATGCAGATAGGTAATAGTAATAGGTAGTTGGTTAATAGTAAATAGATAGACATACTTTATTGATTCCAAAAATGACAAGTTCACTCAGTGATTTACTGAACAGCTGAAATAAAAAAAACTGTTTTGTTGCCATTTAGTTAGTGTTAGTTTGATTATGCATTTACCTTTTATACATTTTCCAGTGATCCTTCAATATACCATGATTTTCTAAAATCTGATCAAGTGTTAACAGAACCACCAACAACTCCCCCAGGTGTTCGTACACAGTCTAAAACAGCAACGCAAAACACAGAACGATAAAGGTTAGAAATGTGCACAGGCTGAAACAAGAATTTAACAATTAGAATTAGCTGTCACCTAGCAACAGTTGTTTCTAATTGACTATAGTTCAAAAGTGCAACATGTCATATCTCAAAGTAAACAGGACAAAGATTTTAAGTAAAGGTCGAATCTCAAAGCTAATAAATCAGCAAAAAAAATAAAAAATAAAACAATAAACTTGCTAATAAAGATGTATGGTATTTTATAAAAAGTATATAAAATATGGTATTAACAGACATTTACTTTTTAGAATAAAATCTACAGGAGACAAACTACACCCGTGTGGACCCCAAAAAAAGATCATAACAGAAACTGACCTGAAAATGGACTCCTGAAGATTCAATGATTTTTGTTGCAGTTCTGCGAAAAAAAAGGTAAAAATCATCTTTGCACGTTTAATTTCTCTATTGAAATAAAAGAAATGACAAATTGAACCAGATCTACAGTTTTCACTTTTATGTTTACATTAAAATTCAACACCAAAAACAATACATTTACAATGTAACAAATCTGGATGTTTCTTACTTGTTGCTGTTGTACAGAGCGGCCAGCTGATGAACAATATTGACCACCACTTCATAACATCTTGAAACAAAACAGGAAAGTTCCTGCACACAGATCAGGGTCAAAACATCAGTGTTTTCAGACAGGGTTAGTTAGTTACATAAGAAATTATAATCACCTGCAGGAAGGAGATGAATCTGCCCATCTGAATCTGGGACTCTCCTTCAACAACACCGGCTTCTGACACTGGCACAGAGGCAGAAACTCAATGGATTTTTTTTCAAAGGCAAAATGTTTAACTGAGCAACAACAAGAAGAAAAAAGCAGTATGTACCTCCTTCTCCATAGTACAACAGACCATTGTAGAACTTGGTTTCTGCCTGCAAGTGCAAATATGTGCTATTGGTTATGTCAGCACTCAGTTAAATAATTATTTTAAAAAAAACAACACAAACTCACAAAACAGAATTTCAAATCTACAACATGTGCACTGTTTATTGTTTTAACAATGCCTACCTCATTCTTGAGCTTCTTCACCTCACTGCAGAGCGCAGCATACACTGTGATGACTTTGTTTAGAACCTAAACATCACAAAATATCAGGATTAATAAAAGACTCTGAAAAATTAATGACAAAATTGATCACATAAAACGCACCTTTTGTACTTACTTTATTGTCTGTTTTTATCAACTCCAATAAAGATGACTGCTCATATGGAATAAGCTTCAAAGACAAATAAAAAGCAAGGAAATTACACACAGAAGTGTGATAGGTGCAGGATGGTACACCTCACATTACAGCGCATTACTAAACAATGTTTTACCTTAAGGGCAATAGGGTCCAGAGTGAAGTCCCACACATCACCAATGGAGTCATCCAGGGCCTCCTCTATACCCTTCAACTGGGTGGTGTACTCCTCCAGAAACCTGCTGTAGTTCTTCAGCTGAACCTCTGTGTGTATTTCTGTAAGATGGAAGGTGAGAGCACAGACAGAGAGGCCACATCAAGTCTTTAATGATTTTAACATCATATTACTGTGCCCAACTAGGAAGGAGAACACACTGGATCACTGTTACACCACAATTCAAAATGCCTATCATGCCGTTTCTCTGGCTGCACTGGGTCACTCTGACCACATCTGATTCCTTCCTACAGGCAGCAACTGAAAAACCCATAGTGAGGACAACAAAGCATTGGTCTAGTGGAGCCACTGAGATACTTCAAACGTGCTTGGATTGTACTGACAACACGACAAACCCTGGTTCACAGCAGAAACAAAACGGCTAAGGAGCCTCAAGGAGGCGTTGAGGAGTGGAGACAAAGAGAGGTACAAAGATTAAAAATACAGGTTTAGCAAGGAGGTGAGAAAAGCTAAACAACAGTACTTTGAGAAACTTCAACACAAGTTCTCAGCTAATGACCACTACTGTCACTTCGAAAGACAATGGGTCTGTCTTGACACCTTCCCCTGCATAGCCACGCCCACCCTACCCACTGCAGGAACTCCAACAACTCATCCAGCCTGAACATCACCTTCCTCATCAAAAAAGCCCAACAAAGGATGTACTTCCTGAGGCAGCTGAAACAGTTCTATCTGCCAAAGTCAATGATCATGAACTTCTACACCTCCATCATCGACTCTATCCTCACCTCCTCCATCTCCATCTGGTATGTGCTGCCACTGCAAAAGATCTGAGCAGACTGCAGCGTGTCATGTGTGGTCCTCCTGGACCAAAACTTCTTGCCACAAAAACAGCTTTTCTTCCATCTGCTATTGGCCTTGTCAACACACAAAAAGGCTATCATTGACACCCCCACCTGCACACACGCACACCCCTGCACTTTAAAAAATGTGTTTAGTTCTTATTATTCTGTATATGTCCACCCATAAGCATAATTTATTTATCAACAATTGTATACTTCCATGTGCATTTCTTTCGCTGCACTGTATACCTCGTAGGTGAAAACAATATCAAATTCTTTGTTTAATAAAGAGAAAATAAACCAAAGAATTGCAGTGGTGCAGTCAACTTTTAATACTGACTTTATCACGAAATAATACCATCATACTTGTGTATATATAATGGATTCATGCGCATATTGGGTGAGACCATGAATCAAGAGAAAGAAGTTTAGATAAAGATTGCATAATTACATTCTCAAAACGGCATTTAAGCTACACCACGAAACACATTTACCACCAACACCATTTATCCATTAGCTGACAACTTGCGTTACAATATGTTTAACATATTTATGCCCTAACATGTGTAAATACAAGGAGTCGACAGCAGCTAATCACCCTGTTTGTAGCATAAGCTAGCACTAGCTGCTCAGAGCTAACTAGCGTATTGCCATGTTTTTATGTGTTCTTTTACATGCACGAACTAGACACGATACGTACTCTGTGAACCGTCGTCAAAACGATCAAACTCCCAGTCCGGTGCGATGGTTTCTACCGCCATAGTGTGTAGTTAAGTGATCAAAAGACTGCGTTTTAAAAGTAAAGCTACACAGGTCCCATGATGGGTCTCGTGACTCTAGAATGGGCGCGAGTGTTCTTGGGAAATGGAGTCCACACAACTCAGCGTCCGACTGTCAAATACAGTCGGGGAATTTCTTAAGGATGTTAAATCCACGAGACTAAACAAATGCAGTGGTCCAGTCGTTTATGTGGCCAAATGTGGTTGTTTGGATAAAATCTCTCCTGTGTTTGTGCCTGTTGATTTGACCATGCAGCATGTATGTAAGACACCTGTACTAGCTGAGTTGAGTCCCCAAGAATTTTGGGAGATGATAGGGAGAGATTCATATTGGCTCAGGGTCTACTCCAGGCAGACTCGTTGCCCGACTTGATGCTGTGCTTCTTTGCAATAAACTCTTCTATCTGCAATCAAGTCGGCATCAATGAAGATTTCTTCACTCTTCATCTATAAACAACAAAAAAAAGAAAAAAACAAAACCAAAAATCAAATTACTTATAACTTGTGTAAACTTCACATCATGGTGGTTATAGTCATGTGAAGAAGGAAAACTGAACTTGAGGTGTTACAATTATGCAGCGTTAATCCACTGTCTTATTAAGAAAAGCAGAGCAAACATGTGTGTGTGTGTGTGCGTACACGTTTTCATGGTCTTGTCACAGTAAAGACTCAGCCCACCATTCAGAGAATGAAAGAGGCCAGGGACAGGAGCAGCAGCAGCAACACTGGACTTTCTTCACTAAAAAAACTCATCGTAAGGTAAATCATGTTTGTTTTTCTATAATTTTGTAATTGTCACTATGAACCTGAATGTAAACAAAAACTATCATTATTGGGTTGCAAAACAGGTGACATGACAAAGGAAAAAAAAAAAAGAAACAAAATAAGCACCATAGCTTTCTACTGTAACTGTAACTTACTGGTTATCTTCTGTTTGACCTCTATTTTCTGGTATTTCTTTGCCTCAGACTATACAATGTTGGTCTTTAGTCTTGTATGGATTCATTTAATTTTGGCACAGACACTGTAGATCTAGAAATGTTTTTAAAAGTGTGGCTATGTGTTTATTTCCATTTTCTAAAGTTTAAATACTCACTAAAACATTGTGTTTTGCTGAATATTTCACCAACTGTTTAGCACAACTTATTATTCTGTTCTTTTCTGATTTAACAAACTGGGCATTTTTGGTACAATACACGCTTGTTACTTGCTAAATGCGGCTTTTGACCATACCTGATCATCTTGAAGGAATTTTAAATGAAGCTCATTGTTTGGCCAAACAACACGGACCCACTGTTGCTGATGGGAAAGAGCCATGAAGAATGATAATTCTAGAATTTTCCACCATCAGATGACTCTGAAACAGCCTTTGTGCATCCAGAGTTGCACTTTGTCACTTTTCAGAGGAGTTTGAAAAAGCTCTGCATACACTGTTGACCTACAGATAATAATTTTGCATTTTATTAAAATGCTTTTTACCATGAGAAATAAATACATATATTTCTTAATGCAAGGTTGTATGGCAGGAGAAGTATTTCATAGTATTGTCACATACAACTAATTGTGTGCTGTACACTTCTTAATTTATTACATTTTATACCACTTTTTTTTCTTAGGCAAACAGATTTCCCATGAACCTGATCCACAGGAGGGACATCCTAATAAAGCACAGCTTTTGATAATGGTTGCCCCAGAGTCAGAACAACCAACATCATCTTGTGGCAGCCAGAAGTTTGGACCAAATCTGTCCTCATCCCAACACTCTGACAGTCCACGTCATATCAGCTCTACCAGTGACCTTCAAACGCTCGACAACAGTTGTCAGAATGAACCACGGGAGTACACTGAAACAGATTTTCTGCTCCCTGATAAACTCTATGGTCGTTCAAGACTCAGTGAAGCCATCGCAGCAAAGGAAGCAGTTAGAAGTGATGCACCAGCAGAGTCTGTCTGTTCAATGCTGCTGCAGATTCTGGTCCCATTCCTGCGGGCGGGGCTCGGGACAGTCTCTGCTGGGATGTTGCTGGATGTGGTTCAGGTAAAAAGACGGACGCAGAACGCAGACTGACAGTTTCACTGTGAAAGTTGTTCAACTGAGTCAAAACAATATAACTTAAAGAGAGTGTTTCATTTTTGACAGAACTGGGACGTATTTCAGGAAGTCACGGAGATCTTCATTCTGGTTCCCGCAGTATTAGGAATGAAAGGGAACCTGGAAATGACTCTGGCCTCCAGACTGTCAACTGCTGTGAGTGTCTGCAATTTGGCACACAGAACTGAATCAACTTCATACCATAACACACACTGAAAGTAACACCATGTTACAGGCATTTGGCATGCAGTTCTGCTAAATATTTGAGTACTGTTTGTTTCAGAATTTCTACAGTAGTATAAGGCAAAAGCTCCATGGAATGACTCCTGGTGAAAGGTAACAACAGCTATATGTGGCAGGGTCTTTCTCAGAAAAAAATGATTTGGGCTTTTTGAATCATTAGTGTTAAAGTCCTCACAGAACTGTGAAGTCTTTAGCAGCACTCTGACTTACAGTAGAGTGCAATATACTGTAGTTCAAATTACAACAATAGCACAACCCCTCAGACCTGTGTCAGTCTATTCTGGAATGTTGTTTTCCTAGAAGAGAAATAAACAATCCAACAATCCAATGATGGTTTAATATGACATCAATCACATCCGTTTATTTATCAGCACAGTGTATTCTTTTTCCTTTTCTTTTGGTTTGTGCATGTCGTTTTGTCTACTTGTATTATTTTCACCTTGGAGGCAGAATTTATTTTTAAACAACTTCTTCTAAAATCAGCTTGGTTTGTTTCAAAGACCAGCAAAAAGATGTGTAATAAATCACTGTAACAAACCTTGACTGTCTGTCAAAAAAATGTCTTTATAACAGCACTGTTGACATTTTGTGTTTGATTATAAATGTTTACCTTGTCTGTTGTCAGGTGAATGCAGGTAAAATGGAATCTACCAGAGAAAAGTGGACACTGATCGTTGGAAACCTAGCGCTTAAACAGGTATATTCTTTTACATTAGGGTAAAAAAAGTCTTCTGTTATGTATAATTTAAGTTAAGCTGTTTTTCTTCAGTACATGTTTGTATTTAACAAAATTCCAGCCCTGTGTAATACATTCAGAATTGTGTTTCCCAGCTACAAGCCACAGTGCTGGGATTTTTTGCCTCCCTCATGGCCGTTCTCTTAGGCTGGATGGCAGATGGAAAGATGCCTTTCAACCACATAGTGCTTTTGTGTTCCACCAGTGTTTCTACTGCATTTCTGGCTTCATTAGTACAAGGTAGAAATACGACCTGCCCTCATCTGTTCACCATGAATTCCTTAACTGGAAAATGTACCAATGAACACTGGCATGTCAGCTATTCAAACACTTCAGTGTAGATTTCTGACACCTCAGTCTGTCTCCTTCCAATCTTTCTAATTATTAATTAACTGCCATGCAAGGAATAAACAGTGATTTTATGTCTCCGTTTTCTTGATCTGTTCTCTGCTTTCAGCTTGATATATTTCATTATTCATATTTTATCATTAAAATTAATATATATTTTTAAAAAAAATCAATTTTGTCTTACATCAACTATTTGCTGCAGAATATTAAAATATGTATAAAAATAAATACATTTTTAACAAAACAATTAGAAACATAATCGTAACATTTTCCAGTGGCTGCCATTCACAACTACAGCACTAGATGCCACAATCATATAGGCATAAAAATCCTTGGGCTCGTCCTCACTTTTCAACAGATCATACAACCTATTAAGGTTACAACACTGATGAGTAGAAATCTGTTATTTTAAGAGGTGTATTTGTTTAGATTTAAATGGGTCATGTCATTAAAATTGTTGGTTTTATGTCTGAATAACTTCAGCAATAACCTGTTTATTTACAACTATCACTGTTAAGGTGTCATCATGGTGGCAGTTATTTTATGCTCCAAGCGTTTGGGAATCAACCCTGACAATGTGGCGACACCCATGGCTGCCAGTTTTGGGGATCTCAGCACTCTTGCACTGCTTGCCTGCTTCAGTCACTGGTTCTTCTCTTTTATAGGTAAAGTGAATTGAATACAAACTAGTCAACAACAACACATTGTGCCTGTAACATGTTCTGTGTGTGCAAAAAGTTGTAAAACCAAGATGTTCTGTGTTCTTGCCCTGAGTAACTCAGAAAGCTGTCCTGGTGTGATACTGACTGAATGAATCCCACCCTCTTGACAGATCTCTATATTTATATGCTGTTCCTGGTGGATCTGTTTCTTGTGTGTTTGATCCCTTTATGGCTGGTCATCTCCTCCAAACATCCAACCAGTCAAATCCTGCTCCGCACTGGTTGGGAACCAGTCATTACAGCAATGGTAATCAGCAGGTATTTACCACTGTTTGGTCACTGAATATCTCTTAACTCTCTTCACAGTTTTAAACTTTACAGTATTTTAACATATACCTATAGTATACCATATAAATCAATACAACACCAGGAAACTCATCATTAGAAATTAGCTCTTCTGATCAATGAATAAAAAAATAAAAAAATAAAAAATAAAAAATAGAAAGAGTTTATATAGTTAGGCCTAGAAATACATATTTTTATGTTTCTTTTCAGTATCGGAGGACTGATACTGGACCTGTCTGTGTCCGATCCAAACATGGCAGGAATAATAATCTATGCTCCTGTCATAAATGGTAAGCTACGTTTCAATTTTCTTTTTCCTCAACCATGTAATATGTAAGGAAGAAAACAAATAAGGAAACAAAACAAACAAAAAAATCATCAATCTTAATTTCTCATCTAATATGGAGTGGAAATTAAATTAATTTCCACTCCATATTAGATTTATACTACTTATTTGATTTATGTACATATGTACAGTATATATACTGTATAATATGGAAATGAATGATTCGCTGTGGCAACCCCTGAAAAAAGGGACAAAGCCTAAAGGAATAGAAGAATTTGATTTGTGTACAGTATATAAGTCTGCACATATACATATATATATATACGCACACATATATATGTATATATATTTACATACACATATATACAGTATGTGTATATGTATATATATATACGCACACATATATGTATATATCTACAACACATATATATAAATATATATTTACATACACATATATATGTGTATATGTATATATACTGTACATATACACATGTGTGTGTGTGTGTAGTTTATAACCAGAAAACTACACACAGGTTAGTAATTAGTACAATCAATAGATAGATAGAATAATACAAGCCTCAAACTTCTTTATTCAGGTGTTGGAGGAAACCTTGTGTCCATTCAGTCCAGTCGTCTCTCAACAAGTCTGCATATGAATTTCTCATCTGGAGATGTCCCTGACAATCGCAAAGGCTGCTTCAACCCTTGTTGTACTTTCTTTGGCACAGGTAAAGATAAAAGGGTCATTTAATATGTTATTTAAACCAACTTTGTGATGAATTGTTTCTAATGTTAGGGGTGAACCAACGCTCGGCCCAGATTCTGCTTTTTTTGGTTGTCCCTGGTCAGTTGGTCTTCTTGTACACTATTCATCTAATGAAAGGAGGCCAGACTTTGCCAAGTCCTCTTCTGACTGTGGCCTTCCTAGCTGCTTCTTTGATTCAGGTAAGCCAGACCCAAGTTGTTTTCACTTGCCGCTGGCTTCAGTGTCAATGCTTCCTAACGCAGCTCATGTGATTCTCTTTGCTGTGCAGGTCTCTGCTCTGTTGTGTATAGCTGACTACATGGTTCACTGTCTTTGGAGGAGAAATAAGGATCCTGACAGTTACTCAATACCTTACCTCACAGCCCTAGGAGATCTTCTGGGGACTGCTCTCCTTGCTCTCGCCTTTCTTATACTGTGGTGTATCGGGGACTCAGGCAGTGTATAAGAACAAAGAGCTCAGGATATGAACTGAAACATCGTGAGTTCTTCTACAGAGAAGGTAACTTTCTCTGTTAGATAGGACTGTAAGATATGCTATTGGTTCATACCTTAGCTTCCTAACACACAAGAGTCAAATGCGAGATCTCAAGTTGTAAGGTGTTACTCGCAGCAAGGAGCACAGAACAATGGTACATACTGAGGGACTCCTCAGTGCTCAAAGCTTATATACAGTTTGCTGGTTACATAACATATCAATGCTTTCGATTTTGGTGACCGCCTTTTGACATTCAAAGAGACAGTTTCATATGGTTCTGTGGTTAGTCAGCAAACGTAGTCAGCGTTATTCGTGCTGCACACATCCTGTCATGTTTAACAGTCAGAATATTACAGCTTCATACACAACCTTCTCCAGTACCCTTTTCTTTTAATACAACATAACAACAACACTCAATAATAGTATAAATTGATATGGAAACTTAATATAATGAATACGTTGTAAAGGTTGAAGAAATGCATTTACAAATCTTAACAATCTTACATTGTATCCTCCGTTTCAGTGTCCTGGGGAGGCTGGAACCAATCTCAGAAGTGGGTGTTCAACTATGTTTTTTATGTTTAGAACAGATAGATTTCTTTTTCCTTCATCTTCACATCACCACTATCTAATAATTAACATAACTTGCTTTTAGAAATGTGAAGTATCATTTTCTTGTAGCCTCTTCACCTGTGTTGTAATTGTTTTGTTGTTGATGAAAAATTGTGCAAGACACAAAAACTGTGCAGTATTGCAGCATGCTGGGGAAGTGGTGGCTTAGTGGTTCAGAGCTTCCATTGTGCTGTGTAAAGGAGTCAACTTTCCTTATCTTTCCTTTAAAATATGTAAAGTGTGTGGGGTGGTTGGAAGTGGAGGGAGGGGTTGTTGAGAGGTGTGTGTGTGGGAGGGTGGAAGGGGCTCCGGGAAAGAAGCAATTCAAAACGACCCTGGTCTGATTTATGGACACCTAGACCACTGAGGCACAACTGAAAATGTGTTTAGTGTCATGGGTACAACATAAGAAAGAAGATAAGCAGGGTCTGGGGAGTCATAAATTTCAAGGTCTGGGGTGTCACAAACATGTGGTTAACCATTCTGCGCTGATAACCATTTGTTAAAAAACAAAAAACAAATCTGTCTGGAGCCCCCAAAAATTAAAAGCCTTGTATAAGCCTTATATGAAGGCAACACATCTGTACACTTGCAGCTGTGTTATACACTGTGTATAAAAAACCTATAGTGTGTTGCATTTATGAAATCAATGAACTGCTGCAGAGAACACATAATTTTATTTCTGCATCTAACAAAAACATTTTTAACTTGAAAAAAGACACATGGTTGATGCTTACTTTCACAAAATATTAGAATCCACCTCGTATTTAGGAAATCATCTTTTTTTCTTAAAAGGATACAGGAGGTGTTTGAATAAATCCATTATGTGTGAACCTTTTACAGCATCACCCCTATAAACAAATTCTCCCCTTGAATTCCAACTTTTGCGCTCCTCCGATAACTTCTTTAAAAGATACTCTGCATTATTACGGTCTCGTGGAGGGAGAAAAGGCCGCGAGGGGGATTGTAAATGATGGTGGGGTGACCTAAGGGGTAAGAACATGTGCTGTTGACGTAGGGGTAGAGAGAAGTCACATCTACGTAGTGGACGGTTTCTTTGGAACCGGCGCTGGGTCTCAGCTTTAAGGCACTGGTTCTGCCCCCATAAAGAGCTTTACGAGCGCAGAGGGGTTCTGGAGCATTATAAAGCTTGAGAAATTGTTTCAACTCAGCGCATGATTTTTTCATATCATCCCACTCGTGTTCTCTCACCACTGTAACGTGGACCCCGTGTTTGTTTCTTAACTCCAACAGTCTCTCTTCGCTCTCAGCATGAAGTTGGCCAAAAGTGACACCTCTCATGGGGCAAATCTGTG